GTTGTGGCCGCCCTCGGCGCTCTCGCCGCCGTGGCCGTTGTGCGAGCCCTGGTTCGTGCCCGGGCCGGTCTGCTGGCTTCCGCTTCCCTCGCCGGTGCCGCCGCCACCGTTGTCGTTCTGGTTGCCGTTCTGGTTACCCTGGCCACCGGGGACGGTGCCGTTCTGGATCGAGGGAGGCTGGGCGCTTGGGGGTTAGCGGTGGTTATTGGAGCGGACTCACGGGTAGTAAGTGATGTCGTGGACGGAGAACGCCTCGTCCTGGTCGGAAGTGGTCTCGACGACGACGTTGTAGTTGAAGTTGGGGTTGAGAAGGGTAGAATAGATGGGGATGTTGCCGTTGTAGATCAGAGCCGAGATGCCGCCGCCCTGCAGGTTGGGGTGGAACTCCTGGACCGAAGGGCCATAGAGGGGAGGCGGGGTGATCGTGACGCGGAAGTCGGCGAAGGGGACGGGAGGCTGGCCGGCGCGGAGCTCGAGCATGGCCGTGGCCTGGGGCACAGTAATGGTGAGCTTGGCGCCCTTGGCCTTGGTGTACAGCACTCCGTCCTCGCCCTCCCAGTTGCCCTCCTTCTTGACGTGGGAGTCCTGGCCGATCTTGGTAGCATTGGCAGGCGCGAGGCGGTAGCGCTCGCCGGCGTTGTTGGGCTCAGCAGTGTTGAAAGTAAGGTTGCCGCTCGAGCCGAGTGTGAAGACGTAGTAGCCGTACTCGAGACCGGAGACGGAGGCGGTCGTCTTGACGAAGGCGGGGTGGTCGGCGTCCTCCTTGCGGATGTTGACAATGGCGTCCCAGCCCCACGAGGTCGACTTGAGCTGGTCGCCGGCCGTGCCGTTCACGTAAACCGTCCACTCCTCGGGGTTGCCGCGGCCCCTGAAGAAGATGCCGGAGCCAGCGACGGAGACCGAGGCGTTGGCCGGGCCAGACTCGGTGAATGCGTCGAGGTTGGACGTCTTCCACAGGCCCGCAGGCTGGAAGTCAACAGTGGGAGAAAGGAAGCTGAACGTCTGCCTAGGGTTGACGCCGGAGTTGTAGCCAGGGCCACCGGGGACGCCTCCGTCGCCGCCGCCAGTGTTGTCAGAACCGGATCCAGAGGGAATAGGGACAGCCGAACCGGGGAGGCTGACGGTGGCGGTTGAGCCGGGGGCGCCCTGGCCACCACCGTTCTCGGTCAGAGTCGATCCGGCTGCGTTGTTGCCCTGGCCCTGACCGGCGGCCTCGGTCGCAGTCGAGCCCGGAGCACCCTGGCCACCGCCGTTCTCAGTGAGCGTCGAGCCGGCGGCGTTGTTACCCTGGCCCTGACCGGCGGTGCCAGTTGCAGCGGAGCGAGAGGAGGTCTCGGTGTAGGCGTGGCCGACGGCGTCGTCTCCGCCGCCCTGGCCGATCTCGGTGTAGGCGTGGCCGACGGCGTCGTCGCCCTCGCCCTGGGACCAGTCGCGCTTGATTGGGGACGACCAGGCGCACGCGACGCTGGCCGTCAGCAGAAGAGAGGCAGTCCTCATGGTGTATGTCAAGTTGGGTTGAGGTATGGGTGGATCACGTCAGCCGCCGGTGCTTATATATCTGTGTGAGAGCGCGCCCTCCTGCCGTTTGAGATCTGCATGAGATGCGAGATGTGCGAGGCTCGCGAGGTGCAGGAGTGATGCCGGATGCTTGGGTGTGGAGATTAGCTTCGGATTATCCTCGTCGCACGCCGCGACGGTGCGTCGTCATGAGCGCAATCTGAACACTCATGCGCGAGCCGCAAGAGCTGCGTGCGGCATGTTGGGTGCATGCCAAGACACCGCCAAATGATGCGCAGCGACCTCCGGAGCTCGTGCTTGGCTCCTGCCGAAGCATTGGAACTTGTACGACGCCAACATATGCTCAAAGGCGGAGCGCCGAAGGCACGCCTCGGAGGCGGAATCCCTTGGGAGGCACCGGTACGGCATGCGCAGCTTGACGGCCCGAGGGTACCTTTGCTCTGTACGACGCGCAACGAGAGCCTCCACCCCAAATGTTACCTGTTGTTCGTCCAGATCACCACGATCGCAATGGAAACGCAACTGCCGACACTCAATATTGCCCAGAACGCTGCAGCTGCACAACGCGGTGAGACCGGGGAGCAATGTCGGTGCACATGGAAACGCACGGAAGGCTGCAAGGCGAGCTTAATGCCTCCCGCCGGGGTCGCAAGTGTGGGATGGCAGGGTGGACAGTGTCAATAACATCACGTGAGGATAACATCGTTCTCTGCTGCTTGCGCTGACGCTCTTGATTGCTCGAGAGCAGAAACGGAGTGGAGCAGCTGCGCACGGCGGTGCGGCGCACACGGCGCATAGCAGTTCGGAGGTAAGCACGACGTTCCGCCGGCGTCATTTTGTTCATTTTGCGGTGTTCTGAGCCGAGGTTGCGCAGCTCATCCACAATTCATTCGACCTGCTGACAGCAGCACGTGGCCCCTCTTGCTCCTCTGGGCCATGCCGAGCCGGACCGAGACACAGCCACAAGGGGATGCCAGGAACCCCTCTGGCAGTCGAGTGGAGCAAGAGCTTGCAGAAGCACTGCGCTGCGAGTCACAGGCAAGCACCCAGGGCGGGACCAGGTTCCGGGAACCTGGCCGTTGAGCCTCTGGGGTGGAAGGAGTAACCAAGCGATGGGTGGCTCGCGCGCTCTCATCAACTTTGTCAACCTCCAGCCTCCGAGGCACCAGTCACGTCTCAGCAGGCATCGTAAACGCCGTCGCAGGCCTCATTAACCCAGTTAAGAATCAGGCGAAATCGCCGAGAGGGCGATAACCATGTCATGGCTGCTGCTCCCGGACAGGCTCTTTCGCCGAGCCATACTGGGGGTGCGCAGAAGCCTCCGTCGCGCAGTGTGAGGCACATCGAAGCATCATTGCGTAACCATCGATCGCCCTCACGACATCCCCATCCTTAAGCCGGACACTAACCCAGAAAACGAAGATGTGCCCCCAAACGCAGTCGTCGCACGCCTTCACCGCGTGCTCACTGCATGTTGCCACGAGACAAGAACTGGACCTGGCGGAAGCTCCCCGTCGAATGGGTCGCCGAGGTAGCCAGCTTCCGGAGGGCGATTCCAACGTTCTGGACCTCGTCGCATCGCGACTTCGTCAGCTCAAGGCTCTGGGTTCGGTTCGCCTCAGAGTTGCACCGCAGCTGGGGTTCTCTAGGGACTCTCCATGTTGACGGACGTCTGGCTATAGATCTAGATCGGCTCGCGTACCAGCATAGCAACTATATCCGAGTCAGATGACTCCAGTAGCCTTTATCCCCTGCGCACTCAAAAGCATGCAATACCCATGCTGGGCGTGGGTCAACGGAGTTGACGTCATTCCACTCGGCTTGTTCGGTGTGGCGCAGATAACGATAAGGTGGTCGCCGATTTCTGCGTGGCCGTCTGCATCTACTCTGACCCCTGCCTGGAAGTCTATCGTGAGAGGGCGATGCAAGATTCACGCAACGAGGCGATGTACGGAGTATGAGAGCCCAGGAGACGCTCAACGCCTGTAGCTAAGTCAGGGTTAGTCAGCCGACGCCTACACAACCTTAGACACTCTCCAACCCTACTCGTCCTCCCATCCACCCACTCTCCTCAGCAAAAGACAACAAACATGTCCACATCTTCCGATGCCTAGGAGACACGCAAAAGCATACATCCAGGGGGAATCGAACCCCCACCGCATCCAATCGCTCGTGGCAAGGATGCATGATACCATTTCACCATAGATGTTTCGGCGTTCGCTGACGAGAACGCGGCGAGCGGCGACGCCCAGAGCTCCCCGGGCCCCTGATGGGTGTGCAAGACAGTTGCAGAGACGTCGAGGATGCAGTGCAGATGTGGGAGTGACTGTAGAGGTCTCTAAATCAGAGGACGATGAGATTCGCGGAAGAGCAGGTTTGTCAATGGGATTGGAGTTTGCGTCACCTTACTGAGTCTCACATGACGGCGCATCGGTCGCTGCGCTCAGATATCACGTCGTCGCTAGGGTGATAGAAGTATATCCTCCCAGTGACAGTAGTCGCCTTGATAAGACTGGATCCCGCCTGCAGCTCCTCCTCGTCTGTTCTTGTCCCTACTAGTAACGTCCCACTGGCCTGACATTGGCCCTGTTCCACGTCTGGATCTGGAGGGAGGCGAACGCGCCAGCTCTGCCTGTACTCCGGCGCGTTCCACTCGTAATCGTCCCTCTTCCCGGGGAGGGATACAGCATACGACGCCAGTCTGGGGGAGAGCTCAGCCCGCAGTCCTCCGAAACACTGCGCGATGAGCTCTCCGTCGAAGTGCTGTGGTAGCCAGATATGGATCGCGCCTGATGTCAGTCTGTCCTTCCTCCAGAACTCACCAGATCCAGAGGATGCCTGCACATCGATCGGGTTTTGGGCACTGACACGCAGTCGTAGCGGGTGGTTCCGTGTGTCTGCTTCGATGCTCGCTGGCCGCTTTCCGAGCAGAGAAAGGTCCGCGTCGATCTTACCCTTCGCTGACTTCAGCGAGACGTCTGGTTGACCCGATGAGGCGTCGCTCAGTTGCACGGTATACGCTCCCTCTATGCTTGAAGGGGTATGCAAGACACTGTTCGTCAGGCCTGTTACTCGGTGTCACGAAGCTCACAAGGGCGATTTGAAAGCTGTAAAGACGCTGGTGCTTTTCATTACCCGACGTTTGGTGTGGGTTCGATCCGCGGCTTCCGTTTGTGTACGTGTCCCAAGGTCTAGCTTGTCAGTGGGTCTAATGGCGCCAATGTTGCAGTCGCCAGACGTAAATGTTATCGTGGCCGAGTGAGTGATGGATTGAGCGAACGTAAGCGGCCAGAGCGGCTCGGTGCGTTGGTCATCCCTTGAAAGGCTGTGTTATCGTCGGCGATATCCGCAATCAGACGCTTCCAGGCCTATCCTACTTTACAGCCCACATCCAGCAACTTGAGCGCTCCTATACACCGCTCGCACCGCCGCCGCCGGCGCCGAGGCCGCGCCGCCGCAGTCGCTCTCGTCAGCAGCATTAGGCCACTTAGCTCAGTTGGTTAGAGCGTATGCTTAACACTTGCAGCGTTACGCATAAGGTCGGCGGTTCGACCCCGCCAGAGGTCATTCTTTTGCTTCTCTCGTGCTACGTTGCCTCATTGTAGGCGATCAGGTTGGGATGCTGGTTTTAAGAACGATGGTGATGATGTTGGTTTGGTTACAGGAAGCGGAGTGGAGGATCGGGCGTCTCCGGTGGGTCATCGAGCGGCACGTGCCTGCTATTTCGATCTCGTCCACATCTCTGGAGACTAGTATTCACACGTTTCTGCTTCTGTCCACACGTTCTTCGCCCACATCCCATCCCATCCTCATCTTGCCCGATAAGCTTTCATCTCTGCTGTGCGGCGGGGAGCGGAGACATGACCCAAGATGGCTAGTGCGACTGATGCAGACAAGGAACGGCTCCTGTCGGCGGCGTCTTCCCCGGATCTAGAACGCGACCTCGGCGATGCGCAGCTTTATAAAGCGCGACAGCGACCCGTTGGACGATTGGTCCCTATACTCGTAACCACCATGTTCCTTGGACTTGCAGCGATGTTCGCACTCATCATCTGGGCGCCATCCGTGTTCGGCGTTCCCGCGGGACAGAAGGATGGGCTGAACCCCTATGCGGATGGGAGGACCCTCAGCGCGAATGGAGACAAGTTCAAGATTGTCCTCTTCTCTGATCTTCACTATGGCGAGCGGGGCACGAACAATTCCTGGGTCAAGTGGGCTGACGAGGCCGTGAGTACGCCTACTCCATGCGCATCAGCTGCTCTGGGTCGCGGTCTTGCTGACAACAGGATGCCAAGAGCACCGAAGTAATGCGCAAGGCGCTCGCTGACGAGCACCCCGACTTTGTCGTCTACGGTGGAGACCAAGTCACGGGCGAGAACACTTTCTACAACGTGACCGGCCACCAGAACCACCTTCTGCAGCCCGTGCTCGAGACCAAGACACGCTTCTGCAGCATCTTCGGAAACCACGACGAGAGCTACAACGTGAGCCACATCAGCTCGTATCTGCACGAGAAGGACGTCGCGCCCGAGCTCTCCTGGACGCAGCGTGTTGTCGAAAGCGCCGCGGACCCCAAGGGGCAGTTCAACTACTTCATCCCCCTCTGGGCCGACAAGAGCCAGGCACCCGCCGCCGTGCTCTGGTTCTTCGATTCGCGCAGCGGAGTGCACTACTCTGGCGAGTTTGGGATCAAGAATGAGCCGTGGCTTGCACTGGATTGGGTCGACCCACAGGCCGCGACATGGATCAACAACACGGCCGACGCCATGCGCAAAGAGTGGGGCACACTTCCGCCCGCCCTCGTGTTCGTGCACATCCCGCCCGTCCTCGCCACGCCTATCTCGAAGGAAGTCGCGGAGCGTCCGGACGACTTCCCGGGAATCAACTTTGACCCCAAGCCTGACACGCAGGGTGATGCCAAGGGGTGAGTCACTCGGAAGCTGGCGGGAGTTGATAGCAGCTAACAAAGCAGCAAGTTCTGGCACCGCACCGACCCCAGCCACCCCTGGTGGGCGGCTGTGAGCGGCACACTCGGCGCCGACGATGGCCTCCTCGGCGTCATCTCGGGCCACGATCACGGAGACGACTGGTGCGGCCGCGCCGAGTCTGCAGGCCCGTACACATTCTGCTATGCGCGGCACACGGGCTACGGAGGGTACGGCACTTGGGCGCGTGGCTCGCGTGTGTTCGAGTTTAGCACTAAGGGTGGTGCTCTCGACGGCCTCCGGACCTGGATCAGGATGGAGGACCACAGTGCCGCGAACACGACGACGCTCGCTGAAGGCGGAAAGGCGGTGCTGAGAAACTCGAGGGATGCGCCGTGATGTCCGTGATGTCTCCGAGATCGGCATGCTGTAGATCTGCCAGGCCGAGGCACGGCTCTCGGCCCAGGATATGCATGATTCCAGACTCTGTACTCTTGTTCGGCGGACTTGTCCCCGATTAACGTCTCTGTTGCCAAGATAACAGCGAGCAGAGCGTCACTCTGGGGATATCTCGGCTGATCATCGGTGCCAAGGACTGTTACGTAAATGGCTGTTTGCTTCCAGAGTGGATCCCTGAGGCCGCTCCACGGCAGATGTGCACAGGCCTTCGACGTCACTTGTTCTCCGCTCCATCGAGCAATAACACCCCTACTCCGCACGTCGAAGAAATGCTCGACGAATAACACTCTGGGATCGGGACAGGTCCCGCATCGTCGGGCGGCGCAAAGCTTGACAGCGTCTGGATTCGAGGGACCAGAGTCAACAAAAATGTCGTCATGACCTTTCTATTCGTGGGGCCTGTTTCCGCACCCGCCGCACCTGGGCTGTACCTGGCGCTCGCGATCTCTTGGCATCCAGGTCGACTGGGTCGAAAACATCCCGCGCACGCCGTCATTGATCGGGCAATCTGAACACCAAGAACATCTCCAAGACCATCGAGAGAAGGTGACCGTGCTCCGTTTGAGCTGTCTCCTCATTGCCATCTATCTACTTTCTTGATTGTTTCAACTCTGTCACTGTTCTTCGTTTCATCGTCCACACGCCCCCTTCACGCCTCGAGCCAGCCCCACACGCCGACCCAACACATTCCTTCCCCGCTTCGCTCGGATCACTTCAACCTCACTCCACTCTTTGCCGCCCGACCTTGATTTCGATTTCTTAACCGCCTGAGCTCTTCAGCTTTCAGCTCGACAACTACACAACCCCGTTCGCCCCGCTGAGCTCGCCGCGATGGACTACAGAGGTCCCATCAACCCCAAGAACCCGCCCGCGGACGGCGAGGCCGGTATCAGTATCTACCTCTACAGACCGTGGATGGGGGGCGCGATCGCCGGCGTCGTCACCTTCGGTATCGCCATGTGCATCCAGCTCTGGTACATGCGCAAACGGGGGACGCGGTGGATCCATGGTCTCCTGGCCCTGGGATGTGTAAGTTACGAAGTGGAGCGAGCGGCACTGCCGTGTCTGCACGCTGGCCGCGGAGGTAGCTGGGGGGCATGGTTAGCAGCTGACATCAGCTTATGGAGGTTGGCGGGTACGCGGCCCGCATCAAGGGACATGCGAACATGTTCCTCGTGTCTGTGTTTGTTGCACAGTACTTCCTCATCGTTGTTGTGAGTAGACCGACCGACGATCAGAAAAGACAGTCCCCGATGGCACGACTTCTGATCGCCGAAGGGACAGCTAGATGCTCTGGCCACAGAAGCTGACGTCCAGGCGCCCATTCCGGTCGCCGCAGCAATCTACCTCGTCCTGTCCTATGTCGCGCAGCGGTTCCCGCACGGCCGCAAGCTGCTGTGGATGGCGCCCCGCGTCGTTGTCGCCGGTAAGTCGCAGCGAGGGATATGATGCCATATGTGTAAACATATGTTGGGGTGGGTGAGCGGGCCCCATCTCTCTCTTCTCGGGGCCCGCGCATGGCCCATAAAACAGCTAAACAATGACTGATCCCGCTCTCCTTTCATTATGCTACCCTACCCTGCTGGTGTGTAAGCTGACAGCCAGCCTTCGTCTTCATGGACATTGTCACGATCGCGATCCAAGTCACGGGAGCCGCGCTGATCGGCGTCGTGCAGACACGCAAGGCGGAGAACAAGGAGCCGCCCGTGTCGTCCGAGACGGCGAACAACATCCTGCTCGCTGGTCTCGCGGCGCAGACCGCCTTCTTCACGCTCTTCCTCTCCCTCCTCGGAACGGCCATTGCGCGCATCGGTCGTATTCCGACACAGTACAACCTGCGCCGGAACGCGCTCACAATCCTGTTGGTGGATCTGGCGGCCGCGCTCCTCATCCTCCTGCGTACAGTGTACCGCCTCGCCGTCGAGTGCCAGGGCTATTTCGGCTCGGCCAACAGCAGTCAAGTCCTGTACACGTGTCTCGAGTACCTCCCCGTTATTCTGGCTATGGCTGTCTTCTGCGCTTTTCCCATTTATCGCTTCATGCCGTCTGAAGAGCAGAGGAGGAGCCTCGAGACGGACATTGATCCTGCCGAACTGGACGGGATCAATGGCGGAGAGGAGATCAAGGACACGTACTCGGCGCAGCTGGAGGCAAGGCGGTCCAGGGAGAGCGCGAGGCCGTATCCCTAGACCTCGCGCGTCCTGTTTGTGTTTATCTTCCGCCAGATCTCAGCATAGATGTTCGTGTTTTCTTGCCCGTCGAGGTAGAGGCTAGTTGTTTCCCGCGCTTTCGTATTAGAGTAGATGCCAACTCCTGGGGTATGCTGAGCAGAACTGTACTGAGCTTGTGACATTGACCCTTGAGCCGGCCGAGTGACAGTGTGATAACTGACGACTTGCTCACAATTGACAGAACAGTCAAGTGGACAGGGCAAGGAGAACCAGAGTCACTGCGACGTCACATACCTCGACCTCAATCGTCTGTGGCACAGCCGACTCAAGAATCGCATACGCGTCTCACGGGGTAGAGCCATGCCCGCCATGCATGCTCCACTGGAAGCCATAGCCTGACATCTCGGAATGGCGCTGCACCAGACCCCTACTGGTCAAGCATAGCCTCATGCACATCAGACATCCCGGACCCGAGCCGTCACAGGCTGTCATGTGGTCTGCCGCGACGACGCGCGGCTTGTCACTGAGAATGGAGAAGATATATCACGACGTGCTGAAGACTGGGGTCTGCGCACTCCACTCGCCGACGGAGAAAGAACCCAAAGCCATGCCTGGCGCAATCAAGCTGCTCGATGCTCCCACGCCTCCTCAGAGGAAGGCGGAACCCGTCCAACGCGCCGACGCTCCCCTGTAAGCCCACCCCGTCTCTAATGCTCATACAAGCTCGCTGCACCGCTTCAACGGCCCCCTCGAGGGCACCTACCGCGTACGTCTGGGCCCGGCGCCCGCGGACCCACACCAGCCCGACGTCGCGTTCAGTGTTCTGAACGGTGCCATCCGAGCCACTGTCAACCTGCACGGCCATCGGCACGCGACACTGGACGCGACCACCGTCAATGGCTCGGTCCGTCTCCACGTGAAGAGACAAGCGTCCGTTGGGATCAGTGTTTCGAGCGCAAATGGCGCCGTGCATTTGTGGTTGCCCCAGGGTTTTGATGGGATCCTGTCCTGTGGAAGTGGGAATGGGACTGTGGAGCTCAGCGAGACGCTGCAGCGGTACGCTGTCATTGTTCCGGGCGAGAAGGGGCTCGTGTGGCATGTACGTCTGCCTGACGACTTGGACATGGGGCACCACGATCACAACCCGAACCTCGACTTGGGCGGGGGCCCTGCCGCCCTCGCTATGGAAGGTGACAACAAGTTGACCGATGCTGTCCCCAAGAACCCGGAGAGCCCAGAGAGCGAGAAGTCCGACGCCGACAGTAGGATCGTTGCGAGGCGGGAGTCGGACTCTAGCGACGGGGAGAGGAAGCCCGGCCCCGATCGCGCCAAGGCGGAGACGGCTAATGGCAAAGTGAGGGTGTATGCCGAGGGGGAGAAGGAGGAGGCGGGGTGTTGGTGGGAAAGCCGCTGTGAGGTCATGTAGACGGCCAGCCCCGTAGTCGTCGCGCGCAAAACAACATACTCCTCACGCCACAGGCAATAGCAGGCTCCATAGCCCATTCCTTTCTCCGATAACCTGTGCTCCGACTGTAGATAGCAAGTCTATGCAGCCCTGACCTCGCTGAATCTCTTGAAGCGCGGAAGGCATGTTGTTGCATATGGGCTATTACAAGCAGATAGTGAATGTTTGCGCCGGCCTGCTACACGAGTAACCACCATACAGTTCGGACCGAGATTCCGATGTTTCCGCCCACAGCGTGTCACGCGGTCGATCGCGGAATGAGCCGAACAACACCCCGGGATCGTCATATCGTCAGCGTTTTGTCAGACGGTTACGCGTCGCTAGCACGAAAGTGATGACATTCAATGCGAAAGCCGTGGCTGCATCTCGGAGCCGATACATAAGACCTGTCTGGGGCAAGTGGATCGGGCGCTCGTGCCCGCTCCTCTTCCCCTCGCTTCCTAACTCCCAACTCCCAGCGGCGTCGCTATCAACCGCACACCTTCGCAACGTACACTCTCCCATCCAGCCCAACACCGATCGGCTAGAAGGCGCGGATAGCAGCGGAAACGATATCGGCGACCCCACGCCGAGATCACATCGGCAACATGGTGACCAATCACGAGGACGCATACGACGCGCCGCCAGAGTACACGCCGAGCGAGCGGACCGAGGCGACCGCGACGACTGAGGGGACAGAGTACGAGCGTGCGCCGCGCGAGCAGCACGGAGTGTCAAGCGGGCCGCCGAGGTTGCGCGCCGAGTCGCCGATGTGAGTTGCCGCCGCCGTTTCCAGATCATCCCAGCAGCTGCGCGGCATGCGCGGAGCAACGACAGCTGACCGACCGCAGGTGCATCCGCTCAACGAACGGCTCCATCAAGACCAACTACGCCGTGCGCCTCATGGCGCCCGTGCCCGACAAACCTGATGCGGAACTGCGTTCGGCGAACGGGTCGATCGACACGAGTCTCTCTCTCACTGGCACTCGCCCTGCGACGATTACAGCGACGTCGTGGAACGGCTCGGTCCGCCTCCGCACCGAGCGCCAGGGCCCCGTGTCCATCGAGGCCGAGAGCAAGAATGGCGCTGTGCATCTCTGGCTGCCGCGCGGATTCGACGGCGTTGTCACTGCGAGTAGCGGGAATGGGAACGTCAAGCTCAGCGAGGCGCTCATGGAGAGCGCGGTGCTGGTGCCGCACGAGGGGGCGGGGCAGGCGTGGCGCGTCAAGGCGCCAGGCGCGCGGGGTGGTAGCGGAGGAGGGGGTGGAAGCGGCGGGAACGGAGGGAACGGAGGGAATGGCGGCGGCGGCGGCGGTGGTGGTAGCAGGAAGGGGATCCGGGCACAAGCCCAGATCGAGATTGAGTTCAAGTTCCGCACCGGCAGCAGCAAGAGCGGAGCGCCTGCTGTGCCTGCACCTCCTGTGCCGCCCACGCCGCCTGCACCTCCTGCCCCGCCCGCCGCGTCAGCTGTTGGCGCCCCACCCAAGCCTCCCGTGCCCCCTGCGCCGGCCTCCGCGGCCTCGGCTGCCTCCGCGACGTCCACGAGCTCGACCCCTATTCCGAACCCCTTCACGCCGACAGACGACAAGAAGAGCCTCGCGCTCGCCTACGCTACAGGCGATGCGGAGCGTGAACGAGAAGCCGGACTTGAAGCTAATGAGGAGTCCGTGCCAGTGCATGCGCAGTGGGAGCGGGAGGACGAGATTCCCGAGGAGAAGGCGGGTCCCGACCGCGTCAAGGCTCGGACGGCTAATGGGAATGTGAGGATCTACCTCGCGGACGAAGGGGAGGAGGAGTGTTCTGGCAGATGTCTCGTCATGTGAATTCAGTTATTCAGAAGGGCTTTCCGTTGTGAGAAGTTCAAGTTCGTTAGAACGTATTTGATGTAAATGTGGTATGAGGCACTGGGCACTGTGTCTGGACGGTCAAACGCTGACGTACCCGAGACCTCCTCGTTTCTGCACAGCGTATGTGCTCGCTGACATACCTGCTGATGAGCTGGCATAGCTTTGCGCCATTGTGCCCGTCCCTGGCCGCGTGCGGATTGAGCAGGCGCCGCATCGTGCAGCAGTGAGGGTACAGCCATACAGTACATGACTCGGATAGAATACAACACGATCTGTGATCCACTGTCCACTGTCCCTTCGTTTCTTCGCCCGGAGATCAATCCAGGCGCTCGTCATAGAAGAACTCGACGTCGTCTCCGTACTTCCGACTCGCCTTCGGATCAGCCCGACACGCGACCGCATGCCTCGCCTCAGCCACCATTGCGGCGGGGCCAGAGACGTAGACCCGCGAGTGCCCGCTCGTCTTGTTGAGGAAAGAGCCGATGACGCTGTCAACGACACAGCGGCCAGACTCGTACCTCTCCAGCCGCGTGAGAGGGGCCGTCTCGTCGCTGCTGGCGATGAAGGGTTTCTCTGCCGAGATGTCGGGGGTCTCGAGAGGCGTCTCGGGGGGCGTCTCGGTCGACATGGCGGCGAGTTTATCCACTACGTCGAGCTCGCCTGGCGTTGCGGCCTCCGAGACGGCCCCCGAGACCATCTTCTCCTGCGGTGCGACCGCTTCGCGCGTAACGTGGATCGTGACGCTGACGCTCGCCTGTCGCAGCTGCGCCATCTCGGGCTTGATCCACTCCACATCGGCGCGCTCCCGCACACACCACACGAGCTGCACAGGACCCTTGCACCTCTGCTCGAGCAGGACAGGGAGGACGTAGGCGATCCCCGTCCCGCCCGCGATGGCGAGCACGCTACTTTCACGCGGCGCACTGATGTCCGGCCCATAGGGCCCAGAGAGGATGACGGGCGTCTCGGGGCCGAGGGCGAGGAGTTTGCGCGTCTCGCCGCGGCGGGCGCGGACGATGAATGCGAGTCCGTCGTCGGAGACGGAGAGAGGCGTGAAGGGGTGGGACTGCCAGATACTCCCCCGGGGGAAAGTGAGGAAGTAGTGCTGGCCCGGGGCGGCGGGGACTGATGCCTTGACGTCGAGCCGCGCGGCGTCGTGGGCGTCGTGGAAGGGTGTGATTCGGCACGCGAACGTCGTGAACACCCCCACCCCGCCGCCGATCACGCGGTGGTGCAGCAGCGCTGTGCGCAGGAGGCGCAGGCCGCGGTCCGCGCCCCAGAGCAACAGGCTGGGCAGGAGGAAACACTTGAGCCCGTCCCAGTGTCCCCAGCACGCGCCAATGTACACCATGGCGAGCACGTAGTGCGCCTTGCGGAAGGTCTCGTATCCGGTCAACCGCTGTCCCCACGGCGTGGCGAGGAACCACAGCAGCAGCAGGAGTATCATGGCGACAATGCCCCAGACCATGTACGTCTGCACGATCCACTCGCGCGCGACCTGCGGTTGCGGCTGGTACAGCCTTATTTCGACTATGCACCAGCCGATGGTGTGCAGCGCCGACTGGGCGAAGATGACGTGCCCCACCCAGCGGTGCAGGAAGGTGAACTGCTGGTACGGCACGCCGGTGAGTGCGGAGAGCAAGGACTCGCGCGCGCCGAGCAGGATACTAAGCGGCGTAAGCGCGTACGCGAGCACGCCGACGCGGTCCGCCCACGGCCCCAGCGAAGTGCGCGTGTTGTACACTTGTGGGTCGCTGTTCTTCACCGGCGTGACCCAGGTCTGGTACGTGATGCCCACAAAGGAGAAGACGGCGAGGTACGCCAGCATCCCCGCCACGAGGAGCACTTGGAGGCGCGTCGCGTGCCCGAAGATACTCGTTACAGCTCGGCGGGCCCAGCCCGGTCTTGGCGGCGCGATGTTGGGCAGGAGGTAGCGATGCAGCAGCGCGCGCAGGGCTGCTGTCCGTTTTCCGCGCGGTCCGGGCGTGAGAGAGCGGTAGAGCGCCCAGAGCAGGAGGATGGAGCAGATCACGATCCACATGATCCCCACGTAGGTCATGCCGACGTCGTGCGCGCCGTACACTGCGTCGAGGTAGGCGCAGGAGCCCGCGTCGTTCTTGCATGGCACGACGCGGTCGGCGTAGCCCCAGTGCGGCTCGACGTTGGCGCCGTCAAAGTCTTGGATGTGTACCATGGTCCAAGTCCGAGCGAAGCGAGGACGGAGGCGAGGGCGAGTGAGTCGAGGTTAGGTGTCGCGTGAGCCCAGTCGCGGTGGAATCGAATTGGATCAGGTGTTGGTCGGGTATCAGTCGCTTATTGTTCGTTATTGTTCGGAGAGATGGGGAAAGTGTGACAAATGAACGAGCTTGTGTTGGGGGGTAGGATGGTATCAAGTAGCCCAGTGTCGAGTTTCCTCCAACCGCCGTCGTCGTCGTGGATAGAGTACAAGACAAAAGACGAGTCGGGCGAGTGTGGGGCCTAGTGTGCGAGGGATGCTTTAGCGTCCGCTATCAGATATAATTTATTTATCAATCTCGTCGTCATCAAGCTGGTGTCTCGGGGCTTTTCGACACGAGAATCCAGCCTCCGTTGTTCTGGAATCAGGAAAAGAAAGCCCCAGCCAACGAGGATTAGGCCGCAGGGTGAGGAATGTGATCGCCGATCGTCGCGGCATATCTTGTCTTGGATGTGATTGGCTAGCAGCCACGTGCGGCCCACCCGAGGAGAGCATAGACTCAAGATTTCGGGCGAGTGGAGGCCGTCCAGTGCAGCCAGTGCAGCCAGATCCGGATGCAACGAACGGGAGCGAGGAGGGACGTCACTTGACCTGTTACTCATCTTGGCAACATCTCACAACCAGCCTCTACTCCATCTCCACTTCGTTGTTCCGAGACACCAACGCGACCTCTTCGACTGCTGACGGGGAGCATCCCTCTGCGACTGGCGACCACGACCTCCACTCCCCTCCTCGAGAACAATAGCCCTTCGACCAACCCCTCACCCCCAGCATTCTCCCACTTCCCAGCGACCGCCCTACACCACCATGTCGCACTACCACGGCGGCATCGCTAACAGCACAACGTGATCGCCATCCGTACGCTATCATTCTCCCCCCTGCCTAGCTAACCGCCAGATGCTCTGGAACTGGCAAACGATAGACTCGTGCTTCCTCTCTGAATCCTGGCACGTCAAATCACGCGGCGCATTCGCAGCCAGCTGTCTCGGTGTCGTAGCTCTGGCCGCGTGTGTAGAGGTAGTCAAGCACTGGAGTGCGCAGTACGATGCGCAGGTGTGCGTGTCTCTGCGGGCGGCCGATGCTCGACGAGCAGCACTAGAGGACGACGGGGACGTCGGTCTCACGACGGCGCAGCGACAAAGACGACACCGGCGAACGCTCCGCGCCACGCCGTTCCAGCAACTCGTCCGCACTGCGCTCAGCGTACTCCTGCAAGGCGGGTTCTACATTCTCATGCTCATCGCGATGGCGTTCAACGGGTACATCATCGTGTGTATCCTCCTTGGCACGGCGCTGGGCAAGTTCCTTGGCGACTGGTTGCAGATCGACCCGGACGAGGACGAGTATGGCGTCAAGCATGAGCATTAGCACATTAGCGAGCCGTCAGGATGTGGGCGCCGAGATGCTGAGAAGCGACGCCGAGCGAAGGCACGAGGCACACGCGAACCGGCGACCGGCGAACCGCAGAGCGGCACACGTACTGCGACACCCGGCTCTCCGCCCGGCCAGCATCCCGAAGCCGATGTAGGAATCAGAGAACTGGGAGGGAACATTTGTGAGGAATGTTGACTACTTGCCTTGTGTAGTCCACCCACGTTCGAACCATTCGTCTTGTGCACACGGCCACACGGATCTGGCTGGAAGAGTCGCCTGACGAAAGCACGACATTTTTTGCAAGGCAGTGCTGAATGCTGCGGGTGCCTGTGTAAGCTGGGGGGCGCCATGCCAAGACGTGTGCCCCTCCGCTCGAGCAGATTTGTACTCAAGTGTGTAAAACGTTGTTGTAATACTATGCATCATCCATTAAGCATAACGTCCTTTCTGCACACACACACGCATCAGAGTTCGGTGTGGTTTGAGTTCTGGTCGACGCTAATGCATGAGCCTTGGGCATGTGGGGAGCAGGAGCAGGTAGGAGAGGGAGCAACTGGAACAACTGAATAGTCGCCGTTACGTCACGATCACGAGGCCGACGGAGGCGTTGTCTTGGCCCATCTCTTGACCTACTCACTCTGCTTCTCCGCTGTCTCCGCTCTACTCTGGTCCCTCTTAAGCCCCCCCCCCCTCGCTCTTCAGATGAACGCCGCTCTCCTTATCCCAACACACATTCCACCACTAGCATCATCATCCTCACGATGCTATCTCTACCGCGACTCGCTCTCGCGGTATTGACGACAGCAGCGACAACCGCCCTCGCGGCAAGCTGCCCGAACGACCTCAAGACGAGCTATCCCTCCCCCGCGCCCAAGGACGGATGGACAGTGCGCCTAGTGGCAAACTCGGGACTGAGCAAGCCGCGCTCCATCCTGTTCGACGACTCTGGCGCACTGCTCGTGCTCGACCAGAATGTCGGCGTGCTCCGCATGGTGCTCGAGGACCATGGCGGGAGCTGCGTCACTGTCGCGAATACAACGACCGTGGTCGGGAATAAGGACGTGAGTATTTCTACCACTGAATCTGTTGCGCTCTTGGGCTCTGTTGCAGTCAAGAAGTGGGGGAGCAGGGGTGAAGCTACGTGGTTCTGCTTCCCAGCTGACACGCCAGTTCAACCACGGCCTCCAGCTCTCGCCGGACGGGAAGACGCTCTACGTCTCGACTGCGAACGACGTCTTCGCGTACGCGTACGACAGCAACGCGGGGTCCGTGTCGGGCGACCCCCGCGTGGTAGTGACAGGGATGGACAACACGATGCACAAGAGCCGCACGCTCTTCCTGACGTCGGGCGGCGACCTGCTAGTCTCGCGCGGCAGTGCCGCGAACGCGGACGTGCTGGCGCGCGAGGAGTCGAGCGGGCACTGCCAAATCCGCTCGTTCGACGTCTCCAAGGATCGCACGAATTACACAGACGGGCAAGTCGTCGGCTGGGGGTTGCGCAACAGTGTCGGGCTCGGCGAACACCCGACCAATAAAGGGGTATGGTCCGTTGAGAACAGCGTCGACAACCTCCGCCGCCAAGGCCAAGATATCCACAACACGAACCCGGGCGAGGAGCTGAACTTCCACGGCCAAGCGGGCAACTACACAGGCCAGAACTTTGGGTATCCCATGTGCTATACGCTGTGGGACACGAACAATTTCCCCAACCTCGGCAGCCTGCGCACGGGGGACAACTTTGCCGTCGAGATCGCAGAGGACACGAACATCGCCCCGCTGAGTGATGAGCAGTGCAATGCCAACTCTACGCGGCCAGTATTAGCGCTCCCCGCACACACGGCGCCGCTCGACATCGTCTTCGACGACAAGGGAGAGCACGCCTACGTCTCCCTGCACGGGAGCTGGAACTCGGACCCGCCAGTCGGCTACTCTCTCATCCGTGTACCCTTCGGCGAGAACGGAATGCCCAAGGCCGCAGGGGACAGTAAGGACGGGTTCGAGGAGATAGTCACCTCTCCGGACCTCAGCAAGTGTCCGTCCCAGTGCTTCCGGCCCGTTGGACTCGCGTGGGATGCCAAGAAGCGCCTGTTCCTTGCCAGCGACACGACGAAGGAGATCTTTGTGGTCATGCCCAAGTCGGGCGAGGATGATGGGGACGAAAGCGCTGCGGCGCGACTCGGGCCGAGCGCCTGGCTCGCTGGAGCGCTGGCGCTGCTTGCTTGGATGGTGTAGAAAAGTGTCGGAGGGGAATCTTGTAATGTCGCATTTTCTTGTCTATGCATCCGACTGTACGCATTCGCAGTGAGGGCCGAGATAAGCTGGACGCCGAGTCGGGAAAGGACATGACTGGCTGCCACTGTACTCCCGAAGAGATCTCTCCGTGCAGGATGCAAATGCGTAGTAATTGGTGGATAGCCTCGTGGACGATGAACAACGCACGCCAAGACCTCCGGGGGCTGTGGAATGCGGGGCTGGCCGATAAAGAATGGTGGGCGGAGATGAGCGACGATCGGTAATCGGCGTCCAGTGTTGACCGATGTGCATCGGCGAACGGCCCGTACGAGATGCTCAGCTGACATCGTTCCCAGGCTATATATACATAACAGTCGCGACCTCCCTAACCAACGCTGCAGTCTCCCTACTCTGAACGAGAGACACCATGCCGCCCAACATCATCAGACCCCAGCTTCCCCCGCCTTTCCTCCCCACTCTCAGCGCGTGGGAGTACGTCTTCCCCTCTGGCCCTGGTATCAGTCCCGGGGCGGGGCCGTGGCCGGGTGAGACCACCGCCTTCATCGACGGCCTCACTGGACGCTCCATGACGAGGGCGGAAGTACACGACACGGCGCTGAAGCTCAAGGGCGGGTTGAACGCCCGCGGCGTCAAGAGGGGTGACACGGCGGCCATCTTTGGCAGCAACAGCATCGAGTGGGCGCTCGCGGCCTGGGGATGTCTCGCTGCGGGCGTCGTCGTGACGCCGTGCAGTTCGGCCTTGTACGTGGACTCTTACCGAGTGATTGGCTGACAGGGTAGCGGCACGAGCGAGCTGACGTACCAACTGAACGACTCTGGCGCCACGGTCCTGTTCATCTCCCCCGAGCTCCTGCCCGTATTCGAGAAGTGCCGCTCCGAGCTCAAGTTCTCCTTCCCCTCTGACCGCGTCATCCTGCTTACTCCTCCGGACGCTCCGAACCAGAAGTATCCCAGTCTGTGGAGCTCTCTCGGCCCGCTCTCGGAGCCCGAGCCCTTCAACGGCGTCGACGCACACGAGACGGCGTGGCTCTGCTACTCCTCCGGCACGACGGGCCTGCCAAAGGGCGTGCAGACGACGCACCACAACCTCACGACGCAGTTTGAGACGACGACCCTCATCCGCCCCCTGCCCAAGCACGGGCAGGACGTGATTCTCGGCTTCCTCCCCTTCTCGCACATGTACGGCATCCTCGCGGTCGTGACCACGCCCGTGCTGGCGGGTGTGCCCGCGATCATTCTGCCCAAGTACGACGAGCTCGCGGCCCTAAAGCTGATGCAGAAGTACAAGGTGACCAAGTTCAGCGCCGTGCCCGCCGTCCTCCTCGGCCTGGTGCACAGCCCGCACGTGCCGCGGCACGATGTGAGCAGCCTTGTCGAGATCCGCTGCGGCGCCGCGCCCATGGGGCCCGAGCTCGCGGCGCTGTTCCGCGCGCGCTTCCCCAACTGCGTCATCAGCCAGGGATACGGCATGACCGAGGCGTCGCCGGCCATCACGCTCCCGACACCCGAGGACGATAGGGCCGGCCGGCCGGGCGTCGGCCGCCTCGTGCCCAGCTACGAGGCGCGCATCGTCACCGAGTCCGGCGAAGACGCGCAGCCGGGCCAGCCGGGGGAGATCTGGGTGCGCGGCCCAAACGTCATGAGGGGTTATCACGGGAAGCCCGACGCGAACGCCAAGTCCTTCGCCCCGGGGCACTGGTTCAAGACCGGCGACGTGCTGTATCAAGACGAAGAGGGGGGATTCCACGTCGTCGACCGCATCAAGGAACTCATCAAGTGCAAGGGCTTCCAGGTGCCGCCGGCCGAGATGGAGAGTCTGCTCTTGAGCCATCCGGACATTGTGGATTCCGGCGTTGTGGGCGTGTACGACGCGGCGCAGGCTACGGAACTTCCGCGAGCGTATGTCGTCCTCGAAAGTGGGAAGCAGGTCGCGCCGCAGGAGATTGCGCAGTGGGTCGCCAACCGCGTGGCCCAGTACAAGAAGCTCCGCGGCGGGGTTGTCGTCGTTGAGGGTATTCCGAGGGGTGCGACCGGCAAGATTATGCGCAACAAGCTCAGGGAGAGGGCGAAGGAGGAGTGGGAGGCCGAGGGGCGCGCGAGACTGTAGAGCAGCCCTCTAGACACTCTAATGCATGCGAGAATGTCAGAAGCGACCAAGTCGATGGAATGGCAAGGGTAAAAGCAGCCACTGTCAGCCTCGGAGGCCAGGCTGTGGATGACAACCGACACCGCTCGGAACCGAGCACTAGCCTCCCACACCCCACCGCCATGTTCAAGGGCGCCATCACCGCCTCACTCGGCGCTCACGCGTCGAGACTCACCACCGTGAGCATACAAGTATGCATGCCGCATCGAGCTCGGTCACTCACCCACCACCCACTGGCATACTAGCCCGCTGATAGGCATGCGCTTCAAGAGCGAACGAACAAACGAGCCTCCTCCAACATATGAGGAGTCGGCGTCGCACAGCACCCGTCCACCGCTACCTCCGCGCGATCCTCGGCGCTATGCTCCCCCCGGTCCGCCCCCGCTCCCGCCCCGGAATCTCTCTCAAACGTCCCCTTCAACGGGCATATCCGTTCCCTCCGGGGTGACACACGGCACTGCACCCTTGTAAGCCCTGCCCTGCAGCGCTGCTGACGTTAGCGCCGTGTCCAAGACTTGGTCCAGCATTCGGAAGAAGTACGCCGTGCAACTACCCCGCCAGAGCACGGGACAGCCAGACGTCTCCCTCCGAGTCGCGGACGGGGACATCCACACCACGCTCTATCTCCTGGGCAGCGTTGGCCGACCGGCCCGGGTCGAGCTCAAGGCAAGCGAGGGAAGCATAAAGCTCCGCCTCGTGCGAGAGAGGGGCCAGGCCGTAGACGTGCAGGCGGTAACAACGAACGGTACGTGCCCCTCTCACGTCCTATTCCCAACTGACGACAAGGCCGCGTATCGATCTATCTTCCGCACGACTTCCAGGGCCCCGTCACGGGCCACACCAGATCTGGTTCTGTCAAGGTCTCGCCTGGCCTCATGCCGCGCGCGGTCCTTGCGCCCAGTCCGCCCGGCGCGGCCAAGAGAGAAGTCAGGCAGACATGGGTCGTCACTCCCATCGGCGCCGATGCCGCCAGGGCGCAATATGGACCGGACAGGGTGTGGGCGCAGACGAAGAATGCGAGCGTCAAGTTCGCCGTCGAGGGGGAGAGGAACGGGGATGACGACGACGTCTGGGGCGATGTGGCCGAGACGGTGCTCGGCGAGGTGTTCGGATGACCTCTTTTACGGAATGCCCTGCGGCTCATCGATGAAGGAATAGACGAGTACGGGATCCTGTATGACCGTTCAGACATGCAATGCTGTGATCAGTGAGAAGGCGTTGGGAGAGGTTCTCGCATTGCAGCGCGACGCTCGCACCGTCGCCGGCACCGCCGGCACCGCCGAGGCCGCCCCGCGCCATCACTGTCAGAGCTTCGGGCCACTTAGCTCAGTTGGTTAGAGCGTATGCTTAACACTCGGAACTCCGACGGAGCGAGAGATTTACGCATAAGGTCGGCGGTTCGACCCCGCCAGAGGTCATTCTTTTGGCTGCTGTGTGCGTGGGAGATGCTGCAGAACTCGTGCGTGGCTTCGGAGCATGGTTGAGATACTGTAGCGGCGTAGTTTGCCTATCTTGGGGTGGACGGCGGCGCGAGGGTTGTCGCAGGAGCACACTTGGAGACATGGCAGACTTTACACAGCTTGATCCGAGGCGTGTCAGAGCGTATCAATCCTATGTGACAAACTCATGTCCGCTCCGGGCTGCTACTTGCTACAGCGCGGCGAGTATCGATAGCAGCATCAGCCCTACCTCGCGCAACGCCCTTCTACGATGTCTTCCTACAAAGCAGATCGGGGGAACCAAATAAACGAAAACTTGGAAATCCAGGGTCAAAAATACTCCCGTCGTTCCGCACCCAACCTTTTCGTGCGCCGCATCGACAACCGTCCTCTTCAACCACGAAAAGGACACTCCACACTGCATTCCGATGCATAGAAGGGCAGCAAAAGAGTACATCCAGGGGGAATCGAACCCCCACCGCATCGATGGCAACGATGCACGATACCATTTCACCATAGATGTTAGGACGCACAGACCACTTCACCATCGCCGAGCGAGGGAGCCGATCTTCGTTGGCGATTGCGGCGCCTGGACAGTTATGTACCCTCGTCCCCGCACTGAATTCGAGTTGGCTGCGCCTTTCGATAATGAGGAGGATGTGAAGTAGCTTGGAAGCTGCATGGCACACACTGAGAGCGATCGAACTGAGGTTAACCGACGAAATCGAGTAGCGGTGCGCTCTTCCCCGAGTCATGTCGTACTGTAATTGTCCCGAGGCTCTTGGCTGCTGCGGCAGTCAACCTGGACAAGGAGTTCAGGATTCTCGAGACAGCACACTATGTACCTCACGAGTTATCAATGGGTGTCTGTCTTCATGAATGGTGAGCTCAACGATGAGAGAGGCTACCGTCTTGGTCACAGTCGTACTCGGTGCCCTTAGTCGCACTCTCATTTCCTATCAGTGCCCAGGATTATACAGCCGTGCACATTTCCGGTCTCGGGCCAATCCTCCCCGCGACCCACAGCCTGAGAGCTTGGAAGCAAGTCTGGCCATTGGACGCCAGGGATGTGAATACAGCCACACGACTGCGTACGGTTTCCTATGCTTGGGCTGCGTGGGGCTGCAAAACCAGAGGGGAAGCTGGAGGGGGAGAGAGGGGTACCGACTTGAGATAGTCGGGAGCAGCATCGCATCGCGGTGCTGTGCGGTGCATGGTCGAGGGATCGGTGTCTTTGAGGCACCATCCAGCCGAGATATGGACTCCTTACGTAAGACACAACGACCAGTGCTCGATCACCAACGCTCACACGGAATCATACGAGCGCACCGCACGAGCTCGGTGGCCTCTGTGGTATCGCTTCAAGCTGTACAGGACTATCCAAACGGACCAATTCTCACGTGTCTTACTTTGACTGCATTACTCCACTCAATTCCAGAATTGCGGACCCGAGGTCCGTTTAGGGGGTCAGCCAGTTGAAACATCTCGGTCTAAAGACATGGAGACCTCCCATCGCATACAGGGCGTGCGCCGTGGTTAAGCCCCGACCAGTGCGCTTCCTTGAGACGCGGTCAAAACGCTTCAGCAATGCCTTGATATTTCCTCTCATCGCATTCACGTGGGCAGGCTGGAGGCTACTGCACCGATTGCGGACTTGCCTATCCGACCTCCTGTCACCTGCGACTGAGCCGAAACTCCAGTGACACTTCCTGTACACCGTGTCGTCTGTATGTCACTGCCCGCAGCTCCGACCTGCTCAGGAGCTGAGACGTCTGGTCTACACCAGAGTACAGGTGGGTCAATCGCCATCCAATCACCACATCAGTAGAGATGAATCTCACGTCGGGCGGGAAGGGGAATTGCGATGAGCATTCTGTAACGCAGCAATGGGAGGTCACCTTGCAGTGTTGGAATTTGTTAGAAGTGACTAAGCACCGTACGGCCAGGAGATGAGTAACGCAAGCTCATCGAGGGCATGCAGTAGTGCCGCCCAACACGTGCCACAGCGCCAGCTACGTGCCCAGACCCCCGAATTAGCTTCAATGCAATCCCTCTCGTATCGTGTTTCTTATCTCAAAGACCCAGCCGGTGCAATCAGTTTTGCACCACCGCTCCGTGACAATCTCTCCAGTTCCGTGTTTCTCATGTTAGGACACCACCGCATTGCTACCAGTCACCACCGCCATCATGAGCAGTACATGTCCGTCACTGCGTGTAAAGTCGTTCCCTCCTGTGACGACCCGACGATACTTAAGACGCCATGCAAGAGAGCTTTAGACTCACCAATCCAATCACTTCCTCCCTTTCACATACAACTCGCACCGGCAGAAAGAACAACTGCCAAACGCATCCGAACCACCACACTCGTTTACATTCTACACCCACACTCCTTTCAGCAACTCAGCAGCTTTGACAGCTACCTTGTTCATTGAGACAAGACACCAGCCACAATGCGTCTCGACTACGGTGCCATTCTATTCGCGCTCGCTACCACTGCTGCGGCCGCACCAATGACTGGCCACGACAATGATCAGGGCGGGGTTCAGCACGAAAAGCGCTTCAAATTAATCGGCCCCAAGAACCCTCTCTACACGCCGGACGGAGAGAGGACTGGGACGTACCTGCCCCCACTCAACTCACACGTGAGTACTCAATCCCTAGACACCTGCCTCCAAAACCTTCAATGTGCTTCTGCAATGCAGCACCTTGTCACCTACCGGATTGCATCCGATCAAGCTAACAGTCAGGATGGCATTGGTCCTCTTATGGATCTGACGGATCGCCCGCACGATCGCCTGCCCCCGGCTTCGGGCGACCGCCAGCACGGAAAGCGCACGTATCTTGTCCCCGAGGTCCAGACTTACCGCCTTGACCATGGTCGTCTCATCATGGACGAGGCACACCGAGTCTATGACCCCAAGGACGGGAAGAGTGTCCCCATCAATGAGCGCTCTTACCTCGTCCCCGACCAGACTCAGGGCACCTACCGCCTCGAGAACGGCAAGCTCATCAAGGACGAGGCACACCGTGTCCCCGACCCCCAGCCTGTAGATGGCGACGCCGACGCGCACGCGAAGGATGCGATGCGTGAGATCATGGGAATCATGGACAAGCACGGAAAGCGACTCCTTATGCCTGACTTAAGGGGTCCCGGCCTTCCCATATACGACGGGCCCAACCATCACGTAGGGTACAAGCCTAAGCCCAAGGGGCAGCCGCAGCCTAAGCCCAAGGGGAAGCCGAAGCCGAAGCCGGTGTCGGGTCCCTTCCTCACCTGGAACAAGCACGAGGAGCGTTCATACCTTGTGCCTGAGGTTCAGACCTACCGTCTCGACCACGGCCGCCTGATCATGGACGAGGCACACCGCGTTCACAACAACCCCGACCCCGTTGACAACCCGTACAACATGACGGTCAAGCCGCTCCCTCACCACAAGCGCGAGAGCGACGTACAGCTCATGGACCGCACATTTTTTGACCCTTTGGCCCGATGGTGGAGATTTGGCTCCTTGCGCGACAAGCTCGCGCAGCATAATCAGGAGAAAAAGAACGTCAAGCGCGAGGCCAACGAGCAGCTCGAGGAGCGCAAGCTCCACTCCAGATTCGCGCTTCTCCCTGATATTCCTCTCGAGCACGAGGTAAATCCTGCTTGGCAACGAATCCCTGCGCAGGAGAGCGGCAACCAACGCCATCCTAAATTCGACTTTGGCCAGATCCAGATGCTGCGGCGGCACGAGGGGCGCGCCCAAATCCATGGCACCTACGGCATCTCCGACGAGGCGGTTGAGAGTCCTCGCCTCCGCACAGCGCCCCTCGGCCAGCTGAAGCATCACCACGACGACGACAAGACTGCTCTTGAGGAGCGCACGTACCTGATTCCCGGCGTCCGCACCTATCGACTGGACCACGGGCGGCTGATTATGGACGAGGCGCACAGGGTTCCTGACTCGACTCCTTCTCTGCCCCAGAATCAGAAGCGCTCTAACGACGACTACGGCATTGAGGCCCGGCGACTTGCACCGTGGTTGCAGGAACAGATCATTGCACGAGCTCGAGAGCAGCTCCTTAGGGACCAAGGTGCTCGACACACTCAGCATGGTGTAAGTTGCAGCTATTAGAAATCGAGTGTTGGGGTTGTAAAATGAGCTGACCGGCAGATCCCGGACAAGTTCGACACGTACTGGAAGAAGGGGAAGCGCGATGGTGGCCTCTCGCAGGACGAGCTGGAGACGCTGAGCAATGAGCTCGAGTCTCAGCTGGCAAAGCGTCTCATGTTAACGCCCACAAGGCGGCCCCGACCCCGACCCCTTTCCGGGTGGCCTAACCATGGTCCCAAGCACCCCAAGCTTCCGGTGAGAAACATCTGGCTTCCGAAGAGCCCTCGTCTGCTCCTTGTTCACGAAAATGAGCGTAAAACTGATATTCAGAAATCTTCCCATCACACTCCCTTTCCTTTTCAGGCCATCAAAGGGAAGCGCGATGGGGGCCTCTCGCAGGGTGAGGAGGAGGAGCTGAACAGTGAGATTGAGGCTCTGGAGGCGAGACGCTTTAGGCACCTCGACCTTTCCTTCCCAAGTGGCCCTCCGTATGGAGTTCCTGGCTCTGTCCCAGGTGCTGAGGGTACTCCTCACTCGGTAAGTATTGTGCTTATCTGCTCAGCTCGGTCGGCTGTTGAGGTTTTAGAGCACAGGGCTGACTTTTAGGATTCTCACAACGGCGGAAAACGCCCCTGGGGACTTTCCCCTGCCGTGATGGTGAAGAGAGACGACACTGCTAGGGTCAATTCTGCGATCGACGAGTGGGCAGAAAGTGCACACACTAATCCGACGGCCTGGGCGGACAACGCTGAGAAAGTACTCAAAGCAGCCTTTCCAGGCATAAGGATCTCTAGGACGGACAAGCCGAAGGACAAGCGGGAAAATGGCGTGCCGAAGGCCACGGCCCCGAGGCCCCCGAAACGCATATTAAGCCCCGAGGAGTGTCGTATTCGGCAGCAGCAGGACGAGGAGATGCGGGCAAAGCATCGTTATGTTAAGTTGCCGAGGCTTCCCTCAGAGTGTGGGTTCCTCTACAAGCGCGACGAGGACACAGCAGACTCAACCGCAGAGGCGGGACCGAAGGATGGTTCCGAGCGCAATAGCTCCCCGGAGACTGCCGAGACCTCCGAGAACGACCATGAGGGCTCCACTGGCAGCACCGACTCTGCCTCCGGTGACGACTCCGCTGCCGTCTACGCCTCCGACTCCGGCTCGAGCTCCGTTACTGGATCTCCTCTCCCGACCTCCACGAGCTCCCTGGCTTCCCGCCCTGCAACCACCGACGACGCAACCAAGAAGGCTATCGATGCCGTTTGCGCTCTCGTGAAGTCTCTCTCCAGCGGCAGTCAGAGTAACGGTCAGATCAAGGGTCTCGCATCGCTCTGCGAGAAGCTCCAGGATGGCTCCGCCAGTACGACCTCGACGGGCTCGGCCTCCTCTCACATCACCTCCTCGGCCGAGTCTGGCTCCGACAGCACCTCCACCTCGTCGGGTTTCGACGGTTCCTCCACTTCTGGCGCCTCCTCGGCCTCTGGTAGCACTTCGGGATCCTCGAGTGCCTCGGACTCCTCGAGCACCTCCACCGCAGACGATGCCTCGCATACCGACGAGGAGTAGAGGACACATTGCAACGCAAGCCCAAGCACAGCCCCAAATCCCTGATTAGAAGATCGCCGAAAACTCCTGAAAAAGACACCGAAACCCCGAACTCATAGCCATTCCCCTGGCGCAGAGCGCTCAGATGATACAGTACCAGCTGGCCTGGATCCATAACAAAGCATGCATTGAACATTGACTGATGACGTTCAAGCAGTCTGTCTTTTTCTGACGTCGACCAGAATACTGAGCACCGTGACAGCACGCGAGGCGCGCGGTTTTTCCACAAGGGGCAGAGCTTAGGCTGTGATTTCATCATGTGGCACCGCATGTAGGGCCCAGATGAAGTTTCAGATCAGTTTGAGCTGATTGCAACTGGGCGCAACAGATTGGTCAAGCGGTTGCATGCTACAGTGACAGAGACGATGGCTGTTGACTGGGGAGAACACTCTGCAGTGCATGGAGCTTGGTCGGCAGTCTCACATAGCAGCACTGCTGGGATATCGGCGGTGTTGCCAGCACTGCCGTACCCCTGGGCAACGGTGCAGCCGACACAGCACACTGCGACCGGGCCTGACCTTCGGCGATGCAAGGGCTGTTCTCTACACTTGCTATACATACAACTGTTGCACAGTTCACCGGCTATGTTCGAACTGTACCGTGTGAGCTTCCTGACCGTCGCGCTACTTATAGCAGCGCCATCCCCAACTCTTGAAGTCCCCAACACACACAAACATAAACACAAGCACGCAAGCACACAGGTACACAACCATATATATATGCTCTTCAAGACATTCGCCTGCCTTGTGGCCTTAATGGCGCCAGTTTTGGCGGCCCCTATCCCAGTCCGCCGAACGGCTATTGAAGCGGCTATGCTTGAGATCGAGCGAGACGTCCTGCCTCTCCACCTGATTTCGAAGCGTCGGGATGTTGTAAATCCCGAGAACACCGCATCGGCGGAACCTTCCCTCTGACCAGTGTAGCGCCTTCCCTACCGGCTACCCAAAAAGACACTCCGATAACCGAAGATGAGGCTGCTCTTGAGACAGACGCACCTCTTGTGTTTCTGACGTACCTAGGGCATGTGCCACCGAAGTTGTCAGGTACCGGTCTCTATCAAAGAGGCGGTTTGACAACAAGTTTCCAAGTAGCTTGCATTGATCGCGCGGGCGAAGACGCAGGGTGTAGAGACATGCACAGAGTATAATTTCTGCAGGTCAAGTCTCCAGCTACCATACCATTCAAATACGAAAGTGGCAGTTGTTCCGAGAATTGTCCCATGCCCCGCCCTCACCTGTGGTCCAACATGCATTACATGCGTTGCAATGCTGAAGCAATCGCCGTGCTCCACCTTCCCCTCTTGGGCACAAGCCAGCATCTGATCCCGAGAGCATGCATGTGCACCCAGCGGCCATCGGAGAAAGGACCGGCGCGGGCGGAGCGGGCAGTGGGCATCGGTGATGCTGCGGCGATTCAGTCGATTCACCCCCAAGTGCAATCCGACACGTCCGCCCCTTTCGGCGTCCCTGCGCCAGTGCACTAAGTGCGCGGAGCCAAGTCGTGCAGAGAATGTGCATGGATCACGTTGGTCGGCGGCTGACGGCCTGGACAGCAGGCATGCATGCATATAAGAAGGGCCAGGTGACTCAGCACTCAATCGCGCGTACGCCAATCGACACCAGACGACAGCATGCTCGCCCGCACCATCCTCTTCGCCATCACCGCCGCCGCGGCCGCTCTCGCGGCCCCCGTCCCCGCGCCTGACGCAGCCCCCGCCCCCGCTCCCGCCTTGAACGCTCGCAAGCCTGCCCAGTCCTGGTGGGTGACCAACGACGGCATCGTCGACACGGACGGCGACGGCGTCCCCGAGTACTACCCGTCGGCGATTGTATGGTCCACGGTCCCGCCGTCGAAGTAAGCGGCTTGAGGAACAGTCATCGGTCGAGAAGATCTGCCGCCGCGGTCCATGAGCCCATGACTCGAGGATATGGAAGCCGTCCCGTGAACGCACTCCCGGACAGCGAAGCCGGCAATTCCGGCAAGGAGCAGTATAAACTATGGATGCTATTGTAATTGTTAGGACTTGAGTGATGGGCACTTCTGGAGAACAGTGCGAGTGAGACGGTCCAGGCCTGTGACCGTCGCGTCATAGCAGCCGGGAAGCGGACATTCTGACAGCCCCTATGCCATGTGCCCAATCTGCTACTGTAACAGCTCGTATCACTGGGACCTGCACAGGCCTTGTTGCTCCTGCTTCTCGAATGAGGCTCACTGTCATCTATTCAACTACCGAGTGCCTTCATGCTCCCCGAAGGGCATGCGTCCCGGTGGATATCCAAAGATGTGCGGGTCAAGACGCGGCGGGGATGGCTCGCGGCCCCGCAATGGCCTGCAGTAGGCCGCAATAGCGCCATCCAACGCAACCACTTCCAACCTACCGCGCCATTAAGACGACCCGGGGCACCCAGGGCATTTTGAGGGTGGGCGGGCACATTGCTCTTTCCGCAGACCGCAATCGTCCTCGCCCTCACTTCTGGCTACAGACCGACATCCGGAAAGCGGTGCGTCGCCGATCGTGATCATCTGAGGTTATCGCTGCTCCGACGCGCTAACGGACAGGGACCGATATGTCTGGAACTACGTTCGCGCGAGGCCATGCACACTGCACAGCCCGTGATCAGTCAACCCATCAATCCAGACCCATGCGGCTACCGAACAGAAGGCCGCGATCTGATGGCCGCAACCCCAAAATCAGTCGCGCTGGCCTCGACCCTTCGAGCCAACGAGCCAGAAGAGAACACCAGTGCTGCGCTCACTTTGGACCAACTGGTTCAGTTGCACGTTAGCTTTCACCAGAAACATGCGATCGCCATTCAATCACACGGGGTCTAGCGATCACCGCTGGATCTAGTGCCTATGCGGGGTGTGACAGTGGCGAGGGCTAACGTTGCTCCGCACTGGTCCAGACGCAAACAATCGCCAACTGGCCGGCTGCGGACACCGAGACTAGGACTAGACTGCGTGGGGGCCGTAGAGAGAGCGATAAGCGCCAGCCCTTTTCCTCGGCAAGCACGAGCCAGTTGCGTCGTCAGTCCGACAGAGACAGGTATATAAACCCGCCCCTTCTGTCTTCGACAATCGCTCAATCCTATCAAACACACAACGATGCTCGTCACTCCGCTCTTCCTTCTCCTCGCCGCCGCCCCCGCCTTCTCGGCCCCCATCACCCCCAACAGCGGCACCCTCACGACCGACGAGCACGGCGAGCTCGACGCCCGCGGCTTCGGCGACCTAGCAGAGCAGATCCAGGCCCAGAGCGGTCCGGGCGGGGCCAGCGCCCTCGAAGTCAAGGGGCGGGGCCTCGGGGCCATCATCGAGTCGGTCCTCGAACATAAGACTGGCGGCATCGTCATGGCGACTGGGGTCGGGCAGCTTGCCCCGTGGCCCTCATCCTGATCCTTGAGCACCGTCAACGGATCATTGGAAAGAAACTTTTACTTAGCGAAATGGAAACTGGGGTCAATAATGTATGGCTTTTCTCTGTTAGGCGTCGTCAGTCTCGGTCAGCATGGTCAGAGACTGGATGTGAGCACTGAAGAGCGAGAGTTTGGTTCGTCAGGGATCCTCGCGGGCAGCGGGCATGGCCTCGACTACGGCGATTGAAGTGTGAAGGCACGTTCACGCCCGGCGAGACGACGTCGTTGTACTAGCACGTAGCGACGGCGTTCCTGGCCATGAGCGACGAGCGACGAGGCCTGCGGAGACGGGTGAGAGGGATATTTATTCTCGCCTGAAGCAGCCTCTCAGCCGCATCAGCGCTCATTAACAGCCACGAACATACTACTGCACGACCGCACATTTACGGTTCTTCTCACTTGCGAAACATCAAGCGCATATCCGCAAAGCAGCATGCTTTTCAAGACCGTGGCCGCCGTATTCCTCGCTGCTGCCGCGCTCGCCGTTCCCGTCGACCCGATCACGGTAACGGGCGATGTTGCCCCGCAGCTCTTTGGGGATTGGAAGCGTGCCGAGCTGACAACCGCTGCCCAGAAGTGAAGAAAGGACTTGCCACTTGCAAACATTGGAACGCCGTGTCGATCAAGGCTGCACTGCATTCCGGCAAGTGATCGACAAGAATAGGAGGCGTCGTCTTGAGTGTAGATGGTAATTGATGATAATGGGAGGCGATGCATGATCGAGTGGATGAGATAAAGATGAAGCGGTGCAGAGAGCGAAGAATGGATCAATGTTACCCCCGTTGTATGCGGTGCTGAGCGGTGCAGCAACCGACGTCATGGAAGCAATTTATCAGGCACCTCGCTCGGTCGGCGGCGGCGGCGGGGCGTGCCTGAACTCTGAACGCGTTTCAACTCCGTCGTCGAGCGACCACCCAGTAACACAACGAGATCAAAAGAGTGACAGCGTCCGTGCATCTCCAGATCTCTCCTCTTTGATATCTAGCCCTCTCTTCACTCGACTCATTCTTGCTCTTCCCATCCACACACCCACACATCCACACACCACACCCCGCCGTCCACCATGGGTCTTGCATCCGCTCTGCGTGAGCTGCATCCAGTTGACGATAGCTAACTCCCAGTGATGGCGGGCGTGGCCGTCATCGTCATCAAGAAGATGAAGAAGAACAAACCCCAGGCAATCCAGAACACACCCAACCCCCTCGTCACACCCTACCCTCCCCCTCCCCAGCAACAGCACAACTACGGCCAGGCCGCGGGATACGGCGCAGCAGGCGCAGCTCCAGGCATGGCGGCCGGGGCTTACATGGGTTCCTCTGGTGCTCCTCCTCCCCCGGGAGGACCGCCTTATGACCAAGTCCGCGCCCTGCTCATGAAGTGCGTCCACGACCAGAAACTCACGGGTTTCCTCCGCCCCCAGGGCCCGATGGACGTGGACGCAATCGCGCGCCAAATCGTGGACACTGGCGCGGTGCAGATCATAAGCGAAACGTGGAAACTGCCGCCGCACGTCGCGATCGATCTCTGCCAAATCGCCCTCTTCAACGTGGCCATTCTCGTCGACGATTCTAGCAGCATGCACGCCGAGAACGGCGAGCGCATCAATGACGTCTCCGCCATTGTCTCGAAAGTCGCTGGCGCGTGCTCCCTTTTTGACGACGACGGTATCGAGATTCGCTTCCTCAACTCCAACGAACAGGGCAACAACCTCGAGAGCGAGCAGATGGCGCAGGACTACATCCGCCGAGCCAAGTTCAAGGGTGTTACGCCCCTCGGCACTGCGCTCGACCAGAAGATCCTCCAGCCCATGCTCGTCCGTCCCGCGCAGCAGAGGCAGCTCCGCAAGCCCCTCCTTGTGGTTGTCGTCACGGACGGCGCGCCCCAGGGCGAGGCGCCGAACGCTCTCGAGAGCGCCATCACGAACGCTAGGAACGCTCTCATGAACACGCCCTATGGGCCCGACGCCGTGTCGTACCAGTTTGCCCAGGTCGGTAAGTGTCCCACAGCTTGCAAGTACAGGAAGCGGCTCAGCTGACAAAATAACAGGAAACGACGCGCAGGCACAGCAGTTCCTGTCCTCGCTCGACGAGCACCCCGTTATTGGCGGATTCGTGGACCAGACCATGGCGTACGACTACGAGCGTGCCGAGATGAAGCAGAAGACGGGCAATGATTGTGAGCTGCAGGGCGTGTGGTAGAGCTGACAGACAGTGACGCCGCAGATGTGGCTGCTCAAGCTGCTCCTTGGGCCTATCGACACGAGCTACGACAGGAAGGACGAGGGTGCCCAGCAGCATGGTGGATGCCCCCACCAGTATGGTCAACAGCAGTACGGCCAGCAGCAATACGGCCAGCCCCAACAACCGTACGGCCAGCAGCAGTACGGTGCCCCTCCCCAGCAGTACGGCCAGCCGCAGTATGGACAGCAGCCGTACCAGCAGCAGTACGGCCAGCCCCAGCAGCCGTATGGCCAGCCTCAGCAGCAGTACGGCGCGCCTCCCCCGCAACAATACGGCGCTCCGCAACAGCAATATGGCGCCTCTCCCCAGCAGCAGTACGGACAGCAGCCCTACGGCGCCCCTCAGCAGCAGTACGGCCAGCCCAACGCGCCTCCGCCATACACGCCCAGCTCGACAGGCACGAATATGAGCTACTACAACCCCAGCGGGGGCAAGTACTAGTCTCCCTCCTGCACTTTCTTCTCGCATTCGCTTTTCTTGAACACTGGAGTTTGGAGAGTCAGAAGTATAATTGGGGAGAACAAAGGATAGGGAGAGGAGACACGATATACATGCATGTGTCTACCATTTTGTTTGTGTACACTAAAGGGTTTGCGCCAAGGAACGAGGATGTGGAACAAGGTGTGCGACAGGGAATTGATGAGAACGCCGTGGTACCCGGATCTTTGCCTGGCGGAGCAGAGTGCGTCCACTTTAAGCGAAGCGGCGAGGGCCGCTGGGCGAAAAGTCGAGCATACTAGCTTTCCTTACATCTTTTCGAAGACCGCTATGATCCCTGAGTGTATGCCCTATAGAAGTCTGTGCTAGAACGATAAGCTAGCTAGGAAAGGCAATACTAGCTCAACGGATGAGCGCGCGAGGTCGTAAGCGGACGACATGCGAACCGACGGCCCCCACCCAGCGGAGATGGTCTGTCCTCGCCGTCGCCGGCGGTCTACTCTGTACCCCAACACCCTCCCAGCCTCCGTGTGCGGCATGTATCCAATCGATCCGTTTCCCTCTGGTCCGAGCGGGGATCATGTAGACCTGGCTGACGAAATATGGCCTGCCGAGCTGATTCGTCTGGCAGTCTGACGTGAGACCGCAGCACTGTCCGGGTATGAATGCGGCCCGGGTGTGCCTGATACCCGGCAAGGCGGCGCCGGTAATAAGCGGTAGCGGTATGTCCCAACAGATTGCACTCTTCAGGCCTTCAGCTCTGGCAGACGGCGCAGGGAAAAAAGACACTTTTACACGCGCTAGAGATGCAAAGAATTGGGGAGATTGGGGAGATTGGGGGCAGAGGGTCGAGAGAGAGAGAGAAAAAGTCGGGCAAGGACAAGGGCTGATGCAAGCAAGCCGATAGATAGCCGATCCCTCCCTCCTTATAACCCGTTCACCTCATCTCTTCCGACAACTCCTCATCACACATCTCACCTCACCACCACACGCTCCTTCGAGAGCAACCCACTCACCATGACCATCTACACCTCCCACGTCCCCGCCCCGGAGCTCCCCGAGCTCTCCGTCTTCAGCTACCTCTTCCCCTCCCGCCCGGGCCAGTCGCCCATCCCTGAATCCGCCCGCGACCCAAACTTGGTCATGTACATTGATGGCCTGACCGGTCGGGAGCTCAAGCGCGGCGAGATCGAGGACGGTGCGCTCCGCGTTGCCACTGGCCTGAAGCAGAGGGGTGTGAAGAGGGGCGACACGGCCATGATCTTCAGTCCGAACAGCCTTGACTGGGTTGTGGCCGCTTATGCGCTGCAGGCTGCTGGCGTCACTGCCTCGCCCGCCAACGTCGCTTAGTGAGTTCCCATCAAAGGAGTGTAGCTAACGACCCAGTGGCCCCCGCGAGCTCGCGCACCAGTACAACGACTCTGGCTCGAGTGCCATCTTCATCCACCCCGCGCTGCTCCCTATTCTGGCCGAGGCCAAGGGACACTTCAAGACCGCGCCCTCGGACGACCGGATCATCCTCCTGTGCCCCGACGCGCAGGCGCCCCAGAACACGCCGTACAAGACGCTGTACCAGATCCGCGGCGAGCGCGCTATCCCGGAGGAGTTCAACGGCGCCGACTCGCGCGAGACAGCGTGGCTGTGCTACTCCTCCGGCACGACTGGATTGCCAAAGGGAGTCCAGACGAGCCACTACAACCTCACGTCCCAGCTGCAGGCCGTGAACCCCGTGTACCCAACTCTGGTCCCCGGGAAGGATACGATCCTCGGAGCCCTGCCGTTCAGCCACATCTTCGGCCTCGCGACGCTGGTGACGCAACCCCTCACTTCCGGAGTGCCCGTCGTCGTCTTCCCGAAATTCGACGAGATCCCCGTCCTCTCCGGTATCCAGAAATACGGGATCAGCTACGGCTGCGTCGTGCCGCCCATCATCCTTCTGCTCCTCCACTCCCAGAACACGGGCAAGTTTGACCTCACGTCGCTCAAGACACTGCAGTGTGGTGCTGCCCCCCTTTCCCCGGAACTCGCCGCCGCGTTTGAGAAAAAGTTCCCCCACTGCCGCGTGTCCCAGGGATACGGACTCACCGAGACCACGCCGACGATCACGTACGGCAAGCCGGAGGACATGGAGGGGCGCAAGGGGTCTTGTGGCCGTCTGATCCCGACGTACGAGGCCCGGTTGGTGCAGGAGGACGGCAGCGATGCGCCGGAAGGAGGCAGGGGCGAGCTCTGGGTCCGCGGCCCCAGTGTCATGACGAGGGGCTATCACCGCAACCCCGAGGCGACGGCCAAGACGATGAACGGCGACTGGTTCATGACGGGCGACGTGGCGGTGCGCGACCCCGAGGGCTGGTACACCATCGTCGACCGCGTCAAGGAGCTGATCAAGTACAAGGGCTTCCAGGTGCCCCCCGCCGAACTCGAGGCGCTGCTGCTGACGCACCCCGACGTCGTGGACGCGGGCGTTGTAGGTGTCTGGGTCGAGGAACAGGCCACGGAGCTGCCGCGGGCATACATTGTCGCCCGCCCCGGTCTCATCCCGGAGCAAGGCAGGGAGGAGGCCAGGAGCAAGTTTGGGAAGGAGATCGCGGCGTGGGTCGCTGGTCGTGTCGCGCAGCACAAGAAGCTCCGCGGCGGCGTCAAGGTGATTGACGCCATTCCGAAGAGCCCCAGTGGCAAGATTCTGAGGAAGGACCTGAGGGTTGTCGCACAGGAGGAGATCAAGCGCGAGGGCCTGGGGGCCAAGGCGAAGCTGTAAGGCGTTCTTGGACTCGGATATTATAGATATAAACGATACGTAGAAATCAATAGACATGCATTCCGGCAGCTTTCCTTTCCTACTTATACCAAGGGCTTGCTGGATCCTCGTACTCACTTCTGCGATGTAGAGCTTGCAGCAGAGCTCCTGCTCCTTGGTCCACTGTTTCGGTATCGAGCTCGGTGGGTCGCGCACAGACCGAGCAGATTATCTTATCATGTTCCTGTCGTCCTTGCTTTCTCAACCCTTACTCTTGCTTTCTCCTACTCTCGCTTTCCATGCCATGTCCACCCCTTCTCTGGTCCTCCCCGGTCCTCATTTGCAGCAACCCCCGCCATGTCTTGGCATCCAGACCCACCCGCGCCCGCGGCGTCGGCGTCGGAGAAACTATCGAAACTTGATAGGCGGCATGCTCCGCGCCCCCCTTTGGCTGTGTTGCGGGGCCGTCGTATAAACTTTGAGTCGAGGTTCAAGGCGCGCACAGATTTTCAGGGCACTCCCAACACTCCCAAGCAGAGGGCCGATCCCTCCGACGCTGGACCGAAGATCTATCAATAGCAGCGGTGTGTGGGCTGAGGGGCTCACGTGAGCGTAACTTGGCAAATTTCACGAAAACCCTGAGTATGTTTTGATTTCTGTCCTCAGGCTCTGTGGCTCGGGTGCCGCCCACGACGCGAGATGGAGCTTCAAACCTGGACTCCAGGTCTTCAGGCAACGCAGGAGGAGCCGGAGCAGCAGGTCAGGCCGCAAGCGACCTCCACCAAGGGATGAAGTATTGCAACGAGCCTTACCCGTGATCACGGGCTTGAAGTGAACTCTCAACTCCACCCACCACACACCATGGGCCTGTCACTGACCCGCTCGCGCTCCTCGACGGAGAAGAAGGAGAAGGACCAGGAAGGACGTGCCGACGTCGAGGCCGTCGTTGAGGATCTCGAGTTTACGGAGAAGGGAGAACATGGGACCAAGAGGCACCTCGTGAGTCCTTCCGCGATTGGGATTGTGGACGAGTGCTGACGAGACCAGAGCCCACGAGTCGTCTGTGAGTATCACACCTCGATCGACACGTTTGTCGACGCCGACAGCGCCGGGAACGCCGAGAACGAGCGATCAAGACATGCACCAGCTCGGCTGTGCACTGTGCCCCATTACGTTGAACTCAGAGCTGCGCCCGACTCTGGCTGGGCAGTTCTTGAGTGCAGTCATTCTCGCCCATCCGGTGTAGAGCCCTGTCGAGACCTGCCCGCTTTCGCTTCGCTCGAGCTCGCTAACATCAGCCATGATCGCCATCGCCGGCACGATCGGAACGGGTCTGTTCCTCAACTCTGGCGCTGCGCTCGCCCTCGGCGGCCCCGTTGGCGCGTGGCTGGGATACACCCTCATGGGCATCCTCGTCGGTATGATGATGTACTGTCTCGGTGAGATGTGAGTATCACCAACGCTGGGCTGTCCTGCCCATTGCTACCTGTGTTTCTGCCAGTCTTCTGGTCTCTCGATCGACCTCTCGTAAGGTCCAGAGGGGACGTGCGGGCGGTAGACACACTCGCTTCGCTCGTCTGCTGACTCGCAGGTCCTGCTACTCCCCCACCGTCGGCGCGTTTACGGAGTGGGGCAGCGTGTTCGTCGAGCCCGCGTTCGGCTTCGCGATCGGGTTCAACTACGTGCTCATGATCGGCATGGCGCTGGCTTCCGAGCTGTCCGCGTTTGCGATTCTCATCGGATACTGGGACAAGGACGCGAGCCACATCGGCGCGTACATCACTGTAGGCCTTGTCGTCTGTCTGCTTCTCAACGTCGTTGGTGTCAAGTAGTGAGTAACTACCAACTATTGGTGGGCGGTGCGCTGACGCTCGCTCAGCTACGGCGAGGTCGAGTTCTTCTTCGCGTGGGTCAAAGTCCTCACCCTGATCGGTCTCGTCATCTTCGGCATCATCGTCAATGTCGGCGGCGTCCCGAGCAACCGCGAATACATCGGTGGACGATACTGGCGTACCGAGCCCTGGAACGACACGTTCATGGACCTGAAGCCCGTCGGCAAGGCGCGCTTCCTCGGTTTCTGGGCCGTGCTCACGCGCGCGTCCTTCTCGTTTGGCGGTGTCGAGGCCGTCGCCGTCATTGCCGGCGAGGCGCACAACCCGCGCCGCTCGATCCGCCTCGCGACCCGCGCCGTCTTCTACCGCGTCGTCGGCATCTATGTGCTCACCATGCTCATCATCGGCCTCAACATTGACCAGCACTCACCCGACCTCCTCCGCGGCGTCGAGGACAGCGACGGCACCGCCGCCAGCTCCCCCTTCGTCATCATCGCTGAGCAGGCCAAGGTCAAGGTTCTCCCCGAAATCATCAACGCTGTCGTCATCACTGCCGCCTTCTCCGCCGCCAACGAGGACATGTACGCCGTGTCGCGCACCGTGCTCGCGCTCGCCAAGCACGGCGGCATTCCCCGCTGGTTCCTCCGCACGTCGAAGCAGGGCATCCCCATTGGCGGCGTCATTGTCGCGTTCTGCTTCGGCTGCCTCGCCTACCTCTCCTGCGGCGGCGACGGTGCGAACCAGGCCTTCATCTGGCTCTCGAACCTGACCGCGCTCGGCGACCTGATCTGCTGGGTCGCCATCTGCTACTGCTACACGCGCTTCTACAAGGCGCTCGAGATCCAGGGCATCAACAGGCGCAACCTCACCCTCCGCGGCTGGTGCCAGCCGTATATGGCGTGGATTTGCTTCTGGTTCTTCAGCATCATCATCCTCTTCAACGGCTTCACGTCCTTCATCAATGGCTTCAAGGGCGCAGACTTTGTCGCCGCGTACCTCACCCTGCCGCTCGTGCTCCTCGCGTACCTCTGGGACACGATTTGGCGTCGCTCAAAGGTCGTCGACCTCAACGAGGTCGACCTCTCTGGTGGACCCCGTGCCGCGCTCAAGGGCACCCGCTACGACAAGTAAATACACACACATAGACTTGCATTTTCTGCATTAATATGGGATCTGGCTCACTGTACGACTCGAGCGTCGATGAGCACCGGTCCTTGCGCCTCGAGAGCGTCGGTGTACGCCTTGTCGAGCTCCTCGGGCGTACTGACCGTGGACGCGGGCACGCCATACCCCTTAGCGAGGGACACAAAGTCGATGCCCGGGATATCGAGTCCTGGGGAGGACTCGGCCTGGAGCGCAACAGCAAACCTGCGCAGCGCGCCGTAAGATGCGTTGTTGACAATGACGAAGATGGTGCGCGTGTTGTGCGTCCGAGCCGCGTAGAGCGCAGGCAGCGCGTAGTTTGCGCTCCCGTCGCCGATGACGGCGACGACGGTCCAGTCCGGCCGTCCCAGGGCCAGGCCCACCGCACACGGCAGACCGAATCCCAGCCCGCCGCTGGCGGGGAAGTGATACTGATTCTCCCTGGAAACACTCATGCGCTCGAGGAACGTGACGTCGAGCGTCGTCGCCTCGTTCACATACGTGATACTGTCGCCCACATGCTTATCGAGGACGGCTAGGACTTGCTCGCCCGTCATGCCCTTCTCGCTGGTTGCCGCTGGCGGTGTGGAGCGCCTCTCGAGTCGCTCGCCCCGATCTGGCACGTCTGCTGCCAGCGCTGCAATAGCCTGATGCACGTTGGCGACGTAGCTGTCCCCGTATGGTGCGCGGGTCGCCTCGCTGTTGTCCTGCGTGATGTGCACCACGTCCTGCCCATTCGTGTATGCCGCCGGCTCCCAGCGATGATACCGCATCAGGGGGGCTCCGATGACGAGGATGCCGTCGTAATCCTCCAGGCGGGAGCGGACCCTTTCGACACCGGGAGGAAGGAGGCCGCGGTAGTGCGCGTGTGTTGTCGGGTACGGACATCGCGGGGCCGAGGGCGCGATCCAGACCGCGGCGCCGAGACGTTCTGCCAACTGCACAGAGCTCTTCTGCGCGCCATCGGCGTCGGGGCCGAGCACGAGCACGGGTCGTTTCCAGTTCGCGATACGCTGCAGGAGTTCGTCCTTGTCATCCCTCGACAAGGCACCACAGACCTTCACCCGACGGCTGGGGAGGAGGGCATCAGACTCTAGGGCCTTGTGCGCCCAGTCGTCCCACGGTACGCTCAAGTAGGTCGGTCCTCGCTGAGTGATAGCCTCGAGGATAGCCTGGGACATGGCTCTCGGGACGTCTTCGGCGGCAAGCGGCTCACCGGCCCACTTCACCAGTGGCTTAGTTAGCATCCCGGCATCGACGTTGGCGAGCATGACCTCCTGGCCCACCGTGCGGCGCACCTGCTGTCCCGCGAGCAGCACCAGGGGGACATGGGCATAGACCGCATTCGTGAGCGCGCCCATTGCGTTCCCCGTTCCGCTGGCCGCGTGCAGCGATACCAAGGCTGGCTGCCCCGTAGCCCGAGAGTATCCCTCCGCCATACCCGTAACGACAGCCTCTTGAAGTCCGAGGACGTAGCTGAAGTCATCAGGCAGGGAGGCGAGGAACGGTAACTCGTTGCTGCCCGGGTTGCCGAAGATGGTCGTGAGGCCGTGCGCCCGCAGGATCTCGTACGTCCTATCGAGCACCGTTAGCTCTTTTGTCGTCATGCTTGGTTGAATCCGTGATCAGATAGCAGATGTCAACAGTGTGCGACGCCGAGATGGGCAAATGACGACACCGGACTGCCGGCCATAACCGATCCGGAGAGTGGAGGCCGATTCGAGCGTCACGATCAACCTCGTCGTCGTCCAGTCTATCTTCCAACTAGCGCGTTCCCACTCTCACGCCATGGCAATACCCGATGACAGCTTCCCACACATCATCGACACGATTCTCGACTACGCGGTCGCTGACTACGACAGCCCGAGCGCGCTGGTCCAGCTCGGACTCGTAAGCCGTGACTGGCACAGGCGACTCGACGCCAAGATCGGCCATCATCTCCTCACGGTCGACTACTGGGTCAAATCCACTCGCCCAGGGGAGACACCCACCGCCGAAGCACCCAGAGGATGCCCGGCCCTATTGGCGGAAAGGGGCGTGCAGCCCGTACAAGAAGCGGGACGATGGCGTCACGCTCTCCGGTCCGCGCTGTTCCCCGGCCACAACGTCGCCGACCTCGTCCAGGAGACGGGCGCGAGTCTCGTCCACTCGGCCAAGGTGCTCACGGTCCGGGGCGAGTTCACGCAGTCCCACAGCGCAGCGATCGAGGCGCTGTGTCCCTCTCTCGGCGCCGTGCGCGTCGCCTCCGTCTCGTCCATCAAGGGTCCGCACCTCATCCTTCCGTACGCTCCGCGCTTCCTCCCACGCGCTGAGACGTATGTCTGGTTTCGAGCGCCAGACACGCAGTTCAGCCTGCAAACCGCTGCGCCGGGGTGGCGGGCGCGCAGCCGACCCTCCCCTCCGCATATTTGTCATGAGGATACGAAGCGGCTCGTGTTTGTGAATTACGCCCTGCCTCCGCCATATGGGCACAACAGACGTACGCAGGAGTCCCGCGTTCCCCGTGTCGCTCTGCCACACAACCCCGAGGAGTGTGTGTTCTTCCTTCCCGGCTTGCTCGCCGACGGAATAGAGGCTTGGATCAGATGGGCGTGCGAACTCCTCCCGGCACCAGTCACTATCGTCATCGACGCGCAATCTGGCAGTCACAAGGAAGCGCAGATACGCAATGACCTGAAAGAGGCGTTGGGTATGGAGATACTGGGAAGCGATAAGGTGGCGACCTTGCTATCGGAGGAATACAGGTCACGAGTTGGAGAGGAGAGGTACAGGACCGAGACGCAGTTCTACCTCTCTCCGCGGGAGAAGGCGACCGAACGCCAGAACGAGACCTTGTCGAAGTTGCCGCCGGGATGGGCGTTCCCGTACGACCCCGAGGCATAGACGGAGCCGTATCAGGCCAAGGTGAAGGTGCAGGAGGAAGGCAAAGGCGAAGGTGCGGGAGGTCCTTGGATGTCTCTGGCTCATTCTCGCAAGCGAAGTTCCGGAAACTATCTCCCATCACGCCGCACCCGTCCTCACGACTCTCCCAATCGTCGTCCACAGTCCTTACGACACACCTAGACCGCCAAGGGCAGCAGGAGGCGCTGCAGAACCGCGTCTCACTGCGAGCAGGGACGTACATAGCCGCGCACTCGCGCAGGCTCCCAAGGAAGGATCGCCCCGACGCGCAGCGTTGGTGAGGTGGTCCGGTGCGTCCTCAACATCTATGGTGAAATGGTATCATGCATCGTTGCCATCGATGCGGTGGGAGTTCGATTCCCCCTGGATGTACTCTTTTGCTGCCAATCTATGCATGGGGAGTTGCTGGAAGGACGGAGGGAGCCTGTTGAAAGGTGGACGATGTAGAGTTACGGTTGGTTGGAAGAACAGGGGGTGGTGGCGACGGACCCTTAGCGACGGAGTTTGGGCGGCAACGCGCCTGAAGCGCGACGGCGAGTAGCGCGACGCGTAGAGTTCTACCCTAGATAGCGATAACGGTGATGTGCTATCAAGCTCTTCAACGCAGAGAGGGGAAGAGACAGATCCGAGGTCGCGAAGGTCGGTATAACTCTCCTGTGGCAAGACCCACCTCCACATTTACCTGAGTTTTCCATGCCCCACGAATACCGCGTCCAAGGGGCAAGATATCTTCGGGTTCCCCAGGATATCCTAAGTCCCTATAAACGGTCGAGCTTCCGAGACTCTGTCGTGTGAGCTGACGTGAGGATCTCCCAGAGGTCTGTCAATCTACAGCGAGAGCGCAAGGAGAGGGGAAGGGTTCGCGTAAACAATCGTCCCAGGATTATCTCGAATTCCTCGGAGTATTCCCGGAACGGCATCATTTTGATCCACCTTGTTAGGACATCCGACGTCCTTTCCTCTCCTTCTCTCAGCTCCCATGACTCAGCGCTCTTCTCTTGCCTGGAGTTCTGGGCGACATCGACAGGCCACGCCCCGGAATCCCCTGCTCCCCACGTCTTCCCCAGACGCCACTCCCCCCTTTGTCTAGACTAATCTGACGTCAGGTCCCATTCCGCAGCGATCGATAACAATTCTCTCAATGTGGGGCTGGAAACGCCGCGGTGGGCACACGTCGAATGCGACTAACCCGAGGTTCTACAAATTGGAATCGCCCACCAAGGCCGGATTATCTTCGGCGACTCTTCAAATGTCGGTCTCACTCCCGCCCGCACGATCGCCAATGCCCACCGACACGTGCCGCGTGTGCCGGCGCCTGGAACGGGAATCACGGGGTGGCTACGGGTGGCGCCGCCGTGGTGCGCTATTCTGCGCTCTGGAATACCCAGCCTAACAGTCACATGAGCGGCGAGGAAGCCGCGGAATACCGGCGGCCAAGCGAGTCCAGAGAGGCGCAGCTCCACCAAGTCCACAACCCCCACTCAATACTGCGGATGAAGCGAGATTTGTCCGCGACGTATTGCAAAACAGACGAGGAATCCCAGTCTGCGATTGGATGTTGCTGCTGTCACAGTGCTGTAATCGCTTATCTCTACCCACGGGGACACAGGTATCACAGGGAAGGGAGCGTGGAATCTCCAGAAAGGAGGGGCTTTAGGTTCGGTTGTTTGGGAAAAGGGGGACCGACTCGTGCTGGAACACTGAAAGGCTTCAGAGCTTCATGAGGCGCCGGAACCCTTGGAGCCCCGACGGCGGGAGGGGGTTGGGTGATCCCCCGGTCCTCAGCGTAGATGCTTGTGACGTTCCGGCCCAGGAACCCAAGCACCTCATCGCACGTTCAGCGCTTTCCACAAATACGCGCTGGCGCTTACACTATATCCTCCTTGGCCTTGACTACCTCGTCTGTAGATCTCGCGCCTCGCGCGCTACATCGCTAGGGGCCATCTTATCAAACGGGCTAGCGGGTCGGGCGGTAGTGCAGGTCTCTTACCGCAGTCGCAGCCACTCGGTGTCGCCCCCGTGGTCGATTGCTGCGGCAGTACATATAGACAAGCATCAGATGCACGATTGCTCTCTCTTTCACCCTCTCTCCATTTTACTGACCATGGACGACGAGAAGAACTTCCCCGAGACGGTGGTGCGGCCCGCCAGCCCCATCGATGAGAAGACCTCGAGGGCTTCGGTGGGATCGCACGGCGAGACATACCACCCGCAGCATGCGGCGGCGCACACGGCGGACCTGGCACTGCTCGAGGGCGACCGGATCAACCTGGAGGACGTGGACCCGAAGGAGTTGCGACGGGTGCGGTGGAAGATTGACCTGGCAATGTGAGTGGCGTGCCGTGGCCGAGCTGACAGAACCCAGTATGCCGCCGCTCATGCTCTGCTATTTCTTCCAGTATCTCGACAAGACAGCGATCGCGTACGCGAACCTGTTCGACTTCCAGACCGCGAACAACCTGAAGGGACAGGACTTTGCGTGGCTCGGCTCCATCTTCTACATCGGATACCTCGTATGGCAGCCTTTTGCGGCGTGGCTCCTCGTCCGCGTCAACATCAAGCTGCACTTTGGCGTCGCGATCTTGGTGTGGAGCACGTGCCTGGGCTGCATGGCTGCATGCCACAACTTTGCTGGTCTGGCAGCGTGCCGCTTCCTCCTTGGATGCGCTGAGAGCGCCATGCTCCCCATCTGCGGCTCAGTCACGGGCATGTGGTACACGCGCAACGAGCAGAGCGTGCGTGTCGGCATTTGGTACAGCATGGTCGGATGGGGCACCATCTTCGGCGGCCTGATTAGCTACGGCATGTACGCGATGCCGGCGGGCGTGCTCGCCAAGTGGCAGTTCATCTTCGTGCTCCTCGGCCCCCTCACGTTCGTCTACGGCATCTACGTCATCCTCGTCGTCCCCGCGTCGCCGGCTAGGGCATGGTTCCTCACCCCCCGCGAGCGCCTCATCGCCCTCGAGCGCATCCGTGAGAACAAGACCGGCACGACCGGCACCGGTATCCGCTGGTACCAGGTGCGCGAGGCCTTCTGCGACCCGCGCATCTACCTCTGTGCCCTTAGCGTGTTTGCCGTGTCTGTCCCCAACGGTGGCGTGACGAGTTTCTCGGCCGTGCTCATCCAGGGATTCGGCTTCGACAAGCGCATGACGTCGCTGGTGGGCATGTCCGGTGGCGCGTCCGAGATTGTTGGCATGGCCCTTGCCACGATGCTCGCGTACAAGATGCATTCGCGCTTCTGGCCGGGTATCATCGGCGTTCTCATCGGCATTGCGGGCGCGGGCGTCATGCTCGGCCTCCCACCGCAGGAGAAGGTGGGCCGCATGGTCGGCATGGTGTTCGTGTACTGGTTCCCGATCGGCATGATGCTGTTCATCCCCTGGATCCAGAGCATGACCGCTGGAGCGACCAAGCGCGCAACCTTCTACTGTATGTACCAGCTGTTCTACGCCGCTGGAAACCTTGCGGGAGGGCAGACATTCCGGGCAAAGGAGGCCCCGATTTACCAGTCGGCGCGCATCGCCATCCTCGTCGGACTGTGCGTGCACGCCGCCACGATGGCGGCCATCTATGTCCTTCACCGCATTTGGAACGCGAAAAGGGACAAGCTGCCTCCCGTCGTGGAGGAGGACAACATCGAGTTCAAAGAGTGAGTACCACCTTACCACCTTCATGGAGCAGTGCTAACAGACAGCTACACGGACAACGAGATTCCCAGTTTCCGTTATCCGTATTAGTCGAGGGAGGGCGACGTTCCCTGTGTGGCTTGGGCAGCAGTGTATGGTTAGCGCATTCATGTAAAACGAACAGTATCAGAAGGCACAGGTGATGGTGCAACGGCCTCTAGGCGCAAAGAAGCAGACTGGCTGATGTACTGGCCAGTTGGCTTTTCATCGAGACAACTCAGTGCTCATCAACGGTGCGGCGCTGAGGCGGCTCGTCTTTGCATTGTGGAGCTCTGGACATGGGTCACCGATTCGAGTTCTTCCTGCGTTCCACAGTCATTATTCATGTCGGAGGACCCGACGTGTATCGAGCACTTCCCTGTCAGCTCCACGCAGGTCACCTGGTCTCTGTTGGTGCATGCTGTCGCCAGCGCCTCATGAACGCCTCATGAGTGTAACAATGAGCCTCTCCCTGTTGGTCGTTGTGGCTGACTTACCCGCTAAGTTACTCGCTGACTAACTGGCCTGGTGGGCAAGCGGGGCGACGCCATCGGCAACGAAGATAGACCTTGCGGCGTCTTAGAGCTGCTATAATGATATCAGTTCGGCATCCAACACCCAAGATGTTGTCAGCCCACCTCTCCCCATCGGTTAACACCGGACCTTGCCTGATTCTCGTGTGAACCCGTTCCTTGTTGTCGATACGACGTCGTGTGATCGTATAATGCGCTCCACTCCCGCTTTCTCTTCCTCTCGCCATTCGCACGATTCAAATCCAATGCATGAGAGGTGTTCCCCAATCCCCAATGCCCAACCCCACGTCCGGTCTGTCTGATATTACAATGCTCCGTCCCCATAACTACTCCTTGACACTGCCCGAGTTGTCCGCGCACGTCCACGGCCCATTGGTAGCGGCCGTGTTGATGAGATTCGTGACGGCGGCATACATGCCTCCGACGACGAAGAAGAGGCCCGCAATGAAGATGAACAGGTTCAGGAGCATCATGGGCACGCTCCGGTCGCCGCGCTGGCGGTAGCGCCAATTGTCGTGCCACCAAACGAGGGGGAAGACGAGAATAGTCGTTTGCGGCGTGAGCAGGGAGCCGATGAAGCCGACGATCGCGTCGAAGGTGCTGTTGAGTTAGCGAGACTGCGATGGGAGTTCATGGCGGCTCGCTGCTTGCGCAGCTCGCGGAAAACTCACGGAATAGCACTGCCCAGAATGTACGCGACACCGCCCGCTCCGATTGTGCATCCGAACCAGGTGATCCAGTGACGCTTGGTCGGGCGCGAGATGTGCTCGGTGCCCTGGAGGATACGGATGAAGATGAACTTGGACGCGAGGTGGAGATAGATGCAGCCTGTGGCCTGTCAGCATGCGCACCCTTCGCTAACTCTCAACACTTACACGAAACGAGGAGGGCGGGGATGGCGAGGCCGTAGCAGACGCGCTTCATGAGGACACCAGCCGAGCCGAGCGCAGGCGACGAGACATACTGTCCGCAGAACCAGTACACGACACTGCCGATGATGATGTAGAGCGCGGCGCACATGGCGATACTGATGCACATCATGCGGTTGTGCATGCGCGGATCCTTCATCTCAGAGATGATGCCCCAGTAGCACAGCGTCGCGGCGTAGGCATACAGCACATTTGTGATCGCGCCAATGCCGCCGATCGCATCGGTCGACGCGGCGACCTTGAAGTCCTTGTCCCAGGGGCCGGTCTGGGGCGCCTCGGCCGGTCGGTCGTTGATTCCCACGGCGACGGTGAGCGTGATGACGGACGCGAGGATGGACACCATGCCGACCCAGCCGAGCCAGGTGATGTCTCCCAGCGTCTTGATAGACGCGAGCAGCCAGCACGCAATGGCGGCGACAACCATGAAGATGGCGGTACAAGCGGCATGGACACTGACGGCGTTCAGCGCCGTCGAGACGGCCACCATGGCCGACGCCGAGACAAAGATAAAGTTGATGACGAAGATGATGGAGAAGATCTCGCGTCCCCACTTTCCGAAGAGCACTTGGCCAATGTCGCCGTAGCCGTACACCTCGGGGTGGTTCAGCTTGAAGGGCTGAATGTACGAGCCGCACCAGGCGACAAGAATCGCCATACCGATCAGCAGCACGATGCCGGGCACAATGCCGATGGCCTGGAAGACGAAGGGGATCTGCAGGATACCCAAGCCGACGTTGGCCTTGGTCATGAGCACGAAAGTGCCGCCGAGACCGACCTGGGCGTTAGCGGCGTGGACGTAGAAGGGGATAGCCGAGAGGAAGACTTACGCCGCGGAAGTTGGGTCCCTTGCCGTCAGCACCGACCTGGCCGAAGACGGCGTCCTCAATGACGCGCGCATCGCGGATCTCGGCGCCGGCGCTCTTCTCGTCTCCGGCCTCAGCCGTTGAGACATAGTAGAGGCTCTTCTCCTCTGGTTTAGCCCACTGGGGCATGTTTGCTAGATTTGTTGTTGTCGTGTGAGGTTGTGTGGTGGAGTGCGACTCTTAGACTTGTGTTCTGAATATTCTGTCGATCTTAGTGCGATGAGCTAGTCGCGAGCGAGTGGCGAAGTGTGGAGAAGTCTGCGGAGTAGCTTGTGGAGAGACTGTGGAGTAGATATGGATGGAGCGTTGGAGCTATGATCGCCCTTGACAGTGCATCTGGAACAGCAACTCCATGCAGGCGAGCCGCTCCCGAGCCGACGCGAAACTCTTCCTCTGCGCGTGCAGCGACTCGAGGCGGGTTTCTCACTAAGATCCGCCCACTTGGGCAGGTGGGCCACCTGATCTCGGCCTGGCTCCGCGGGACCAGGGCGATGACCGCATGATTGGCTTTGCATTTCATCGTGTGCCATTCAATTTACGCGACGCGACGGCTGGAAACTCAAACTTGTCTCATCCTCCTCCCATCCCCAAATGCCAGCGTTGTGCTGATCAAAGCAGTTTCGATGTCTGTGCGCTAAGATAACGAGATTAGCCTCGGCCATACCATCAGCGCTTTCCAGCGTTGCGAAAATTGTCAAGGTCTTGGCAGGTGAGCGGACTTGAGCATGCCGATCGCGACCTGGATCTTTACGGGCAGAGGGAGCGGCGACTTTTGCGCTCGGTGGCGACCGCCGGAATCGCGGCATATGAACTGCCAGGAGAGTGGAGTCCCCACCCTGAGTTGGAAGACTGGAGCATTCCTGTTGGTTACTCGCTGCTCGTCAGCATCGTCATAATGAACGGCGGCATCTTACAACATCATGATAGAGTATATAAACGGTTGAGTCGACGCAGATGATGTCGAGTCACATCACCCGGGGTTACTCCGGATAGGACCTGAGAGTTATCTAGATAGACCCACGTCCCCCCTCGGCGAACCGCTTGGTGGTGGCTTGGACGCCTTCGATTCCGGTGGACGCCGATCTGCAGTCGTGCTCACGCGAGCAGATCCAGTCGAAATGAACTATTGCATGCCTATGTACAACTTGCGAAAATATCCAAAAATCCTCCTCACGCGCCTATTACACATCTCCTTCCCTCCCCTAGTATCCTCCGTTAGGCCCGTCGGTGATGCCATGCTCCTTGCACAGCTCGGGGTACCACTTGACGCCGACGTCGCGGTGCGACGAGCAGCGGTTGATAAGCGCGTACATGCCGGGGTTGCTGGCATACAGCTCCGCGTACTGGTATCCCTTCGTGTCCGTGACGACGTTGGCGGGCTTCTGCGCGAGCACCTCCTCGGGCAGGTCGATGGGCTCGAGCTTGCGGTCGAGGCGCGCTCCGTGGAAGTATCCGATCGAGTATCGCGGTCCCCGTCCCGGCGGCGGGTTGAGGACACGGTGCGTCGTCGCGACAGCCACGTTGTGGACGAGGTACTCGAGCCCGGTACCAATGTTGATAACGAAAGTGCCCGGGATGGCGGGGGCGTCGATCCACTCGCCGGCATGGTTCTGCACCTGCAGGCCGGGGAGGTCGTTGGCCTGGTAGAGGACGGTGAGGAGGTTGGCCGTGTCGCGGTGCGCGCCGACGCCCTGCGTTCCGTCGCCCGGGGCCAGAGCGTCGACAGCGGGGTACTTGATCAACTTGGCGCGGTGCTGCTGTCCCGGCTCGACGTAGGCGTCCTCGATCGCGTTGGGCGGGAGGCCCAGAGCCTCGGAAGTCAGGCGCGTCAGGCGCTCAGCGAGACCAGACGCATGCGTCCAGTACTCCTGCAACACCTGCCGGAAGCCGGGCAGGGCGTCCTCATCGGGGAGCGGGTTCGGGCCAGTGAGGCGCTCGTACTCGGGCTGTCCGGGCTTCCAGAAGGCGGGCAGCTCGTTCGCGAAGTCGAGCTGCTCACGGTTGTCCTTCTTGTTCTTGGTGATCTCGTTGCCCTGCACGCTGTACCCGAGGAAGGTGGGCGAGGTCAGCTTGTCGGCCTTGAGCTTCTCCTCGAGCGGGAGGTCAAAGAACTCGATCGCCTTGGCCGTCACCGTGTCGAGGAAGGAGAGGGGAACGCCGTGGTTCTTGACGTAGAAGAAGCCAATGTGGATGAGCGCGTGCTGGATCTCGGCGATGAGCGCGGCGTGGTCCGGCTGGGAGAGGTCGATGACGGGAATGGACTGGAAGTCCTGGGTGTTGTCGTTTGTCATGGTCGTGAGTGTTCGTGTCAGTGAAGGCAAGAAAGAAGAGGTAAGAGTCCGACAACAACGAGCTATTATCAATCAGTCAGCAAGTACATGCATTCCAGTGACGTCGGAGATGAACGCGTCTGATGCATGGAGAGTGGGCGAGGTTGTTGTGCAAATATGGCGTAATGTCGTGCTTTTTCGGCGTTCTAATCTGAAATTGGCAGAGACCGAGTGCCGACCATTGACTCGCTCTTCGCTCTTGCCCGACGACTCGTCCGTGCTCGCCCTCCCTCTCTCCTCGCCCTCCCGAGACGGAGAGGCGCTGCTCAGCGATGGAATGCGCAGGCCGCGACACGGAGATCTGTGCATCGCCGAGCATGCCGCGGCCAAGTGAGATAACGAAAGCGAGATTGCGATCTGGTCGATCGATCCAGACTAGTTGCTGTGTCATTGTTGCACTTGCCCGTAGAATCCGAGCACGGGGCCGAACCGTGGGCGTGTGGTTGCCGATGTCCCAATGGTCCAGGATGGGGGTCCAGGATGGGGGTCCAGGATGGGGGAAGAGAGAGACTAGAGTGGGGGGGTTCGTCCATCAGCGCGACCATCGTCGGACTACTCTGGTTTGATTCACACTGTTCTTGTCTTCTCTTCCATTCCTTTGTCTTACCACTGGATCCCGATGCTTGTTGCTGTGCGGTGTCCGGTTCCGCAGACGCCAACAACGATGCCCACGACTAAGTGAGTTTGGACGACGACGACAGCTCGGCAATCTCGCCTACCCTATGATCTTGTCCTCAGTGCTGACTCCAGCTTGCTCACTTCCACTGACCAGTCTGCGCGGTGCTGATCGGTTCGCTGATCATGGCGTCGAGCCCCGTAACGACAGCAAAGGAGCCCCTCCCCGGTATACACGGTGCTAAGGACCGACAACTCGACCTCGACGACACCGCCGACCACGGAGAACGCTCGAGACTGGCGTAGTTTCTCCGACAAATCCGCGCTAACAATCCTCGTGGGTCACGTGTTGCCTCTCATCAGCCATTGTGCAGAGTTCGGATCTTGGTCCACTCTAAGCCCGCCAGCAAGCTTAACTCTCTACTGGGTAGGGTCATCTACGCATGCAGGAAGGAGCTCCAACGTGCCTCCTGCGCTCCACCTGAAACCTTGCAGCAAGCAGACAGCAAATGGAATCGGCGTTGGAGGACTAAAGCCGGATCTCGACCGCTCGCGTCAGCCAATCGTGCTCCACAGTCCTGGTCCGCGACTTCCAATGCCGCACATTCCCTACCACCTGCGCGCTCCAGCCGCCGGCGTCCGCGGCTCGACGTTCGGATTTCGCTCGACTCTGCCCAACTGGCCTCCACACTCCCCCAAACCCCGCATACATGCCCCTCACTCTCACCGACGCCTCCTTCTCGCCAACCGCCGATGACTGGCTACGAGCACGGGGCCAAGCGAGACAGGGGCGTGAGGCGCAGAACGAGCGGGGCCGAGCCTCTTTGCCGTCTTAGCCGAGGCCGGTGGACCAATGTCATCAGTGTTAAGCTTGCGACCTCGGTGCTGGCAGGCAGCTATGGAGACCGCAATCGCGCAGGAGTGCAGCGCAAAGCCGCGTGCGGCAATACAACAGCCAGGCGGGAGTGACACATGTGATCGGACCTAGCCCTGCCCAGCTCCTCGAACAAAAGTTGGAAGAGACAGCTTGATTTCTCTTCCTATTCCTAACTCACCTCTAGACTCACCACCATGCTGCTTCAAGCCACGCTCCGCTCGCCGCGCACGAGCGCGTACACTGCGCAAGCTCTCCGCTCCTTTTCGACGACCCGCCTCGTTCTGTCCGTCAACAAGCGCGCCACCGCCGAGGAGGCCGTCAAGGCCATCAAGTCTGGCGACACGATTCTCTCGGGCGGTTTCGGTCTCTGCGGTATCCCCGACACGCTGCTGAAGGCGCTCTCTGAGCGCGGCGCCGGCGAGGTGAACAACCTGACGATCGCGTCGAACAATGCCGGTGTGGAGGAGAAGGGCCTCGGCCAGCTCGTCAAGGCCGACCAGGTCAAGAAGCTCATCGTGTCGCACATCGGCGCGACCAAGCTGATCGAGAACAAGTACCTCGCGGGCGACATCGAGGTCGAGCTCACGCCGCAGGGCACGATTGCCGAGCGCATCCGTGCCGCTGGCGCCGGCATTCCCGCCTTCTTCACCCCCACTGGCGCCTCTACCGCTATCGAGACTGGCGGCGTGCCCTATCTGAACGCGAAGGACGGCCAGGAGGCCAAGTTCCCCGACCCGCGGCCGACGATGGAGTTCGACGGGCGCAAGTACGTGATGGAGCGCGCGCTCAAGGGCGACGTCGCGCTCATCCACGCGTGGAAGGCGGACGAGGCGGGCAACCTCGTGTTCCGCTACACGGCGACCAACTTCAACGGCCCCATGTGCAAGGGTGCGAAGCACACGATTGTCGAGGCCGAGGAGATCGTGCCGACGGGCACCTTTGACCCGTGCGAGATCCACGTCCCGGGCGTGTACGTCGACAAGATCGTGCAGGCCGACCGACCGAAGCAGATCGAGACGCTCATTCTCGCCGACGACGGCAAGGACGCCGACGCTTCCCTCGGTTCCGGCGCCGCGAGGAAGGGTCGCGAGATGATCGTGAAGCGCGCAGCTCAGGAACTCAAGGACGGCTACTACGTTAACCTGGGCATTGGTATGCCGACGCTCCTCACCGCCCACCTGCCCAAGGACCAGAAGGTGTGGCTCCAGTCCGAGAACGGCCTGCTCGGTATCGGCCCCCCGCCGACTAAGGAGCAGGTCGACCCCGACGTCATCAACGCGGGCAAAGAGACGATCACGATGGCGAATGGCGCGGCTGTTTTCGACTCGGCCGAGTCTTTCGCCATGATCCGTGGCGGACACATTGACGTCGCCGTCCTCGGCGCCATGGAGGTCAGCGCGGCCGGAGACCTGGCCAACTGGATCATCCCCGGTGCGCTCGTCAAGGGCATGGGCGGCGCCATGGACCTCGTGTCTTCCCCCGACCAGACGAAGATCATTATCACTACGGACCATGTCAATAAGGTATGTTTTAGCCCCAGGAGCGTCTCCAGAGGGTTCAGGAGGAGTAAGGAGGTCGTGGGAGCAGTGGACGAGTGGAAAAATGGCGTAGAAAGCTCATGGGGGAAAATGTCGATTTGTGCCACAAGCTAACTTCCACAGCGCGGCGAGCCCAAGATTGTGCAGGAGTGCTCTCTGCCGCTGACCGGCGCGCGCTGCGTCAGCATGATCGTGACGGAGCTGGCTGTCTTCGAGGTCGACCGCAAGGCTGGCAAGCTCACGCTGACCGAGCTCATGCCCGGCGCCACGCTCGAGGAGGTCGTCGCCAAGACGGGCGCCAAGTTCGACGTCTCACCGAACCTCAAGACGGCCCAGATTGATTAAGAAGAAGCATTAGAATTAGATTGTATGCATTAGACGGATACCCTGGTACGAGAAGAAGACTTGGTGGGCTGAGGATCGGTCGAAGAGGTTAGATAGGCTAGTTCATCCCTGACGCTGGCCGACCGCTCACGACCCATTGCATGGCTAGGATATCACAGATGTGAAGACGGTGGTCTGTGCGCTCGATACCACAAGCTCGTCAGTTATCACAATCAATGGCATCGGCTACGGCGATGATGGGTCCACTGATGTGCTTAGCCGGTCGCCTCTGATGCCTTCGATGCCTTGCCGATAGGATATTGTTTGCAACCTGCTCCCGATCTGCAGTCCATACATCACGCAATCCACTCTGACTTCGAGTAATACAGCGATCAATGCGTACCATGCTCCGGAATGTCGAGAACGGAGCTAGACATGGCGATATCCACGATAAGCCACAGATCTTGGCATGAACCCACCAACTCGCCACCGGGGCCAGGACCTCCGGCCATCACTCAAGAAGCTCTGCGGATCACTCGAAAGGCAGCCAACGATCACTCAGAAGCAACACGAGATGTAACTGCAAATGACCGTGCATGAAACCCTAAATCTATGCTAGAACGATTGGAATGGTGGGTTGGAGTGGGTGGGTTGGTGGGTGTGCTACGCTTTTAAATACTACAACTAATCTTCTTACTTCTTTTGTGTTGGCTGCTGGGGCATGTCCTGGTGGAGAGCCTCGTTGCGCCTGACACCTGTCTCGCTCCTGCTCGACTTCGACTCGGCTTAGAGACGGGCACGAGCACCCTGGCCGGCGCGGTAGTGGACCTTCTCCTTGTCCTGCTTGGCCATCTCGCGGAGGTTCTTCCTGAGAATCTTGCCCGAGGGGCTCTTGGGGATAGTCTCGAGGAACACGATACCGCCACGGAGACGCTTGTGCTGCGCGACGCGGTCGTCGACGAAGCGGTGGAGCTCATTGGGCGGCACGCCCGACACGACGTACGCGCGCGGCATCTCGGTGGCCTGCTTCGCGTCCCAGACGCCAACGACGCCGACGTCCTTGACGCCCGGATTCGTGAGGAGCAGTCCCTCGAGCTCGGCGGGCGCGACCTGCAGACCCTTGTACTTGATCAGCTCCTTCAGGCGGTCGACGACCTTGTACCAGCCCTGCTCGTCGCGGACCAGGATGTCGCCTGTTCGCAGCCAGCCGTCCTCCACGATCGTCTCCGCAGTTGCCTTCGGGTTCAGGTGGTAGCCGCGCATGACTGAGGGAGAGCGCACCCAGAGCTCGCCTGGCTGGCCACGCTCCGAGTCCATCCCGGTCTCCGGGTCGACGAGGCGAGCCTCGGTGTGAGGGATCAGACGGCCGACCCATCCGTCGCGGCCGACGGACTCGTGCTCGTTCATCGTGCAGATGTTAGGGGAGGTCTCGGTCATACCGTATCCCTGCAGGATGCGGACACCCGGAATGAGCTTGAGGAAAGCGTCGCAGATCTCGCTCGACAGCGGCGCGGCACCGGACATCGCCTTCTTGATCGACGATAGGTCGTAGTTCGGCACGTTCTTCGACTGGAGGAGGACGAGGAAGAGAGGGGGAACGAGGTGGACCATGGTCACCTTATGCTGAACGTTAGCGAAGCTCACGCTCTTGTACTTACCTTCTGGATCGTCTTGAGGACCTGGATCTCCTCGAAGCGGGGGAGGACGACGACGGGGCGACCCTGGGAGAAGGGCTGGCAGAGAGCGAGGGTAACGGCGTAGATGTGGGAGAAGGGGAGGAAGCAGAGGACAACGTCCTTGCCCTCGGCCATATTGGTGAAGGCAATGTTGGCGCACTGGAGCTGGCTCGTCATGTTCCAGTGGCTGGTCTGGACGCCCTTGGGCAGACCGGTCGTGCCGGACGAGTAGCAGCGCCACGAGTCGTTGCTGTGCGCCTCAGCGCCGTCGAACTTGGCCGGCTGCGCGGGCTTGCCCTCCTTGACCAGGTCGGCGACGGTCTTGAAGCGCTGCGACGTGATTCCACCATTGGCAGGGCTCTGCTCGAGCAGAACGATGCGGCTGTCGGGCCACTCGCGCTTCAGGTCCTTGCGCGCAGCGTCAAACTTGGGCAGGAGGTCCGCGTCAATGAAGATGATCTCGGCACCAGAGTTGTTCAGCTGGTGCGCGAGCTCATGCGGCTCGTAGGCGTAGTTGGCGGGCGAAAGTGTGACGCCCGCAGCGAGACAGCCGTACACCGTCTGCGCCCAGGGGAGCGAGTTGAAGCCCCAGATGCACGCTGTGCTTCCCTTGCCGAGGCCGAGGGCGTTGAGAGAGCCGGCGAGCTTGAGCGCATTGTTGATGAGGTCGCCGCGGGTCAGAATCCGGTCCGTCGCTCCGTCGATGAAGGCGGGGAGGTCTGCGGAGAACTTGGGGAGAGGGCTGGGACCGCCGACACCTGTGAGGTAGGTGAAGAGGCTGGTCTCGGGGAGGGGCGGTTGGATGGCGTGGTCGGAGACGTAGATTGTCTTCGTCATGGTGGGGAGGGATAGTTGGGAGAAGGAGTGGGGGAGGAGGGAGGAGGAGATATATACTCCTGTGGAAGATGGTCGTATGTGAACGCGTTGGCACGAGGAACGGGAGGAACGGGTGGTCGTCGGTCGAGCCGGGTGTGCAGGGTGAGACTAGCGAGGCCGAGTCTGGAGTCACCGGAGCCTGTCTGTCACTTTGTCGATGGTGTGTGCAGGCACCTGGGCTCAGTTAAGAAGCAGTGAGTGAGTGTCCGTGGAGATGGACGCACGGAACATGGCCCGGACGGTTCGGGGCCGTCTGATGAAGTATGCCCTGGGTGAACCGCGTGACTGGGGAGAGGGGGAGAAAGGAGCAAAGGGACGAGGACCCGCGGGGTTGCATGCAGTGGGCTGACGACGGGGCTGTGGATGTGAGATTGCCGAGAGCCGACGCACCCCCGCAAGCCACAATCCCCAACCTTGGATCCCGAGATATCCTCAGCCAACGACGAGCGGCTGATGCGAGCAGCACCATAAAGCCACGAGGGGTCAATGAGGTCAGCAATGCAATATGCAATATGCAATGTGCATGCCAAGCGGCTCAACCACTTTCGACACTCGGCATGCATTCCTGCCAGTGCAGTGAATTGCCATGGATGCTGACGCAGACCGAGCCCTCAGCTTTGGGATTCAGGAACTTGGCTAGACGCTGGCACCTTCATCCTTGAACCTTACTTGCACAGACCTCCCAAGTCGATTGGCCGACCCCGGCCCACGAGTTCGATTGCTCGATTGCTCGACCCCTCCCGCCCTTTCCTCCTCACGACGCTCCGCAGCCTTCGTCCACTGGCGAGCGTGCAACGCGTTCTAGAAGCTGATTCACCGCTCGACACAACGAACCCGCCAAGTCCGCCGCGTCCGTACAAACCGAGACACCCAATGGGCACCCAATGTGGGCAACCGGCATCTGGGGCAACGCCGGCAACACTTGGTGACATCTTGCATTCCAGCGGTTAGTAGCCCAGATCTACTCTCGCATGCCCTCGTTACGGTGAGGCTCTGCTTCTTATCTCTAGCTTCTGCTCAATTCACCGCCATGGAGAATGGAACACACATTACATCACGCCCTGATTACAACTATCGGCCAGTATACTTGATCTCGAGCCACCGGAGGGGCGGGTAGATGATGGCGGTGACGGCCGCACTCATCTCGAAACCGAGGTCACCGCCTTCCTTCGAGAACAGCGCCGCAATGGGGCCAACATACCACACCTGGGCCATACTAACAACAGCGCCAGCCGCACCACAACAGCACGCAAAGATGCCCGCGGCGCCAATTGGCAGCTCGCGCCAGTTATCGTACGCGTCGAGGTCGATGCCGATCCTGCGGCGGAAGATGAGGAACTCCTCGAGCAGGACGACGACGAAGAACGCAACCCAGTATCCGAGGATGGAGAGGAAGTTGGACAAGACTTCGGAGAAGTGCTCCCTGCCTCCAATGGCCGCGGCCGTGTATGCGCAGAACATGAAGACGCACCAGAACGCACGCGGGATGCGCTGGAACCACGGCAGGAGGATTTGGGCCGACAGCGCGGCGGAGTAAGTGTTGGGCGCGACGTTGGCGACAATGCTGAACGCCATGATGCCCATGATGACCTTGCCGCCGGCGTGCCAGGGCTGGAACGCGCGGGCAAGCACACCTCCAGCGTCTCCCTCCTCGAACGCGCTCGAGTAGGCGGGCACAGTCATGAGCGCGGCAGAGAGCGTCTCGACAAAGACGAGCGGCAGCATGAGGCCGAACCACGTCAGGGCGAAGACGAGCGTCTTGGACGTGCGCGTCGGCAGGCGGCAGTTGAAGTCGGCCGCGACGGGGGCCCAGCCAGCAGCAGACGAGAAGACGATGCCGCCATATGAGAGGAAACCGGCCGCAAACGCCTTGCCCGTCGGCTGGACCGCCTCCTGCGCGCGCAGGTGGTAGCCCTCCTTCCCGCCCAGGGCTCAGAGACAGCAGAAGAACGCGAGCTGGACGATCCACGCACAGCGCTCCCAGTAATGCACGGCCTGGTAGCCCACAAAACAGAGCAGGAGGGCGAGGAATCCGACGATCACGATAGACGCTTCGAGCGGGATCTTCTGGGACGAGACGTTGGTGAGCGTCTGTCCGCCGAGAATGACGGCGGTGCAGGAGAATCCGAGTTGCGTGAGGATGTTGAGAATCGCGAACAGCGTGCCGCCCACGAAACCGACAGAGTAGCGAGACAGGACGATCGTGCGGAGACCCGTCTGAGGTCCCAGAGTCGCGATGTACGCGCAGCACGCCGCGCCGACAGCCGTGAAGACGACGTTGGCGCAGACGGCCATGCGGAAGCTGAGCCCAAAGTAAGCTTGCGCGAGAAGCTGGCGTCAGTCATGTTTCCACCTTCGAATGAACCGTTGCCACGACCTTCACTTACACCAATGGGGAACGTGGACACAACGAGGTTCACGCTGAACCACAGCAGGAGCAGTCCGGGGAGATGCCTGCTGCTCCGCTCGCTCTCGGGAATACGCTCGATACCCTTCTCCTCGACGTGGTTGCTGAACAGGCGGCCCCAGAAGCCCTTCTTCTTCTTCGGTGGCGGGGGTTCGAGCAGGTCGCGCCCCGAGTCGATATCAACCTTCGAGCCCAGAGGCAGCGATGCGACGCTCGGGTTCATGTAGTTCTCGACGACGGCATAGGGAGCGTAGCTGTACGTGCTGTTCTTCTTTTCGTCCACATAGTCGCGGGGGGAGGGGGTGTACGCGTAGTGCTTCTCGTCCGAGTCGCCGTCCCATCCGGGCGCATCGTGGTACACCCCGTGCGACTCGACGGAGTGGCTCAGGCGCGAGTCGGCGTACATGCCCGGCTGCGCTGTCTGCTGCGGTGTCGGGGGCAGGCGGCGCGGCTGCTCGTACGGCACGTACGAGGGGCCGGCAGGTGGTCCGTCGGGCCCGTGGCCCTCGAGAGGGTCACACTCGTAGTACTCGCTGTGCACGCTGCGGGGGTCGTTCGGGTCATAGCCCACACGCGGCTGGGAAAAGTTCATGTCGGGGTGCTCGTACAGCTCCTCTTGCGACGCGGCGGGGTGCTGGATCGGATGGCCGCGCGCCCCACTGCCCGCGGCAGTGTTGAAGCTGTGCGCGCCGTTGTCGTAGCCGTGGGCGCCGTAACCGGCATGGTTCGCGTATGGGTCGCGGTCGTTCCAGCTCATGTTGAAGACGTCTCTAGTGGTAGATGGAGCGATAGCAAGACTCTTGGCTTCCGGTTATGCAGGAGTGTCCAAGTGGCCAGCATTCAGCGGTCGGCGGCGATGGGCAAGCAGCAGCCCCTCTCCTTAGTCTGCAATGTCCATCCTCCCCAGCTGCAGTGCCTGCAAAACCTTACTGTTGTTTGCTGCATGTGGAAACTCTCCAGACGCCGTTCCGGCATAGAGGCAGGGGCATGGAGCCCTCGAGCTCCAGGGGCCGGCAGGCGGGAGGCCTATCGTAAAGCTACCAAGGACCCAAAGCAGGACGCGATCGGATCCTGCATTTCTGTGTTGCGGCCCCTCGCGCTCTTCCGCCTTTGCAGAAGGGGAGCCGCATGGTGCGCACGGTGAAGTGGGTGGGTTTGGTGCTATTTTAGTCGTTTCATCGCGGTCCAGATAACGCGATTCTCTCAGGGCAGTTAAGGGAGAGGAGAGACCGGGGGCCCAACGGTGACTTAGCGGGGCCGCGTGCAGTGAGGAACGGTGATTTCGGGCAAGGAAACTCATGTATGGTGGCTGAATGCTGTGAAGAGTGCGTCATATGCATGCACAAGATGACCATGTGCACGCAGCTCTTCAAGTTGCTCGCCGTTAGGAGGAACGAGGAGGCAGTCTGGGATGAGGAGAGCAGAGGAGAAGCTGGCTGTTGGTAAGAAGCTGAGACCCGCAGCGCGGACCGAACGACGCGAAAACGCGCGGAACAGCGACGCGCCGAAACACCGTAGCCTACGGCGCTACGGCACTCGTATCGACCCGACTTCCGCCTCTGCGCCAAGCAAGACCAACATCACGCCGGTGGCTGGCTACAGACTGCCGAGGAGTCTCAACTCTCGCTCTCGTTCAGCTCAGCAGTCCTCGCTGAGAATAGCATGACGCGGTGTTCGATGCAGGGGTGGCGTCGGCGCATTTGCCTAATCGCCGACCGGCAATCAAGCCCACCTTTGCTCCAAGGTCCGAGGCACAGGCACACAGATAGCATGTGCTGCACTCCGTACTTTCAGATAAGAACTCGAGCAGACATGATCGGGAAAGCATGTGGGGCACGTCGTACGCCACGAAAGGATGGAAGGCTTGCTGACGCAATGAACAGAGTGGAGAGACGTCATGGCGTTACAGGTGGGTTGCGCTCGTGCGAACAGGGTTTGGTCTCTGGTATCAGGAGCCGGTCAGCTGCGACGGACCCGCTGGTCTCTTGAGGGCAAGCCCCTCTTAACACGGGAAGTGAGGAGCGGATCAGCAACTCTTGAAGACTGAAGTGCCCACGGTCCGCAGGTGTCATCTAGTCCACTCAACTGATAGTAGACTACCTCGGGTCCGCAGGTCACTCGTAGAACCAAATATGGTGCCCCGCAGCCACACCATCTCTTCTCTTCCGAGGCTGCAGGATGAGTGGTTGGTTTGCACGTTTGCACAAGTCAACTATGCCGTTCCCATGCTAGCAGCATGCACAGGAATACAAAAGAAAACAGCCTGTGGTGATCAGCGCAACATCAACTCTCACTTCAGTGTTCGGTATGAGTCTCACAGACGCCGACTTCGCCAACGGCCGCACCCTCGGGCCCAGCGTGGCAGCCAAGCCAGAGCCCAAGTCTGCTCAGGACTACTTCCCGCGCTCGAGGTGGGATGAGCTCATGCAGCCGCGCAAGGAGGCCGCCCAGTCCTCCATGGCAGACCGAATCCGGTATGCTACCCGTTTGGCCAGCGAGCACTGGAGTGCCGATGTCCGGGAACAGGCGGAAGATTGTATCAATGTGGATCTCTGCAAACTCGCGGTTCTCGACAAGGTCTTCGAGATGTGCGAGGAGTATCGCCAGTTGCAAGAGCAGGAACCGCGCGACTTTGAGGCTTGGCGTGCGATCAGTGCTGGCTTTGTCGGCAAGGTTGTACAGCTCGTAAGTGGAAGAGGCAGTGGCTGTACTGACAGCAGGCATACAAGGCTATCCAATGGCCGGACCACTTCAGCCAGCATCAGTGGGAGGAGATTCGCCGGTTCGTGCTCATGGCGAAAGACCATGGGTATCGACCCTGGACAGACGCATGGTGCGACATGCCCGAGCTGCCCAAGTTTGACCACGCCCTCCTGAAGCGGTATGATCCTGCCTCGAGGGAGGTGCCCCTCCGCGTCAAGACGTGGAAGAAACACATCGACTTCGTGCGGTACAGCGAGCTCGTCGAGACCGAGTCGGAAGAGGATTGGCTTGGGACAGAGGAGGACTGGAATGCTGTTCTAGACAGACAAGAGGCTGAGCGCAGAGAGGAGGCGCAATATTGGTGGACGCAGGCGGAGGAACGTCGTGCTCGCGACCGGAAGCGAGAGACGTGGCGGGCGATCGGGTGTTCTGTCATTCTCATTCCGATGCTGTGCTGGTGTCTCTGGGGCCTGTTTCGACCACTTTGGGCGGCGTTTTGGGAATCGGAGGGGGCGCGTCAGGTGCGCGTTGCATTGTGCGTCGACAATTGCGTTGCCCGTTGCAACAGGATCTGAAGCTGGATCAGCGGGGCGCACTCTCCTCCTCGTGACGGAAACAGACAGACACGTCGACTGTCGTATCTCTAAATGCATTTCCTCCTTCCTCTCCATCCACACACGATGACGCTGACAGACTTGTCGTGGAACGGCTTCCCGCGCTCGGTCTACCGCGACCGCCGCAAAGCGTGGAACCCTTATCCCCGCTATGCCGGTACACGCATCGAGTACGCCGCTCGTCTCGCCACGGCGCACTGGCGCGAACTCGCTCGAGCTGGCAAGATCAGCTTAGTCGACACAATCACGTTCAAGCTCGCCGTACTCGACAAGGTCTGGGAGATGTGAGCTATCACGAGTGCTTCGTAGCTGACAGCAGAAACCTCGAACACCGTGCGATTGGGGAGAAGCTGGAGAACTACATTGCGTGGCGCGCACTGGCGGATGAGTTTGTCGATTCAGCCTTTGAGCTTGTGAGTTACTTGTCGGCTGCTTCAACTGACACCAGGCCAACCTCTCCGTCCCCGCCGAGGCCCGCCCCTCCCCCGCCGCGCAGAAGGAGATGCGCGCCTTCGTTTCCTCTATGGCCAACTTTGGCTTCCGCTCATGGGTCGACTCGCACGGCACGATGCCCGACAACGTCCTCCCCCGCGTGGCGACCTTCGACTTCTCCCAGCTTGGGAAGTACGATCCTGAATCGCCGCAAACGCTTAAGGATGCCAGAGAGTTTAAGGGCAACAACCTCGGAGGGTCGATCAGCGGGCAGCCGATGTGCTCCGAGATCGATGACGGTGATGAGAGCGACGGCGCGGAGACGACGAACCCCGAAGATCCTTTGGGCCGCGTTGGTTCAGTCATCGAGTGGGAGAGGCGCACTGGCCGTGTTCCCTTTCACAGTGTTGTGGCTCTACTGCGTCTGGTCGACCACGAGTAAACTCTTCCCAGGCACGGCGCCTCTCAGCCGTCTCGTTGGTCTGATGATCACGGCGCTTTGGATCGCCGACAAGATGGTGGAGAAGGTGTGGAAGAAGACCATCAGCCAGTGCGTCCGGGGCTTGGTGAGGGGATGGGCATGCGGTGTGAATGAGTGGATGCTCGGGGTCCCACCTCGGCCGGCGCGTACACCCGTCGATGCTCCGGTAGACAGGTACAGAGAGCGAGAGGACGAGAAGCCGATCCTGCTGATGCCGAAACTCCCGCCCAAAACGGGAGGCATCCATCGTTCGTAGATTTCGTCACATAAGTACGCGCAGCCCATCATATGTGATAGCTAGAGATAGAGAGCGAGAGCAGGAAAGAAATTGATGCTCGTTCCGGAAGTGCACGACATGTACGTGCGATCTGAAGTCGCTGCGCTGAGTGGATGACGATCGGGTCACGTGTTCGATTTGCCACCAGCTCGCCCACTGACATTATGGGTTGCAAGAAGGAGCTTTCGCTCTGTTGAACAATACAGCTCAACGATCCACGACACGGCACGCGGCACAGACAAGATTGTCGCATCTGTGAAGGCACTTCACGTCACACACGCACCTGCGCAGCTGCGCCTCCGTGCACCTGCACATCCGACGTCAGAGAAGCGCGATTCCATTCGGCAGACAACATTTGCTCCTCCGCAGTCACTGGCACGGACAGGTGGAACGCCAGTCTCGCCACCCTCATCATTTCCACTTTATCGATCGCACATCCCACCACTCATCATGACCTCCATTGGATTTCCTTCCACTCCACCCTCAATCCGCAGCCGCTTTGGCCGCGGACCGAAGACGTCGCCAGCCTCATCCTCCGGCGCATCAACGCAGGGGTCCCCTGTCTCCTCGGCATCGTCCTCGAGTCAATCCGCAGCAACTCTGTCGGTCGCCTCAGATGAAGCTCCTTTTCCAAGGACTGACTGGACGGGGCAGCCCCCCTGCCTCCTCGCCATCGCGCGCAAGTCATCACGATCGCTGGACCGCATCGAATACGCGGCTCGTGTAGCGTCACAGGGGTGGAAGCTCCTCGCAGACCGCGGCCGACTTGAGTACGTCAACCCGGTCATGTACAAGTTGGCCGTCCTAGACAAGGTGTTCGAACTGTAGGTGTGCTCGTATACTCCCGCTGACCACAAGCAACGTCAAGCGGCGCCGTTCTAAATTGGAGCCGGAGGCGAACTTCCATTCTTGGAGGGCAATGGCCGCGCATTTCGTTGATGAGGCCATGGAGATGGTGCGTCCCCGGTTCAGGCATCGCTAACTCCAGGCCAGGAACGCTGTGCCTGCCGAGAAGAGACTTTCAGCTTTCGACGAGCAGGTCCTCCGTCGCTTCCTGATCCGAACGAAGGACTATGGGTTTCGAAGCTGGGATGACGCGTGGGGCGAGATGCCAAAAGGCTATCTGCCCAAGTTTGATTTCACCGAGCTGGGACGATACGACCCTGCCCGAGAGGATTGCCCGGGACAAATCCCAGTTCAGCCCGTTCCGGAGCACTCGCGGTACCTCCACTTAGATGACCCAGAGTACGAAGCGGAGCAGCGGGGCGAGGTCATTGCTGTGGCTGAGAGACCTACGGGCCCCATTGTCACCGTCAAGATCTGGGAACGTTCTAGTACCGATCTGCCGGCGCGCAGCTTGTGGCTTTCAGTTCTAGTCCTGATCTTCACGCTTTGGTGCATCTATCGCTTGTATAATACTTTCTGCGCTCGTTTTATGTAGCTTAATTGAGGCTGCCCACTTGGATTGCAGCGTGACTGAAAATGTAAACACACTTTCGTACGAGCCTCTCCTTCTACGCAGTGGTGACGGTTAGAGATTGCTGTTGAAAACTGGGTCACTGAGACGACATAGCGGCTTCGATGAGGTTCTGCCATGCGCGGGGCTGCCGAGTTTTCGACTGGCACACCGCGAAATGTGTGATCGCCCGCTCGAATCAATGCGAGTACACGTTGAAGGAGAGTGTTCATTTGGTGCGGCAGACTGGTGACTGTTACTACTCTCCACAGACCTCGACATGATCGAAACCGCGATGCTCTACCAACTGTCCGCCTTCGTGGCACTCCACGACTTCTACCTGGAGCTCGACCTCCCCTCCGCCTCAACAGCGGTCACCTCCGCCGGTGCTATCAGCGGTGTGGTCTTTCTGATCTTATACTGGACCAGGGACCTCGACAGGATCCTGTTTCTGGCTGTTCTTGACCTGCACCAGGTCACAATCCCGGCGCAGGTCACCAGCGTTGAGAAATGTGCGGAGAAGCCCATCGTCAGTGATCTTATGCGGCGGCTCCGCCGCGTCGTAATCACCGCCATGACGCTCGAGCAGGAGTTTTCGGGGATCAGACTCGCCAAGAGAAGGCTCATCGCCTCCTTCAAGGTACCGGGACTTCGCCTTCTTCTAGGTTCAACCGGCCGAGGTTTTGTGTGGATGCGCGAAATCCTCCTACGCCTCGTGTACAACCTGTATTCCCTTGTGTGGCCGTCCGGCTTTCTGTTCGCCGCCAACGACCAGGACAATATCGACTACGAGTCGACCTTGGTGTGCATATTCTGTGGTGAGTACGGTGCGCCTGAGTATCCCGAGAGATCTAATGGCAGAACAATATTCGCTGTATCTCCGACAAGCGCTCGGACTTTTCGTGGCCGTCAAAATTCGTCACGACCTGAACATAGGCGACGGCCCCGGACGTGTCCCTCTTCCTCGGCCCGATCTTCACCTCCGCGACCTTCAAGGGCGACCGCTGCTCTTCGTGGAGCTCAAGCGAGAGGCGAGGCTAACAGTTGGCGCCGCGAAGAAGCTTGCCGTCGTCCTGTCGGATCCCGATGCCGTGATCAACGTCTTTTATAACCCCAACGGGCCGTCGGACATCATCGGTTACGCGGGTCATTACGTGCCAAAAACGTGTGCCCGTGTCGTCCTCGAAGCCGCAGCTTACAGCGAGAAGAGGGGTCTTCCCTTCACTATCGTCTGGTCCGGCTGCGTTGGGTTCTTCTTGTATTTGGACGTCAACGAGGAGGTCGCGACGCTCAGAGTGAGCAGGCCTTTCGGCTCGCCTGAGCCCGGTATGATGAAGGGTTCTATTGTGACCCACTTCATTGGGGCCGCCATGCTGAACATGGAGGCGGTCGAGTACCCCACTTGACTCAGGCGATCGGTTGATGTGTAGAACGCTATGAACATGTGTCGAAGGTTCAGACGGTGCAGGTGTTGGCGTCCGTCACCCCAAGCCGTCATATGGTTGCTCAAAGTTCACCTGCGGCCGTTAGACGCTCGGTTGCACACTGCCATTCGAGACTATACTTACTCCGCTTTGTGTGGGAAAAGGAGCAAATATCCGCGGTACTTGAAGGCAAGAAGTGAGAATCAGGGACTGCCCTTCGGAACCAAACAAGAGGAATCTGGTCATCTCAGCTTGCCGCTGGTGCAAGAGCTGTATTTGAAGCTCTAGGCTTGGCCGCAGCCGTTCGTTAATTGGGGACCCTGCCTTGCTGCAGGCACTGTCTTTCGTGCTCGTGTGGCACGCCTGACAGCACTTCTCATAATCTTGGCTCCATCTCGTCTTCATGTCGCTTCGATTTGGGCAGAAGTCGATCTTTGTCCTCAGGACCTCAGGGCTCGGAACCAAACAAACGGAAGCAAATACCTTTTCACTCTCCCCGCAACCTCCCTCCACTTCGAACAACCAACCGTCCTCTTCCAACCAGAAAACAACACTCCCCGATGCATTCCGATGCATAGAACGCCAACAAAAGAGTACATCCAGGGGGAATCGAACCCCCACCGCATCGATGGCAACGATGCATGATACCATTTCACCATAGATGTTAGGATGTAAACCACTGCACCAACGATGGATCGTGATTTCTTGTAAGTAGAGGCACGCTGCGCAATTATGAGTGCTCGCAAACAAATCAATTCGCGACAACGAGGTGCTCTGTAACGACAGAGGCGAGGCTCAGTAGCACGGAGAGTGTCTCCGGACTGGTGAAATTGGCTCAGAATGCGTGGAGCGGCCCGTCGATAGTTAGCCGACAGGTGGTCGGCCGCTGGAGTGATCTCTTCTCCGTCATCTCCTCCAGCATGAGCTCGGAAGGCAGAGTCTAGAGGACCTCGTACCGTGTATCAGTAATGCATCTATCACAGCTGGCTACCTCCTCTATCTCCTGTCAATAGGCGGCAGCGACTCCGACCAATGCTGCTGCCTGTTCGCGGAGTTGAGGTACCCCAGCCGTCTCCCCTCTGGCTGTCCTTGTTGCGCCTGACCGAGTTGCGGAACGGGCGGCAAGGGCTGAGTCATGCCTCCAAAGTGGTGTACTGGCTGAATCGGCGAGATGGGCGATTGGACATTTGGGGAATGCGGTGACAGAGGATCGTGGTAGAACTGAGGGGCATGGGTGACTGGGGCGAGGTGAGGGGTTGGGAAGGTCTGCGTAGCGGGCTGGGGAGTTGGGACAACCGGGACATGCGGAGATTGAGGAGCCTGCGGCGAGGTGTCGTGCAGCTCATTCAACGATTGCTCCCCATTCGCGGCTGTCTCGGAGTACGGCGGCGGCGGGGGCTCGTCTGGATCTCCGTCCTCTACTGCTTCCCAGTTGTGTTGCTGCTGCACTGGCTCGATGTGCCCCGCTGGCTGGCTTGCCTGGCTGGGCTGGTCATATAGCTGATGCTGTGTTGAGTGATCAGGCTGAACAAGAGGAACAGGCTGGACAGGCTGGACCTGGTGGACCTGTGCCGGATACCCGATGTGCCCGGGTTGGACCTGAGGAGCCTGAATGTGGTGGATCTGATTGTTGACATTGTTCTGGGCAAGGGGCGGTGGATTGGAGGCTTCGGGGGCTTGCGACCCAGATCCAGGCCCAGCGCTCTGTGCGCTCTGCGTGCCGATTCGTGGAGGGATGGGCGGCGGACCATAGTTGCCCCCGTTTCCTGTGTAGCCTGTGTTGAAGTTTGGAGGGGTCGGAAGGGGTCCTATGCTCGTGAGCAGCGCGGGAGGTTTTGGCGGGGACATGCGTGTTGGCGGAGCGGGGACTGGCGGGGGGGCCGAAAGTGTAGCCGTGGGCATTGGGGGAACAGCGGGCACAGCTGGGGGGACGGGAGGAGGTAGTCTTCGCCGCTGATCGGGTAGAGCAGGCTTAGGCCCAGGCGGGAGAGGAGGAGGAAGGCGGCGGCCCGTCGTTGAGACGGGGCTGGACTGTCGTGGAGGTAGAGGAGGGGGTCGTCCGTTGGTGCCGCCGCTTGGCCGTCGGGATGGGTCGTGCGCACCGTGCCCGAAGAAGGACGACATGGTTCTTCGCTGTGGTGAGTGAGTGGGCGATGGACAGATGGGTGAGTAACGATTCAGAGATGATGATGGAGCGGGTCGTCACGTTCGTGGAATGGAGGTGGTTGGTGCGAGATAACGCCGGCCGCTAGCGCTGTTGGAGGGATGAGCCTGCGGATCCGACGGGGCATTGTTCGGTCGATCGAGTGGGACATGGCGTTGCGGCGTGTGCGCCAGATCTGCAAGACGTCCTTTGCCCGAGTTATGCTTCAAGTCAAGTCAAGTATGCATCAACAACAACAAGAAGCTTGTCAGTGTAGCTGAGTGTGTGTCACGGCGCCGAGACTGCCGGTCCGTCGCCGAGGAATTCCCCGGTGCCTTATTTGACCCGCCCACAGGCCATGTCCGAGATCAATCGCGAAGTTATGTTTTCGACTTTCTTGAAGCTTGTCTGGCTTGCAGAGCTTGTGGTAACACACTTCATCCCAGTTCGACGTCCTTGATCGGCGCGACCGTAGACATGCCGCTCCACGCCCACCCCGACCCCTCAACACTCCTCCCGCTCCTGCGGACGCAGCTCCCAGCCTCCCTCGTCTTCGTGGGCACACTCATGTCCAACCCTTCCCTCGCTCCCGTCTATGCCAACTTCCCACCTCGTTCGGACGGTCCTATCGACATAGCGTACCTCTCCTCCCTCGGACTGGGGGAGTACGACTGGCTCGTGACCGTGGCCCTCCCCGTGCCCTCAGAGCAGCAGCGCTTTCACCACGCGCTCTCCGGCGCGCCAGCTGAGATCCAGCAGCTGCTGTTTGACAAGGCGTCCAAAGCCGTCACCGAAGCCGTCACCGAGATGATGGGCCGATACCCCGCCCAGCCAGTCTGGGGCTCTGTGCCGGAACTCTTCGGTCCGGCCGTGCGAGAACTGCTAGACGCGCCGAAGCGCGACGTGACGTACATCTACGCGCCGGGCGAGGGGTGGGGTGCCTCCTCCATCGAGGCGCCAACTGATCTGGCTGGGCTCACGTTCGACATTGGACGGCCAGAGGACGGACAGGCCGTAGGTTTCTGATGACTGCCAGGCTGACTCCAGTTTCACGACTTCAGCGGATACCGATCCCTCGACTACTACCGCGAACGCTCTGGTTGCGCCACCGTGCTCCGAGACGCGGAGGGCAAGGTGCAAGTCTGGGTGTTCACGCATGGCGACGGATCCATCGGCGCACTGTACACTATGCCCGAATACAGGCGGAAGGGACTCGCGAAGGCTGTCCTGCACCGGCATGTTGACCGCGAGACGCAGAGGGGGATCCCGCGGTTCTGCTATATCGAGGAGGGCAATGATGCGTCTGCGGCGCTGTTCAGCAGCTTTGGGTGGACGCGGCTCGGGGGCGAGTTTGGGTGGATCTACAACCCGGCCGCTCTGAAGCGTGAGGGCAAGGCGTAGCCATAGACCATGTAACCATATGCATGTAGACAAACTGCTGCCGGGATAGCTCATGCGAGGACGCTGCGTGTTGACTTGTGTGATGTGTGTCCACAGGTCTACTCGACCTTCTTCCCTCCCTTCTTCGCGGCCTGCTTCGCCTTGGCGTCCTGCGCGTCGTACTCGGCGTAGCGGAGCTGCTCCTCGCGCAGCCACCACTGCGCGCACCAGAGGAAGCCGGCCGCAAACGCAGGTGCAAGGAAGAGGTCGCGCACGCGGAAGGCGAGGTGCAGGCGGGTCCAGAGCTTGTGGCCGACGTAGGCTGAGGCAACAACGAGGACGGCCCAGAGGATGCGATGCTCGCCGGGGGTGTAGCGGCCTTCTTGCCTGCGCTGCAGGCCGCGGAGGAGGCGGTAGCCGCTGAGGGATGCTGTGATGGCGAGGATAGCGAGAGTGAAGCCGATAATCTGGGCGTTAGCTCCGATCTGGACCACGTAGCTGGGAAAGAGTGGAAGGAAGGGGGGAAGGTGAGGGAAGGTGAGAGGCGAGGAGGCCCGGTACATACCACGATGGAAGCGACATGGTTGAGATGGATGTCGACGGCGTCGATGGTGGGGGTGTCAGAGACCTGGACGACTTCGATCTTCTCGATCTGTTCGGACATGCTTGATTGATGATGGATGGATGAGATGGAGACGAGAGCTCCGATCTGATTCACGCGTTGTCGCTTTCACCGGTGACGGAATCTCACAGCCGGTTTACCCGGAGTTGATCCGTAGGTTCAGCAGCAAAACAACGAGCTTGGATGCGACCTTTGTTCGATTCCACTCAAATGATTTTGTCGTCGACGGGTGAGTGAATGCTGCAACGCAACGGTCCAACTTCACGCATCAATCGAGTGACAGGCTCGCCGTGCTCGTGTTCACAAGCAATGTCCTCAACCCACACACCCCTACTGTTTCTCAGGACTGGCGCTCGGACAGCTCATGACCAACCTGATGGGCTGGCACGCTAGGAGCGCCGTTTGTCGACATGCTCCAGGACCCGACCGAGCCCGGGGACAAAGCCAAGGCCTTCACTATCGCATGCAGGATATCAATCCGGTGCAGCGGCACATGGAACGTCGGAACCGCAGCACGGATGTCTCTCGATCACAATCCTCCCCAGCGTCTACGAGAGCAATGTAACAGGCGGAGCCAAAGTTAAGGTTCAAGGGCTTGCATTCAACCAACACAGTCCGGGGAATGGAACGTCGACCTCATGATCAATCAGCCCTCTTCGCCCCCGCTCGATCCCTCGAAGTTCTCCAGGCTGTAAACGTGGGCGGACTCACATTGGAAGCTGCGGCCTTGCGTGTAAAGTTATTCGGCTTGACTAATGCCGCACGCAGCGTGGGGAGACGTCACTTGATAACTGATCAACTGAATTGATTCTGTGAGAACAGCAGGTGCGATTGGCCTGCGGACTAGGCCAAGATCGTGCCACGGTCAGGTCCGCTATGAGTCACCCGACGAAGTAGTCCAATCTACTGCCTCGGTCTCCACTGAGCAAACCACATAGGCAACGCTGGTCGATCGGGTCAACATTGTCAGCTGCCTTCGTGTGGGCGATGCACCGCGCTGCAAGGTCAGCTGGCCTCGTCGCTCAGCGACCGGGCCCTGCAGCAGCGGCCGTCACGCCTACAGTATATAATAGCCCCCTCGGCCGGCCACTTCCCCACAACATCTGCAGTCTCATTAAACAACATGTCGTCGTCTCGTGCTCCCGTCCTCTACATCCCGCATTCGGTGAGACCAGCCTACCTTGGCCCTGCTGACTTTCGACAGTGCCCGGTCGAGATGTTCGAGCAAACGTCGCGCATGCGCCCCGCGTTGCTGAAGTTGGGCGACGCTCTCGTTGCCAAAAAGCCAAAGGGTTTTGTCGTTATCTCGTCCTACTGGGCCAACGACGACCACGGTGTCGCCGTCAATGAGGACTCGACCAATCCCCTCGTTTACAAGTACGATCTGCGTGACCGCGCTTTGACCCGCTCCAAGCTGGACGGCGAGTTCTTCAATGTGCGGTTTACGAGCCACGGCGACGCCGCAATGCTCGATGCCGTCAAGAGGGCGCTGAAGGACGGTAACGTCCCTTTCGAGTCAAAGAAGCGGGGGCTGGACAACGGTGTATTCGGTGAGTTCCGGTGACTCCCAAGGGTCTGACCGCAGTTCCCTTCAAGGTCATGTTTGGGGAGAAGACCGACATCCCCATCGTCCAAGTGTCGCTCTACGGCGAGGACGACATCAAGCTCGCCACCGAGCTTGGCAAGGCCCTCTCTGCTGTCCGTGACCAGGGTTACACCCTCGTCTGCATCGGTCAGCCGCTGACGAGGCCGGACACTCAGAGCATCAGTGACTCCGAGTCTATGGACTACATGCGCGCAGTGCGCGATGCTGTCACGGCCGATGACCCGCTCAAGGCAACACTGGCGCTGCAGGACAATCCAGTGTTCCCCAAAATCCCGTTTAAAAGGGACTACCAGCCCCTTGTCGTTGCCACCGCTGCGGTCCTGCCGGGTGATAAGAGCGAGATCATCGCCGGCGGAAGCGACTCGGTCAGCCGAGACTACCTTGGATACGATACAGGGTATGAGGGGCCCATGGGCTGGGTCCTGTGTGAGTGGAAATAGCTTGTACAAGGGACCTTACAACCTCCGATGCAACAGCCATACATAAGTAGTCATTCTAGTATGGAGGCAATGAGCTGCGTGACACGCTCGTACGGGCCAGCACCATGACTGGCCAGCGCAGATATGCACCAGCGCGTGAGAACCATGCATCGCTCATTTGCCCAAACGCAGTGCCAGCACGAGCGTTTCAGTATGCATTGACGGTTTGATTGCGGTGCTGAACCAGTGGAAATGGCCGATGCTGGGTGCAAGCGGCCGAAATCGGGAAAGCGGTGCAGGCCGCTTGGAGCTGTGCCCTGTGGCTCCTCTACTACTCGGCCAGTCGACCATGCAACCATACGTGCTGTGCAAGCCGGCTCTGTCCTCGTAGCAACATCCAATGCAGCAGCAGGTGATGCACGTGATGCATCTGCTGCATTGCGCTCGTTTTGAAACTGGACCCCAGCGTTGAGAGCATCGCTGTTGGTCAACGGCGACGGTCTTCTCCACTCACCACCACCGGACTGACTATACCTGGCAACTTCTTCACCGTCTTCCATTCATCGAGTACACTGATTCCCCCTCATGCTTCAGCCAACACTGCACCCAAGCTATGCCATGCGCGCATATCGATGCAGATGAGCACTGCAAGACGGGTCATCTCTCCAACCACCGGCAGTGCACGGAGGAAGTGATCGCCGCCCTGCCCAACACAGTACAGCGACGAGCTCCTTCTCTGTCCTGGATTCCGCATATTGCGTCCTCCACTGACCAGAGTATATATGGAGGACTTGGACTGGATCTTTCGAATCAGCAAGCCAACCCTCTTCTCTCCACCCTACTACCCAGCAGTCTTCTCGATCCGCCTCACCTCCTCTCATCCCAACAAGCTCCGCATCACCTCCCTTCTGGCTCTTCTGAGCGTCCTCCTCGTGTCCTGCCAGCAGGTCCTGGCTCTACCCATTCCCTCCGGTCGGGGCCTTCCCACTACAATCACCGGTGCACCTGCAGCGTGCACCCCGGCGGGCCACAACTACAGCACGATCTACGGCCGGGCCGCCGACCCCTGCGCCGAGCCCAAGAAGCGGGACACCTGGCTCGACGGTCCTCTCGACTACACCAAGTGCATGCAGGGCTGCGACGCGCTGCTCAAGGCTCCGAACTCAACCGCCCTGGAGCCGTTCCAGGGCTACGCCTCTGTTCTGAAGAACGAAAAGATGGCCAGCACCATGGCCGATCAGTGCACCGCCGGCTGTAAGGCGCGGTACGGCGGCAACGGCCGCCGCGCGCTCAGTGCCCTGCGCGCTCTGCGGAAGCGCGGCATGGCCCCCTCCGTCAAGATCAGCCGGGACCAGCTGGACTGGCTCGCGCGCCGCAGTTCCGACTGTGCCGAGAACCACGGCTTCGTCATCGGACAGCAGAACGAGAAGGGCAAGGCTGTCGCCGTCGCTGTTCCTGGCTCCGAGGCCGATGGGTGCAAGTACGCCAGCGGCACTTGGCCCAAGGCCGGCGAGTGGAAGGACGAGAAGGAGACCCTCAACCTGGGCATTGGACCCGACAGGGATGCTGTGTACCAGGTCAACGCCTACGAGGGAAGCATCACCGGCCCCGATGGGAAGAGGTACGGCGCCTGTCTTCCCACTGAGTGGAACAGCGAGACGGCGTGCGAGCAGGATGTCGGCGCTCAGGCTAAGTTTACCGCTTACTACACCTGTTGGGTCGCCGAGGATGAGATTACCAGCCCGGAGCAGCTTCTGGAGTAACCTCTTGCCGCTGTCGCCACTCTGTTTCCGTTTCTTCTCTGTGTCCTTTCCCATCTGTCGTTTCTCCCCCTAGACTTCCTTTGGCTCTGTGAGCTTCTTCCTCGCTCTCTCACTCCTCTAGATTCTGTATCGTAAACCCTGTAGCATAGTATAACTCCGAATGGACTATTATATACCATATACCTCTGGCTGGGCTCTGAATCGTCACCACTGGTCTAAGCCCCTCTCTGAACGCCGAGGCGGTGTGAAAGCGACCATGGCAGTCCCGCCGCCGACGCCGCCAGCGACCTCGAGAGGAGCGGCGCTCGACATCTATGGTGAAATGGTATCATGCATCCTTGCCACGAGTGATTGGATGCGGTGGGGGTTCGATTCCCCCTGGATGTACTCTTTTGGCTCTCCTGTGCATCGATTGACCAGCGAAGAGGTGTCAAGATGGGAGGAGATCACGATGCAGGGTCAGGTGTGGTGCGAGGACCCCATTTGCTGATTTCAGCCAATTTCCTGAATTTCTCATATTTCCTTTGGGACGCGCCCAACCCTCGTGAGTGCGTGCAGGACCTCTCCAGCGGGTACTTGAAGCCAGAAAGACACCGTTAAATTGTTGTTATTCTGGTATTTGGCTTCTGATCAAACCTGTCGTCGAGCTTCTGCCCCAGAGTCGTTCTGGCCCATCTCTCCGTCCGCACGACCTCTCCCCTGACTGCAAGTCTTCCCAACCTCCGCGCGAGACCCTTGAAGACCCAGAAAAAGGATTCCGTGCCCCCACTCAGAATCGAACTGAGATCTAGAGATAGCAGAGGAGCTATGAGACTCGCGTACTGACCATTATACTATAGGGGCGCTGCTCCGAAGGAGCTCGCTGATGGCTGCGCGCGCCGGCGGCTCTTTGCCGGCGCCGAGGGGTTCGGAGCGTGGTGAGACGACGACTGGAGTGTGCTGGAGCTTTTGGCACGAGCCACTTGCTTCGGGGTATGCTCGGGCATGTTGTTGTGTGTTGTTGTGTAGAGCAATGTGTATTCCTCACGCCCGAAACTGTTGTGCCTGGCGTTTCAGACCATGGTGTGTGTTACTCCTCTGGCAACTACGTCAGCCACTCGGCACGCCTGGGCGATTGCGTATCGGCTCGGCAAGGGGTAGAGTTCAATCCCTCGGGCCGGCAAGGTCAGGTGATGTGCAATCCCCCATCGAGGTGGCGGGCGATCCGCCTTCATCAAAGTATGCTGTCTGCAGTGGTGAGCTCCGACAGGCTAGGCCAGCATACGTAGCTCATAATGGTGGTCGCGAAGTCACACTTTCTTCATCTCGGCTACCAGCTTTCGACCGATAGTCTGTGGGAACGTATCTTTCTTAGCTATCCATATTCCTGACTGGGCGTGCCAGCTTGAAGACCGAATAAGCCGCGGAGAGGGAGGTTGTTTGTGCCGCATCCGCCGCATCCTGGGATGTTCGTGTTGAGTCCTTCAGGGTGTCGTCCCCGGCTTGCCTCACTTAGACGGCACTAGGAGCTGGCCTGGGCTTTCGATCGCTTTCGTTCCGAGGATGCACACGAAGTAAGGGGAAAAGGACGCTTTGGACTTGCAATCTCCCTCCCAATCAACAGAGATAGGCAGACAGAGACCGTACCACTCGTCACCTTTCAAGCCGTGGGCATACTTGCTGGAGGCGTTGTCAACGTCCCAAGGGCATATCTTATACTGCCACTTGTTCTCAAGACGTTGAAACGTCATGCACTCGGTATCCTTCCCCTCCGTCCACTTTCCAGCATTCGGCCAGCGCCCACGCGCGTACTGGCAACTGTCTGACACATATCCTGGAACGGCGACAGCCCATGCGGTGCTGGAGTCCAAACCGTTGGTTTGCTGTTTGCCGACAACGACTCCTATCGCTGTCTCGTCCCTTCTGTCTAGGGTGGTGCTGTTGTCGGGAGTGGTACTGTTGGGTGGCGCTGCTGTGACATAGAACATTGAGCTGGGACCGTAGCCATCGGTAGGTGGGTCATTGGGTGTATCCGTTCTACGAATGCCACGTCTGCGCTATGGGACATGACGGACCGCTACATAGGGTCTATAGATTAGGCTATGGATAGGATATGGAGGAGCTCGCTGTTGTGACAGAGGATAGGCTATGGCTATGGGCAGCTTTCCATAGCGCTATGTACCTCATAGCTGAAGCAAAGGCACAAGTTTGAACTGCTCCCGTTCCCAGCTTGCCAGAACCATCTCTGACGCGCTCCAGCGCTGTTTACAGACGATATCAAGCGCTCAATTCAACAGGCAACCTTGCAGAAGATCTGTTATGTCTCTGCCACATCCCAGTGGCACTGAGCTCGCTCACACTGCCACAGACGAAGTCCCAGGCAGTTCTTACTGTGAGAGCACAGCTGCTGCGCTGCTGACACATCCCAGTGCAGATTCCTGCGCCGCCTGAACGGCCAAACGATCATCTGTCTTCCACAGGCTCCACAGCCCCAGTCAGGCGCAACCCTAGACGCTCCCCCTCACCTAGGAAGAGTGATTTATCAGGCCCAGCCAACCCTCTGGGACTCCGAGGCCATCGAGGCTGGCAGTATCTCGATGAACAAGGTGTACCCCTCACTGCAGAAGCTGTTCAACGGCTCAGGTGCGCTGTCATACGGAAGTTCAGAGCTGACATTCAACAGCGAAACACCCATACCTACTCTCAAGCGCAAGCCTTCCCGATCAGTGAGCCCCAGCGTCGCTCCCTCTTCGCCTAAGCGTGCGAGAAGCGTCTCTTCAGCTGCTCCTCTCTCACCTGTCAGTGCCACGCCCACACAGCACTCCCAGCCCTCGAGAGTGCTTGTCCCATCGTCCTCGCTGGCCAGCAGCATCGATTTCACTCAGGATGACGAAGATACAGTCCAGCAGACTCCAGAACCAGCGAAGCGGCGGCGAAGACGCGATGACAGCCACCTCATCTTCTTCCAGAAGATCCCAGTGACAACGGCTGGCAAAGACTACTTGTGTCGACTCTGTGGACTCGAATACAAAGCAGGAGAGCGTGTAAGTCTTCACACATGAAGAGCGCGCGCTGACACACAGCTGAAGAACCTCAGATCGCACTTGACAGGTCACAGGGATCGTCCTCCCTGCTCCAAGCTCTCTGCAGCCAAAGTTCTGTTCCCAAACGTAGCTCTACCAGCCCCCTACCTCAAGAACTCTGCAGCAGCGAACGACAGCGCGCAGACCACGCTTCCAGCTGCATACCAGCCAAGTTCAGACTTCAAACCTGAGATCTTCGCGAAGCTGCTCACGCTGGCAGTGGTAGAGAGCCGGTGAGTGGCCGAGAGCTTGGCTCAGCTGACTCCAAAAGTCCCTTTCGCTTTCGTGGGACAAGACTGTTGGCAAGCCGTGTTCAAGTACTGTAACAGCCGAGCTATCCTCCCCAGTCCACAAACCATTCGCAGGCGCATCACAGACCTTCATTCCGAGCTGGAGGGAGCGGCACGCACATCATTCCGGGCCTCTGGATCCATGTGCAGCCTCCAGACTGACGTTTGGACAGCTGCAGGAGGCAAGCTGTCGTTCACTGGCGCTAATCTGTCTTGGATCGATCAGGATTGGGTTCTGCACACCGATTTCGCCTTCTTCATACCCCTTGTGAAGCGCCACACCGGTGTCAATCTTGCCGAGCCTTTGGGAGCGTGGCTGAAGGAGCAAGAGCGTCTCCACGACGTTGTCTCTATCACCACTGATGGCGCCTCCAATAATGTCACAATGCTGGAACACCTTGTGAACAGCCACACCACACGCTTTCGAAAGGAGAAGGACCACATCCTGTGCGCTTGCCACGCGATCGGTCGCGTCGTGCATGCGTTCATGGAGGCCCTCGGCTGTTCTGTGCCACCTCTTCGGCTTGACAAGGCTGTCAAAGCGCCACAGCTCCTTGTCAACGGAACACCACTTCCAGGCGATGATACGAGCTTCGCTTTCGCTCTCATTCAAGACTCTCTCGTGGAGAACACTTGTGATGAGTCTCAGACACTCTCATGCGAAGAATTCGCCCTTGAAGACTGTTCCGATGATGATAGTGGCACCGACAGAGAGGAAACCGACAGTGAGACTTCCAGCGATGAAGAGTGCTCTGGAACGGCTCCCTCAGTGTCCTCATCGAGCCATGGACGCTCAGCACACATGGCTCGCAGGTTCTGTAGGGTTACGAACCGAAGCGCACACCTTTCAGCCGAGTTTGAGAAGAAGTCAGGTGGCAGATCACTGAAACAAGTATCTGGCATCCGCTGGGGCAACGACATCGAGGTTTGGGAGTCTGTTCTTTCGCTTCATTCTTCAATCAGTGGCATGCTGCTAGATCACGCCACACACTATGGCAAGCATGATATTGAGCTTGATACCAACGATTTCATCAACCTTAGGGTCTTGATTGATGTCTTGGGCCCACTGCGCGACTTTACAAGACAAATGGAAGGCAACAGGCCGACAGGAGCCTTCGTTTTGAACATGTGGCTGCAGCTGCTGGCTCATCTGCACGAAATGCGCCGAAAGTATGCGAAATCGACCGAAATTGAGCAAGCAGTCGATGTGGCACGTCACAAGGCCGAGTACCACCTTCGAAGAGCTGCACAGTGTCGCCCCATCATCATTGCGACAGCTCTGAACCCGAGGTGCCGTCTGAGCTACTTCAACAAGAACCAACAGCTTGGAATCGACGCTCTTGATGTGAAACGCCTTCTCATCGCTGCCTGCGAGGAGGCAGAGGCCAGGGACTGCTCTAGCGATGAGATACGGCCTCAGGCTCTTGCCTCTGAAGTACTCAAAGTGCAGGAGGACGCCTTCTACTGCGACGACGTCACAGAAGATGAGGGGTCGTTTCCTGTCATTGAGGGTGAGATAGATCGCTACAACCGTCGCATTGGAGCCTCTCCACGAAGCCGAGAGGTGCAGCATGACCCCCTTGAGTGGTGGCGCCTCAATCAGCACGCTTTTCCAACGCTGGCCAAGGTGGCTCGCCATCATCTGAGTGTGCTGGCTGCACAAGCAGTGACAGAGCGACTGTTCTCTGCGTCAGGAGCAGTCTGCGAGGCAAAGAGGATGGGTCGTTTGCACCCCAGGACTATCAGCACGCAGGTGGGCGTTGATCAGCTGCTTAGGAACGGTCACAAGTGCAAGGGAGACTGGGGGACAGCGCAGAGCATTGTCAGCAAGTCCAAGCTCAAAGCGCAGACTGCAAGGCATATTGAACGGCCAGATAGAGTGGCTAACAAGGATATATAGCGCTATGTAGCCATAGACATGGTGGGTATGCTATGCTATGGATATGAGAGTTCTGACGGCCGCCGTTCGAGCTAGGATATGGCTATGGCGGGCCATAGGCGCTATGTAGTCGTTGGCATTCGTAGATCCGTTGCAAGAGTCATTGGTTCGTCTTCGGGCCAGCCGCCGTGCTTTCCTGGCCCCCAGCCATTATATCCGAAAGGTGGTGGTAGGACTGGCGGATGATAGGGCCCCAGTCGGTCGTTGCTTCCCTCGTCATGGGTGGAAGGGTGGCCGGAGGGAAATCATATTTGTCACGACACCACTTTTGACAGTACGACAGAATACTGCCCTGCGCGAAGGCGCGGCTGAATCCCTTGAGCAGGTTCTCCACACCTGTAGCGAGCAACCCCGTTTTGCTGTTGAGCAATTGACAGTTTTTCATACAGATTGCGTATCGTCGATTGTCTCGCTTTCCAAGAACTGTCTGAGGATCCCCGGTGGGCTCGGGCGATGTTGTCTCGTGTTGATCACCTATGTGCCTGGCAGTCTTCGTTGCGGGAGGCATGGCACTGGTTGACGATGAAAAAAGGCACAGCCAGCATAAGAGGCCGAACGTGGCAGCGCATGAACTGAGGCGTTCGAGGCACCGCATGGTGCGTACTTCGACTGGCTAGCGTGGAGGGAGTAGAAGAGAAGGGGAAGAGCGGTCAAGTGATGTTGGGTTCACTCAACAGTGTGAGGGCGAGGGGTCGAGGTTGAAGAGACGTCGAATTGAGACCCCTGTGAACAGACGGTCACTCGCTCCTTATATACAATATTGTTGTTGTGTCAGCCCCATCCATTTTCTTGACACCCAGCCCCTAGGTACAGCAACTGTAAGCAGGAAAAAGGAAGCCCAAGCAATGCCTCTACCTTTCCACGTCCAGAACGCACGGGCCAGCGTCTCTCGCAGGTAACACCAATGTAACATCGCCAGCGTTGTTGTGGAAACATGAGGAGGCACGGAGACTGTTTCGAACTAGGATGATCCAAAGTTCTGAACGCAAACTACGCTTACAGCTGACCGATCGTAGAGGCAATGGAGAGCCCGGCCTGATGCTTGGCCATGACGTGCAAATGTGGGACATTCGTCGTTACCTTTCTACACTACCGCGCGCATGAGAGTTTAGCTCTTAAAGCTCCTAAACGGTCACTTGTTTGTGGCGTGACCTGTGAAAGCGAAGTTGCGCCATCGGGACCACACTACTATCGCGATATCACGGTTTTGGCAACAGTGGCCTATCAACTACCTATGGCAGCCCTCGCCAGAGATTTTCGGACCTAGTGGTCGTCGGTCAAGAGCGTAGACACACCTGTCAGTAATCGTCTCCCCTGCAACATTTGTACAGATGCAACCAAGCCAGGAAGGCAAAGTGAGATGGGGCGGGGCCGGGAGGCGGGGGTAAGTTCCGCTATCCTACACATCCGGGAGCAGCATGCTCCCACGTTCTGGGACCTGTCGAGAAAAGCAAGCTTTAGCTGTCACCTGAACCTGTCGCCTGGCAGCACTCGCAGGGGTAGTCACCCCCTCCGTCGCTTGATCGCGCACCATCAATGTATACACTGCGAACGAGCCTTCCATAAAGGCAGAACAGACTGGCACATCGCAGGCACAAACTGGTACGCTTCAACCGTTACAGGATGTGGACTCTCCAGGGGAAACCACAGTAAGGTCTTTGGCGGTATGACCCATGGTAGTTTAGGGAGCCACGAAGGGTCACCCAGCCGACTAAGGTCGCCTGGCTGGAGAAGAGTGAAAGTATGGACAGGCTTGCACGTGACTCGCACTTACCAGCAGCACCTTGGAGACCGAAATGACGTCGAAGATTTTGGTCAAGATTAGGTCGTTACCGACGCTAAGAGTGATGGTGATTTGCTGACAATTTCATGTGGTGCTCCGTGTGACTCCCAACCCCTGTTTCGTCTCCAAGTTTATCCGCTCTTCGGATAGATCTGACCCCGTAAGCCTCGATGAGAGTTATAAGCAGAAGCGTGATGGGACTGAAGCGCCCACGGCTTCGATTTCGACTCCCAATCGGACATGGTGTATTACTACAACACCAAAACAGGACTTCGACTCTTCGAGTACCAGGCTTTCGAGCACACATTCTTCCGAAGTTGGCTCCACCTGTTCACTTATCCCATCCTCTATCGACGAGCAGGCCACTTCGGAGGCAGTGGAGCACCGGACGACTTTCCCGACATCACTGTCGTTCGACCTGGCGGCAAAATGATGCCAGACGTTATGGTATCTGAAACCCCCTTACCACCCCCTGACAGGGAGCTGTATCTGTCCACCGACCCGGGATACTTCGACTACGGATGGCTACCACTCCCCAAGTACCCAAAACCGTTCTAACTATATAGTTTGTATGCACCCACCTCTCTTCTATCCTCCCATTACTCGCCACGCCTCCTCACGCCATGTTCTACTATGACAAAGAGAGCCTTGACCGCCGCTTCGCCTTCCACGCATTCGAACACACATCATTCCGGGCCGTGCTCTGCTTCCTTACTTGGCCCATCGTTGCTCGTCGTTCGTATCAGTTCGGCTTGCATGGCGCACCGGACGACTTTCCCGACATCACCTTCATCTGGCCCGGGGGCAAAATGCTTCCCAACATCGTGGCGTCCAATGTGCCCTTGACTCCTCCTGATCGGGAGCCATGGCTATCAACAAACCCTCTCCTCTCCGCAAAGGTTGCGAAACCTTTGCCGCAGTTCCGTACGCTGTTCAAACCTCGCGATCAGTCCTCCGTATGATATGCATTCAATCTGTGTTCACGAGTCTCAACACCTCCGCCGGCTTACTTCCTATGACCGGGGGCAAGAGGCTGCCTGACGTTGTGGCCGCCGAGAAACCACTGACCGCACCCAGTGATGAACTGCCCTTATCCACCAGACCCGATCTGTGGAACAACAAGCCCCTCCCCAAGTCTATGGTTCTCTTCGAGCCGCGTGACCAGATTTGAAGGTGAAAAGCTCAGTACATGAGGCACCTTGCGACAACAACACTTTGATGTCCTTCCGCTTGCACTCCTCATCATCATTCCCCGCCATGGACTACTACGACCAAGAAGGCCGCCGAGTCTTCGAGTTCCTCGCTTTCGAGCATGGCAACTTCCGCGGTTTCCTCTCCATCACCACCCTGCCGAATGTTCTCACAAGACGCATCCCTGCCCTCGTGTACTTCGACTTCGTGGACGATTTCCCAGACATCACCTTTATCAGGCCAGGTAGCAAGTTGCTCGACCACATCACCCCTTCCAAGACGCCGCGACCGAATCCCCTCAACGGAGGGAAGCTCAGACTGTACTCTGACACCGAAGTGCCCTGCACGCTGCCGTGGAGGCACAAACCTCTGCCAAAGTGGAAGACGTACTGTACAGTATCTCTAGCAGCCATCTGTACCGTTGAGCTCGTCCTGTCTGTCTGCATGTTACTGCGACCGGGTCTGGGAGCTTCCAACCAGGGCTACCGCATGGAGCACCGGAGCGAGGTTGCCAGACCATGGTTTTATGCCGAACCTACCCCGGGCCGCGTCACGGCGTCGGCATCGGTACCCTCCCTGCGGAGCCCCAGGCACGCGGTTGCCAAGCACCAACAACCACATCGAGGCATGTCAAGCATGCGTTACAGAGCTCCACTACGAGTTGTCCAGAGCATACGGGTTTTCCCCCGTCAGCATGGGAGGGAAGCGCCACGGTCAGTTTCAACAGCAAGTTTCAACAGCAAGGTTCAACTCACGACCCAGACGTAGTAAACGTCAATTTTCGGGTCCTCGCCTTGCGTCATTCTAAACCTGGCAACGAAGGGGAGGTCTCGAATCTTGGCCCCGTCGGCGGTCCGGTCAAAGTCAATGTCGCCGAGGGCTAGATATGTGTTGTCTTCGGTCTTCCAGATATGCGACAGGCGGTGGACTTGGTTGGTCCGCGTGGTCATGCCCCAGATACGTCCCTCGAGGATCTGCTTGTGGCCCTGGCGCGGAGCAACAATGTTGAACTTGGCGTCCGGCGTGAAACAGCCCATGTACTCGTCATGCGTGTCGTAGTCGGACACCCGGTAAAAGGTCTCGATACGCTGTGCCACAGCTGGAGGAACGTCGGGGCCGACGACGGTCATGTTTGGGAGGTGTGAATGGGGACGCGGGTTGATGGAATCGGGAGCTGCTTATAGGCTGCTGATCACCGAGATAGCGGGACAGCGTTGCCCCACCTCTTTCGCCTCCACGCATTCTTTGAGTGGGTGGGCATATCGATTCCAGCCTAGTATCCCGTCAGTTGTCGGTGGAATGAACGTGTGCGGATTGAGGTCATGTGCCGCGGGATGCGGGACCATTCCGCACAGCAACTTGGTTGATAAGTCGGTTAGCTTAGCATTTACCTCTGCATCCAGGACGCTATCATGGTAGCTGTGGATCCCGACGTTCCCCCTCACATCGCGCAGTTCGTAGACAGGTTCTACAAGATTACAGACGCGGGCGACCACGATGCGTACCTCGCCCAGTTTGAGCCGGATGCGACCTTCAACGTCCTCGCCCCGCGGCAAGGGCACGATGCGATTCTGGCCGGACGGAGATGGTCGTTCGCGAACCGTGGCGCGGACCAGGTGCACCGCTGGTTCCACATCTGGTGTCCCGAGGGGCCCAATGTCGCCTTTGTGCACGGAGACAATGACTTTACAAGGAAGGACGGGGTGTTTGTCAATGTTCCATTCATCGCGAGGATGACTTTCAATGGCGACCTGAACAATCTGAAGATCAAGGACTATTATGTCTGGGTCGTGAGTGGACACCCATTGCGACGCTGACAGCAGCGCTTCCCCGAGGGTGAAGACTACTCCGCCCTGCCCTCGGACAAGGACCAGTAGCTGTGTAGCAGTGCAGGGGTGCGGTGATGCGGTGATGCATAATGGATTGTCCGTGATGCACAGTGGTGCACAGCACATGGTGAGCGGTCACGTTACGCCCATCGCCGCTCGAGTATATTACGGATGACGCCGATGGCCTTTTCGAGTCTTACTCATCTTCAACAACAGCCGACCATGCGATGACCGAGCAACAGCAGGACGAGCTCATTGCCCTCGACGTGAGTACGGCTTCCGCTGATTTACTGACCTTCTAGGCGATCTACCCCGGTTGCGTCGACGCGCATGGCGACTCGGTGAAGTTATCCATCCCGATTCAGGTCGACGGTCAGCACCTGCCCCCGATTCGCGCCACCGTCCGCCTGCCTCCGACGTATCCGAACGAGGTACCGCCGGTGTGCACGGAGATCACCTGCGACTGGCTTGAGGCAAAGACGCTCCGGGCCGTGCAGGACAAGCTGCCCGAGCTCTTCCAGAACGAGCCGGTCCTGTGGAGCTGGTGGGAGTGGGTGGGCGATGGCTCGTTCCTTTCCGAGCTGGGGATCAACCTCGCAACCCTGCCTCCAGAGGTGCAGGTGAAGATTGCCGACTTTGACGCGGACGCCTCGCAGGCCGAGTTTCTGGACCAGGCGTACGCGTGCGGTATCTGTTTCGAGTCAAAGAAGGGCGGGCGGTGTGTAAAGCTCCCCTGCTCGTGCGTATTCTGCCAGGAGTGTATCGTCGCCTTCTGGTCGCTCGCGATAAAGGAGGGTGCAGTCGACAATGTTGTGTGTCCGTCTGTCGAGTGCGTCAAGGAGCGCCGAGTTCTCGATGCCGCCACGGTCGAGGCAGTTGTTGGCCCCGAGGCGACCAAGCGATGGCAGAGGCTGAGCGAGAAACGTCTCGTCGACCGCGATAAGCGATACTGCTTCTGCCCGCGAGAGCTGTGTGAAGCGCTCGTCTCGCCAAAGGAGGCGGATACAAAGAAGCCTACGTCCACGACAGGACCGAAGAAGGTTACGATCAGCCTCGACATTGGCAAGAGCGACGAGCCGAAGCGGCCGTCGATGAGCGACCAAGCCCGCTGGGACAACTATCGGCAGTGCGGCAAGTGTGCATACTCGTTCTGCTATCTCTGCCGCGCTCTGTGGCACGGGGCACACACGCTGTGCGATATCAAGGACACGAACCGCGCGGTGCGCGAGTACCTCGAGGCGGACGAGGAGGGCAAGCGCAATATCGAATTCCGCCTCGGACCGCGGAACACGGAGGCGCTCTTCGCGCTGATCCGTGACTACGAGCGCGAGCAGGAGGCCCTGAAGTGGATGGAGGAGCACACGACGCCGTGTCCCTGCTGCAAGGCGCAGATCGAGAAGAGCGAGGGCTGCAACCACATGTCGTGCACGCGCTGCAGGTCGCACTTCTGCTACCGGTGCGGCGCCACGCTCTCCATCGCAAACCCCTACAAGCACTACCAGCAGCCTGGGGACTGCTACCAGAAACTCTTCGATTACAATCCCAACCAAGACGCAGGGGGTTGGGTCCACTTTGGCGACGGCTGGTTCTAGACAAGTGTTGTGCGTGTGTAAAACTATAGATGCATTTCGGATTATAAACTTAGGACAAATGTTCGATCAGTTGTGGATACGGCGGCCAACGAACTGGAAGCTGCGTGCCGTGGGGGCGCTGGCGGAGGTACCGCCTCCGTTGCCACCACCATTGTTGCCGGCGGGAGCTGCAGCGCTGGTAGTCGGCTGAGCGGCGTTACCACCCTGAGGGGACTGAGCAGGAGTAGTAGTCACCGTGTTGCCATTGGCGGGAGGGAGCGACGACGACATGGGAAGGATGGCGGTCGAGCGCTGGCCCGAGGGCTGGGCTCCACCGGCACCACCACCGCCCGGCGTGCTGTTGGGCGGAGGACCGGTGCTGTTACCGGAGCTCGTGCCGTTGTTCTGCGTGATGAGGATGAGCGGACAGGTGGGCGTGCGGAGGTATTGTCCGAACCTCTCGGCGGCCCAGAGCACGACGCCGTTCGTCCATCCGAATCCGACCTGGACGGTGTACTCGCCACCGCCGCCCGCGGCATCGAGGTCGGTGATGTTGAACTTCTCAAACATCTTGCCGCCCTCAACGCCGGGCTCCTCGTGGTATGTTCCTGTCGCATTCAGCTCGGACAGAGGCAGGCGTTGCAGCGTGCCATTCAGCTGTCCACCGGTCGAGTACCAGGAGCAGAAAGCCGAGTTGAGGTATCGTGCCGCGATCTCGAGCGCGAGTCCGCGCGGCCAGGGCAGTGTGCCAGCAGCAGCGTTCAGGAGGTGCTGCGTCTGGTTTGCGTATGTCACATTACCGCGCGTCGAGGCCGGCTGGGGTGGGAGCTGCGTCTCGTTCATTCCGAGCTGGTTCGGCGTCACAGCACTAAAGTTGGTCAGGCTGAGCTGGGGCAGCACCGAGGCGTTTTTGATCGTGCGCTCAAGCGTGTCCAGGCCCTTGATGGTGGTGTAGACGTGCAGCGGCCAGACGTTGGGGAAGTCCCAATTGAGTCCCGAGACGAGGTACGTTGCAGCGGCAGGCGCGCCGTCGTACTTCTGCAGCAGGTAGCGGACGCCCGAGGCCATGCGCAGCGCCTGCTCCTCGGTCAGGTTCGAGGGCGTCACGTTCTGCCACAGCGGCCACCAGCCGCCAGCAGTGTAGAAGGGCGTGCGCTTATTGTCTGTCGTGTTGAAGTCGTAGAAGAAGGCGCGGTCGCCGTCCCAGTTCAGGTCGAGGAGGGCTTCCTTGAAGTTCTGAGCGAGCTTGCGGTGCTTCTCGGCAGTCGTGCCGTTGCCGCCGCCGGTGTTGTCGCCTCCGCCCATCGTCTGGTTGCCCATCGAGCCAGTGCCAGTGGAGCCGGTGCCAGAGCCTGTGCCCTGGCCGCCCTCGGCGCCAGCGTTGCTGCTGCCGCCGTTCTGACCCATGCCCGGGGTGCCGGCGCCGGTACCCTGGTTCGAGGTTGCGCCGTTCTGGCCCTGGGCACTGGTGTTACCAGTTTTGCCAGTGCCCGTGCTGCTGCTCGTGCTTCCGCCAGTGTTACCGGTGTTTCCAGTGTTTCCACCGTTGCCCGTGTTGCCACTGGCGCCGCCCTGGTTCGAAGTCGGTGCGTTGGGGTCGGCGTTGGGGTCGCCCTGCTGACGACGCCACCAGCGACGGCGCATGCCTCCTCCGTTCGTGCCCTGCGTCTGAGTAGCGCCGTTCTGGGCCGGAGCGCTGCCCTGCGCGTTCGATCCCTGCTGCGAGCCCTGCTGGGCCCCACCCTGCTGGGTGGCACCCTGCGTCGTTGCCTGTTGCGGGGGAGTGGAGCCCTGGGCAGCGTTGGTCTGAGCGGCCTGGGTCGTCGCGGGGCTCGGCTTCATGCCGCCAGCGGCGCCAGTCTGGTTAGACCCCGCACTGCCCATTCCTCCGCCGGCCGTGGTCTGGTTGCCGCCAGTCTGGTTGTGCTTCGCCCAGGTGTCGTACATCTCAGCGAGGAGGGCGTGGTTGCCTGCCATGAGAGCGTTGAGGTCACGGGGATGATGGCGCGGAGGTTGAGCTGGCGCAGCGCCTCCTCGTTGTTCGACACGTTGGCGACGGGGGTCTTGAGCCAGCGCGCAGAGTAGTCCCATCCCGACTCAGCACCGGTCGCGAGCTCGGCATACAGATCGGCTTGCTGGGAGGCGTTCAGGGGTGGCTGGGCGTGGTTCACGGTGTCATAGTCCTCGACGTAGCCCTCGGGCCGAGGGGCCGAGTTGTTCACGGCGTAGTGCGCGACGGTGTAGTTCTTTCCGCTCCAGGGCGAGGTGACTTGGAGCGTGCGGTTCTGGTGCCACCAGGCGAGCTCGCGCTCCATGGAGGGAAGCGCGCGCTGCAGGATCGTCACGTTACCCGTCTGCTTGATGTACTCGTGCACCATCTGGACGAAGACGGGCGGCTGCGAGCGGTTCAGGTAGTACTTCCTGCCGCCATTGGGGATGAAGCCGTAGTCCTCGATCAGGTCCATGAAGTTCTGCAGAAGCGACCAGGCATAGTATTCGAGCTTGCTGGCCAGAAGGCCCTGCAGGATCCAGTAGCTGTCCCAATAGTAGACCTCGCGGTAGCGGCCGCCGGGGACGACAATGGTGTGGTTCAAGGGGATCAGGGAGTAGTCGCATGTCGTGCCGTTGCAGAGGCGGGATTGGTTCGATTCGCGGATGAGCAGGTCCCAGTACGAATCGACCTTCTTAACCCAGGCTGAGTAGATCGGGTCGGAGATGTTGCTCTGCGTCGTGGCGTTTGAGGCGTTGCGCTGAATCGCGACCTGAGACAGCTCCTGACCTTCGCCAGTCGTGTGCTTCAAGACAAAGTCGACAATCTGACCGGCAGTCACGTTGCCGTTGATCGTAGAATTCCAGGCGGCGAACACATCGGCCTGCGACCCGTTCGTGGGTCGGTCGACAAACGTCTTCGAGTCGGTGAAGACGCCGGAGAGCTGCACATCCTGCAGAAGAGCGCCGGGACAGTACGTCGCGTTGCCGCCGTTGTTGCACCACCACTGCGGAGGAGGCGGGTTGTCCTGTCCGGGCACGACTGCTGATGGGTCGCTGGCGCTAGGTGCCGCCGTGCTGACCGAAGTCGAGGTGGGAGGTGCGCTAGTGCCGCTGCCGCTGTTGCCGCCGGCACCGGCACCTGCTGCACCAGGCGTGCCGCTGCCCGCAGGGGCAGGTGACTGGACGGCCGACCGGCTGCCCGCCGGCGCGCCCACGCCAGAGTTGACGGGGAAGCAGTAGGCGTAGCGCTGCCCGCAGGGGCAGCCTCGCCAAACCCAGATGTGCCCTGCTGGGGAGGTTGATTAGCGGCTGCGCTAGGCGAACCGGCAGGTAAAGCGGCGCCGGCCGCGTTCTGCGCTCCCGCTGTCCCGATCAAGAAGGGGAGGAGGACGAGCATGAGCATGTGAGAGGGGGTGAGGGGTGTGGGAATTCGGAGCTCGACGACGGGAAGCGGGATGGCTGGTCACTTGTTCTTTAATAACAACCGGCATGCACCGCTGGGCAGAGAAGAGGGCGGCAACCCGGCAACGGCGTATCTGAGGAAAAAGTCGAAATGCCGTCTCGCTGCTGCGCTCGCGCGCTTGCTTTGATTCTTGGCACCCGGCGCTGTCGTCATCGGTCCGGGCCCGGTGGAGCTGCGAGGCTTCAGGCTTTGCCTTTGTCTCTGCTTCGGGCAACTGCTGCACCTCGTGCCCCATACTCTTTCATCTCCTCGTCATCGGCGCACGACGCTGGAATGCGCCGGGTCCGACTCCGGATGCTGCGGTGGGCGATGCTGTACGTGAGTCCTAAGCTTGAGCTTATGGCATGAGCATCTAGAAAGCACCATCGGCTAAACACACTTCTCTTATCAGCGATCGTCACTGGCTAATCAGACTATATCAAGCATACCCGCTGATCGCTCTTGGCGTCAGCGTGATCGACGAAGGTGCGGCTGACGTTGGACACGGCGCTGAGGGCGACACAGACAAGTAAGTACCCAGCCGGAGCACCGGATTCCTCGATCGACAGGCAAATTCCAGGCTGGCATACGCTGACATCAGGGGGGAGTGCGCCGCGAGATCTTGTCGTCGACATTTTATCTGGCCCCAAGGATGAAGAAAGTGAGGATGACGATGACGATCATGACGTACCCTGGATATTTCATCTGGTGCCCCGCAGCCCTTCTGTGTGTCACCTGAAAAGCGTGGAGACCACATGGTGCGGAGACTGCTCCCGACTCCGTCGTCGACTCGTACATCCCCATTCCACTCTGTCGGACCGCGGCTCGAGGCACAAGGTCCGTTCTCGTTCGAGGGACAAGGCTCTGATGGTTAAAGTTTGCGCTCCGTTCCCAGAAAACCCACCGAGAACAGAGCACAGAGAGGGCACGCAGCTAAACTGCACTCCTTCTCACGGCCATTGGGGAACCTTTCTGACCGGTGACACCCACTCGCGACCTCAAGGTTTAAGCTCCCATTCAACGGGCGTGACAGCCAGTTGTGCCCAAGGGCCCATCTTCGGCTCTCATGTACTCTCCATCCTGACCTTGTATCCTGACTTTTCTCGACCTGACCTTCGACCTGATCTAAACCAGACCTCTACCCGTGAGCTGTGTTCGGGTTCGGGCGGGTTCTGGAGTATGTGTGCCTGCTGACCCGAGCTGACCCAAGGTAGCAAGGGCCGCAAGGTTTCGATCAGTAAGCATACCGCTTTGCATCATACCAACAGAGCTAACTACGAGTAAACGATGGGCGTGTTGACGACGAGCGGCACGAAGCGCAGCGGCGCACGTTCTGGCTCCTTTGGCTTGGGCTTGCTGTACTCGATCGGCGCGTTGACAACCAACGGGACAAAGGGAGGGCGCTCGTCCTGCGGCGTGACGAGGATCAGGTCGTCCTCGTCCGGCTCGATCGTGGGACTCAGGGCCGGCGTCGTCGGCTCGGGTGGCGAGAGCGTGACCGCCGACATGCCCGCGAGGTCCGGCGTGTCCGTCAGCGCCAGAGAGGACATGGACAGGCTGTGCGACAGGGCCTGGTGGCTCTGGTGGCTGCTCTGGATGGCGGGCGTGCGCTGCGTCTTGAGGCTGAGCGTGCTCTGCTTCTGCTTCAGGCTCTGCACTCCCTGGAGGTTCTGGAGGGCCTGAAGCTGTCTCTGCTTCTCCTCCCTCGAGACCGGCGGGGTGGGGAGCTTGATGAGCGACTTGCGCTTCGCCGATGCGCTCGCCTTGGCGACGGCGGCGGGCGTCGTGTCCATCGATCGCACAGGGAGGGGGAACCAGCGCTGCTCGTTGAACTCGTCCGTCACATTCGGCACCTTGCCTTGGGGATAGAAGGGCTTGTCCCGTCGCTCGGCGGCGCGCTGCATCACTCGCTCCGCCTTGTCGAGGTAGCTCTGCAGCGGGCGCTTCATGTAGCTCTAAGCCAGCTTGGCCTTCAGCTTGGCGCCGGTCTGCAGCCGTGTCTGCCCGCCGAACCGCAGCCAGACGTCCTCGAGGCCAAGCGGGCGGCGCGGAGCTGCCGCACAGACCCACGACCCCGCCTCGGGGTTGAAGCGGTAGTCTGGCAAAAGATTGTGCCCCAGCGTCGCGATCAGGCGCACGGCGGCGATGATGTAGTCGACCTCCTCGTCCGAGTGCAGGTAGTTGAACGAGATTCGAACCCACCCCGGCTTGATACCCTCGTAACCTTGGAGGATGGGGTGACGGATCGCCTCACTCTGCGCCTTGGTGTACGAGAACAAGAGGTGCCCATAAGGCCCGGTGCAGGAGCACCCCGATCGGGCCTGAATACCGAATAGGTCGTTGAGAAGCGCGACGACAAAGTTGTGGTGCACGAGCTGGCCGCGGGTGTATGCGAGCGTGAAGGAGACCGTACTGACGCGCTCCGCGCCTGTGTCGCCCAAAATCTGGATCTGAGGTACCTGACGCCAGGCAGCGAGAGCGCGCTGGACGAAGTTCCATTCGCGCCTCTGGATCGTCGCCGCACCTACAGCGTCGCGGAGCCGGAAAGCGAGTCCTGCTCGGATACTCTCGATAATGGCTGGCGTGCCGCCCTCCTCCCTGTGCTCGAGGGAGCCGGTGTAGTCGACGACGTCGGGGCCAACAAAGTCCACAGTCCCACCGCCAGGGACTGCGGGGCGCACGCCCGCGAGGTCCGCGCGGCGCACAAACGCATCGCGAACAATCAACACGCCCGGCGTGCCTGCGCCGCCCGGGAGCTTGTGCGGGGAAATGAAAAGAGCGTCGGCGTCACCAAGCGTGACGGGGAGGTGTGGGGCTGCGGCTGCACAGTCCCAGCACGAGTAGGCGCCGTGCGCCTTCAGCAGCGCCGTGAGCGCGGGCATGTCGCTGATGATGCCCGTCACGTTGGAGGCGGCGGAAAAGGAACCAATCTTGAGCGGCCGGTCGGCATAAAGAACCAGCTGGCGCTCGAGCTCGGCCGCGTCAATGTTGCCCCTCGCGTCTTCGGGGATGAGGACAACGTCGGCAATGGTCGCGCGCCAGGGAAGGTCGTTGGAGTGGTGCTCGTACGGACCGACGAAGACTACGGGGCGGTGGTGAGGGGGGATCTGGCTGTCGAAGCCATAACGAGTGTCGAGTTGGGCGGGAATGCGGAGCCCGATCATGCCGATCAGCTTGTCGACGGCAGCGGTCGTTCCGGACCCGCAGAAGATGAGGGACGTGCCCTCTCCGGCACCGACGGACTGTTTGATCCACGCACGGGCATCTTCGCGGAAGCGCGTCGTCTGCTGCGCCGTCCACGACGCCTCCGAGTGCGTGTTCGCGTACGTCGGCATGACGCCCAGCACGAGCATCTCCTCGAGACCGAGCAGGGTCGTGCCAGACGCCGTTGAGTCGGCGTGAAGCAGAGGCACCTGGTAGTGCGTCCCGTCGATGCGGGTGCGGTGGCCGATGGTGCTCTCTCGGATCGAGGCGATCAGCGGGGACTCGCTCTTCTCTTTCCGGGATCGAGAGAACATGGTGTGTCTGGAGGGGAGCTAAGACTTGCAGAATGCAGACGCGGCGCACGTCGATATATATAGCCGTGGGCGAGTCCAGCGAGCACTTGGAAATCCGAACAGCATCCTCTTTCGGCTGTCTGTCCCAGGCCGAACACCCAGGCTCAACCCAGCCTCGTCCTAGGTTTGACATCTAAGGCTCTCGCCCAAAATACGAAGGATCACCGCCCCTACCATCGCACCTGACCTCGCACCTGACCTCGTCCAGTGCAACTCCTGTAGCGCATTGGCAACGCTGTGTGCCAACGATGTGGACAGGGTCGAGGGCAAGCTCGAGGGCAAGCTGAGGACTCCCACTGTAAGACATCAGGAAGCCACCAGCCCACAAAGGCACGATGCTCTTTCTCGGCGCCCCCACGAACCTTCAAGGTTGAGAGCCTGAGCGCCGAGACCGGTTCTGTGCGTGCAGGTGCGCACGGTGCGCAGGGAGTGCAAGGGGGGCATGGAGTGCAAAGTGCGCAGGGACAATAAGGCGGCCCGAGCTTGCGGTGCATGCACGGGTCGACGGGTCTGCGGGCCGCTGGGACGTCGACAGTCAGTGATCCTGGAGTGGACAGCAGCGGTTAGGTTTAGTGAATGGGGACTACGCTCGTTCTCGGAAGCACGAACGACCGACATCCGCAGGCACGGGCGTGTTCTGTGATCCTGGTGCTGCAATGTCGCAGGAGGAGACAGGAGAGCTGCTGTAAGCTTGAGAAGATTATCGGCAAATAGAGTCTGGACATGCCAGGATATGCACTGCGTACACAATAGGGGCCACAAAGTCACCGCCGCCACGCCCGTGCGTTGAGTCCCAGCAGTGCGCCGAGTGCCCCGTGGTGGGTAACGTTATCGTTCCCCCGCTCAGGGTGGCCCAGAACCAAATGCCCAAATGCACCCAACCCCACGCTCGAGTACACGGCGCCACGGGCCGAGTGTGCGAGTCACCTGAAATCAACCTGAAGTACGTGAACATCTCTTAATGACATGTTACGATAACCCTGGGTGGGACCGAGGGACCCACTGCAAGGCGGCGTGCGCGCGTAACGCTCGTGCGATATGAGAGTTGCAGGGTCATCTTCTCGTTGGGTCGCCCATGAGCCGTCCTGTGTGTTAGAGCAGCATTACGACGTTTACGACGTTTACGGCCTTGCCGTCAGCGGGCATGCTGCGACACCGGCTGTTAAGTCTGGGTAGACGTTTCGGGTACTAGTCAGAGATGTCCCGTCGGCTTTGCATTCATTAATGATTGGCCTTAATGCGAGCTGGCCTCTTGTCGCTCTCGTTGATCTCGTGAAGGGAGGATCCTCCAATGGTCTTGTTTGATCGCCTGAAATTGGGAGAGTTGTCTCGGGTGTACAACCTCGGTCGCACGGTCGCAGGGTTCAAGAGGGAGGGAGGGATTGGGGGCCCATCTGGACTTGCGACGTTTCTTGATATCCATTGCCATTCTCACTGCCCCACTTCCAACGGAGGCTCACTTTCAGGTGACCTCGTCTTGACTATTCGGGGGCGCGTGCACGCGTGCATCGGACGTACAGACGTCGTGGGTCGTGGCTCGTCAGGTGGTGGTTGGGTGCGGGGTACGTGGTAGTGGCCAGGTAGTCACAAGCGCGGGGCGAGGTCAGGAACGACACATGCAATGTTCCGCAGGAATGGACCATGAGCGAGAGGAACCAGGAACTCTGTCGCGGGTACTGATTGCAACCTCTTATGCACGTCTTACGGCGTCCTCTTCTCAGAATAGTCGCCGTTGCGTGGAAGGAGGTTCATCTCATGGTCTTCAAGGGCGTTTGCATGGTGGGCCATGATGTTGACTGGTCCGACGTGGGCTCGGCAGGCAATTGGCAAGGGAGGGCATCGACGAGGAACCAGCCAAAGACCAACGGGAATGCGAGAAAAGGGGCGGTTGCCAACGTTTGCGGTGTGACAGCTCGAGAGTTATGCGATCATGTCCCGTCAACTGCGCCGGGCGGATGATGCGACAACGATGCAAGGTTTCATGACCCGAATGGTTTCGCCTACTCGATTCTACCGGGTCTAGTCCGTCTGAGTTGTTTCCAGCTGCGTATGAGTTGTTACATGGTGCGAATGCGCATTGAAGGGCATGCATTGGTCCATTTGCACGAAACATGGACCTCTCGAACGAGTGCATCACGTGATCCGGGCTTCGACTCGGTCGGGTTTTCAGTTGCGTGCTCTTGTCGACGATGTTTGATTCGACGGCGGTGCCGAACTCGGACGCCTCCAACGCCCAGACGACGCCGCGTCGACGCCGAGTCTGGGGCCCGCCAATGACAGTGGTCTCTGCACCTCGCTCATTCCGAGCTTCACTGCTGGTGATGGTGTTATCAAGGCGTGATCAGTGGAATTGTCCGACGACCACAGACAAGCGGGCAAGTCGAGAGTGGTGACCATGTATAAAAGTCGTGCGCAGCATGAGACGAGGAGAACCCATACACTCTGGACTACATACACGATGTCGCCGACGATCTACAAGTCCGACTACCCCGCGCCGCCGCTGCCGACGTGCTCCGTTTTCCACTACCTCTTCCCCGCCGTCGACGGTCAATCACCCCTTGAGCGCTTTGACCCTGCCCTCCCGGCCTACATCGACGGGCTCGACGGACGAGTGCTTACTCGCGGCGAGCTGCGGGACGGTGCGACCCGTCTCGCCGGCGGACTGCGCCAGCTCGGCCTCGACCGCGAGGATGTTGCGCTGCTGTGGGGCGTCAATTCGCTTGAGTGGGCCAAGGCAGTCTACGGCTGCATGGCCGGCGGTCTGACCGTCTCACCCGCCAACGTTGCCTACTCGCCCAAGGAACTCGCCCACCAGATCAACAACTCGGGCGCTCAGATCGCCTTCATTGACGAGGCCCTCCTCGATCGCTTCAACGAGGCGCGACCACTGCTCGAGCGCGAGTTTCCGCCAGAGCGAGTCATCCTCCTCTCCAAAACCCCCGTCGCCGGCCCGCACCGCTCCGTCACCGAGATCACTGGCGAGCCGACTGAGGAGTTCTTCGACGGCGAGCGGAGCCACGCGACCGCATGGCTGTGCTACTCGTCCGGTACCACCGGACTGCCCAAGGGCGTCGAGACGACGCACTACAATTCGACGTCGGAGCTGCAGGCGCTCAACGTGGGCGCGCGTCAGATCCGGTCAGGGCACGACGTCGTGCTGGGCGTCCTCCCCTTCTCGCACATCTACGGCCTCGGCATGGTCTTCCTGCAGACAATCGCGCAGGGCTGTCCCGTCGTCATCCTCCCGCGCTTCCAGGAGCTCCCCGCGCTCGCGGCCATCCAGCGCTTCCGCATTACGCATGCGCTGTTCGTGCCGCCGATCATTCTGACGCTCCTCAACTCGTCCAATGTGCGCAAGTATGACCTCTCCTCGCTCGAGACGATCACATCTGGCGCTGCGCCCCTCGGCGGCGAGATCGCTGATGCATTCGGCAAGCTCCTTCCTGGCGTCACCATCATCCAGGCGTACGGCATCACGGAAACGTCGCCCGTCGTGTGCACTGCGCGGGCGGACGAGTTTGCCGCCCGTCCCGGAGCGGTCGCGACGTGCGGCAAGCTCCTGCCGAACTACGAGGCGCGCCTGGTCGCCGACGGCGTCGACGTGCCCGCTGGCGAGAGGGGCGAAATCTGGGTCCGCGGCCCAACCGTCATGAAGGGATACCTGAAGAACCGGGAGGCGACGCGCAAGGCCATCGCGCCGGGCAACTGGTACCAGACTGGCGACATTGCAGTCCGCGACGCCGACGGGTGGTACACGATCGTCGACCGCGTCAAGGAGCTCATCAAGTACAAGGGCTTCCAGGTCCCGCCTGCCGAACTCGAGGCGCTCCTCCTGCTCCACCCTGATGTCATCGATGCGGGCGTTGTGGGAGTCTACGACGCGAGCCAAGCGACGGAGCTCCCGCGAGCGTACATTGTCGCCCGCGAGGGTGCCGAGACAGCTGCTCTTGGCCGGAATGTTGCTGCATGGGTCGCTGCCCAGGCTGCGAATCACAAGCGTCTGCGCGGAGGAGTCGTCATCATCGACCAGGTGCCGAAGAGTGCGGCGGGCAAGATCCTTCGGAAAGAGCTGCGCGTCCGGGCACAGGCCGAGCTGGAGGCTGCCCGAGGCGGCGTCGCGAACCTGTAACAGTAGACAATAGACCACTAGACACAATGCATGTATCACTAAGACGACCATGATTCAGCGATGAGACGATTGGCTTGCTGCAATTGCCGAGCGCGATGAGCGAAGGTTGCCGATGTCAGAGGATGGTGGCCGAGGTGCGAACGAGAAATGAGGCTGACCCTTGTCTTCCGAACGTCGGAAAGTTGCAACGCCCAGATCTGCCATGGCGCACCGCGATGCTTCCTTTCTCACGCAACAGCTACAGTTGAGACAACGACGTCATATGCGAACTCCTCCGCAGCTGACTGATGCATTACTCATAAACAGAGTCGTGAGAGTGCATAAAAGAGGTGCGCTCGCGCTAGCAAGGAGCACAGCACAATGTCTCTCACTCGCAGCATTCAGCAGCTCACCCGCCTCCGTCCCCTCACTCGCACCATGTCCAGCATGGCCTTTTCGCCCAAGTTCCCCTTCAACCGCGCTAGCGGCATGGAACCGCCCGCCGAGTTTGCTACCCTCCGCGCGACCAACCCCGTCTCGCAGGTGCAGCTTTACGACGGCTCCCTCGCCTGGCTCGTCACCAAATACGAGGATGTGATCAAGGTTGCGACCGACGAGCGCCTGTCCAAAGTCCGCACTCGTCCCGGTTTCCCCGAGCTGAGCGCCGGCGGCAAGGCTGCCGCGCAGGCTCAGCCCACGTTTGTCGACATGGACGCGCCCGATCACATGAGGCAGCGTGGCCTCGTCGAATCCTTCTTCACCCCCGAGTACGTCGAGTCGCTCAAGCCCTACATCCAGCGCGTCATTGACGAGACGCTCGACAAGATGGCGGCCAAGGACAAACCCGTTGACTTCGTGTCCGAGTTTGCACTCATCGTGCCCTCCTACGTCATCTACACAATCCTGGGCGTGCCGTTCAAGGACCTCGAGTTCCTCACTCATCAGAATGCCATTCGCACGAACGGCTCGTCAACCGCCCGAGAGGCGAGTGCTGCCGCCGCTGGCCTCATCGACTACCTCGGCAAGCTCGTCGATGCCCGCATGAAGGAGCCCAAGGACGACCTTGTCAGCACCCTTTGCAAGGCCGTTGAAGCCGGTAAGCTCGACCGCACGAGCGCCGTGCAGGTCGCATTCCTCCTTCTCGTTGCCGGCAATGCGACCATGGTCAACATGATTGCGCTCGGTGTTGCGACGCTGGCCAAGTACCCCTCCCAGCTCGAGCTGCTCAAGGCAGATCCCTCGCTGGCCGCCAACATGGTGCAGGAGCTCTGCCGCTACCACACCGCAAGCGCCATGGCCCTGAAGCGTGTTGCGCTTGAGGACGTGGTCATTGGTGGTAAGACGATCAAGGCCGGCGAGGGCATCATCGCGAGCAACTACAGCGGAAACCGCGACGCGGACGCGTTCCCGGACCCCGACACTTTCGACATTCGCCGCAAGTTTGACAAGGACCCTCTTGCGTTTGGGTGGGGGCCCCACCGCTGCATTGCGGAGCACCTCGCTAAGGCTGAGCTCACCGCTGTGTTTGAGACGCTGTATAAGCGTCTTCCAAACCTCAAGCCGGCCGTGCCCATCGAGGATATCGAGTACAGTCCCCTCGACAAGGATGTCGGTATCGTCTCGCTCCCCGTCACGTGGTAGGGCAGAGGTCGTATTGTTGTAGAAGGATCAAGTGGATAAAAGTTGAAACGGGATTGTAGGGGATAAGTCTATGACATGCAACGGAATGTGTTTCGCTTGGTCATCACTGTGAACGACGCATTCTGATCGAGATCAGGCACGGCCTTCTGATATGCTTGCAAGCTCGTTGGACGCTTGCATGTGCGGCTGACGGAAGAGAGAGATGTCAGAGGTGCGTTCGGTGATCAAAAGCGAGAAGGTCGCCCGAGATAAGTTTAGTCAGCAGTGGAATCGCAGAGGTTCGGGAATATTCCGGCGAATTTTCACCTCGGCCTTGGCTGACAAATACCTGGCTCCAACATCGCCGAGCTCTTCCTTCGATGCATATATAACGAGCTCGCTTCTCGATCACTTCTTGATTCTGCAAAACTTTCATGTTCCGCAACGCTGCGCGACACACCGCCCAACACATCACTCGAAACACACCCAAAACAGCCACCACAGCCAAAAACATCGCACGAATGACCACCTCTGCGACTAACAACGCTGCCAACGACGCCGCGGCCGCCCGCCGCCGCATGGACATGGAGACCATCAAGGCCCACTTCTCTCTGCCCGCTTCTGCCGAGGAGCGCGCCTGGCGCGCGCCCTCTGAGGGCATGACGAGCTTCCACAACTCGCACAAGTGGGAATTCAACCACGCCTACCAGCACGCCGAAGACCTGGACGGCAAGCCGCTCGCGTCCTTCCTGAGGCAGTGCTACGGCCTCGTCGTCCACCTGGGCAACCACCACCGAATTGAGGAGGCCCACATCTTCCCACTGCTTGCGCACAAGCACCCCTCCTTTGCGCGTAACGCCGAGCACGAGGACTTCCACCACCAGATCCACGACGGACTCGAGCGTTACTCCAAGTTCCTCCGCGAGGGCATCGAGGACCCGAGCAAGTACTCGGCTGCCAAGCTCCGCGAGACGCTCGACTCGTTCCGCAAGCCTCTCTTCGAGCACCTCGACAAGGAAGTCGAGGATCTTCGGCCCGAGAACCTGAAGAAGCACGGGTTCACGCTTGCTGAGATCCGCCGCCTCCCCTTCCACTAGAGCATTAGACCATCTTACTCAAAACATCATTAGAACCTCTAGAGCAACTGTAATCACGCATAATTGTAACTTGCTAGACATCAGAAGTGTATGCATGTACAAGCATCTTCATCATTGAAGCATTAGAGCAACTTCCACATTGTCCGATACTGGTTTCACTAACCACAGCTGCAGCACGTGACCACCCAGGACCACGCAACCCGTTCGACCCTAACTCACGCCGTAAGCAGTACGAGAAAGCGTGCGCACGAGCAAACGTGCGTAATCCTCCGGCCCATGCACGAGGTCGGGTGCACGCCGGCTGTCCGGGTGTCCGTATATCCACGCTCTCCGCCAGCTCCGCCGCCGGTCCGCGCAGTTGTCCGCAGACATGCGCGATGTACCGCAGATAACGTTGTTTTGGTCGTGTGCTTGCCGCTAAATAGTGGGTGATCTGCGCGGCACGCACATCTTCCTGCAACGCGGGTACCTCGTGTCTGTGCCTTCGCGTAAGGTTGCATTCCGGGGGTTGTCGGACTCGATACGGTGGGAACAGGAACAGGCAGGAACATGCATGACCCCACAATGCGGCCAACTCATGGCCGTCGACGCACGACGCCTGCTTCCATTTCGAGCATGGGGATCCAGGAGAGGGTGTAGTGACGGCTTGGTCGCGCATCAGGTTGGGAGCTGCGAAATTTGACTCTGGGCGGGGTTTCTGTACCTGCGTACCTGCCCCAGAATGGCGGTGACAGAGGAGGACGGGACTCGGATGCAGCTGTTCAAGTGCTCGAACGCAGGACCAAGCTGCTTCAAAACGTCGGTGGGCGGAGAACTCTAACGCCTAGGCTGTCAGCTGCCGTGAACACAGCCTCGGACTTGTTCGCGGGCCTGGCTGAGACCTGTGTTCTGTGCCTCCTCCAGAATGCAAAGTGCGCATAACTCTAACGTCAATGAGAGACGGGAATCAGTGCTTGGGGGACTCTTCAGAATGCCAGGCGTTCATCGTGGTGAGGCCCCCCGCTTCAGTGACTCTAGCACGGTCAATTCATGTTCAGAGCTATCAGAAGTGGACTCATCACGCAAGGAACGCCGCAGTCCTTCACTTGCCATCAGACACATGCTGAGCATCTAGCGACTAATGAAGAGAGTATCCATGCGCTGACGTTTTTAAACGGATACGTGTAAGATCGAGGGTCTATTGATAATGCAGTGATAGTGTCCGCGAGATTTCTGGCTTGCTACCTGCGCGGGTGTCGCGCCCTTGACAATGATACCCACTCCAGATTCGTATCCGGGATAGGACCGAGAGGGGGGTACACTGGCTCTGGAAGCGGACCACTGAGAAGAGGATTGGGCGGCAGCGGGCCAGGATGCGCGGCTGCCCACCGGCCCGCACGAGCCAACAACTCGCCCTCCGTCGCTTTGGCCGAAACGCTTCCTGTGATGATGCCCATTCCGTACTGCGCCAGGCGATCTGCTGTGGGCATGTAATCACCCAGAAAACCAACGTCCACACGGACGAAAGCCTCCGGAGGCGGGTACGTCCCAGCATCGATGCGCAGGCGGAATCCGGCGATCAGCGCCGCGGAACAGTAGTGCTTCGCTTCCTCCAGCGTCAGCGTCTCGGATACACGGGGAGGAAGCACGGCGCACGCCTTGCAAGTCAGCATGTTGTCGATCACGAAGATACACACCTTCTTGAAGACGCCCTCAATTGCTGAGTCGCAGATGCACTTCCATAGCTCATAGCTTGGATACATGGCAGGGGGGTTGAGAAAGTTGATGATTGATCGTACTGCCGTTTCTTGTCGCAGACGGTCGCGCCTAGGGTTAGCCTTGAATCGACGAAGATCACTTGCTCTTGGAGAACGACGTCGATGATGGACAGGTATAGTCCGTTTATCCCGACTTTGTCCCAAGGAATCTGCCCTCGGAGAGCTTGATGAATGGTATCACTCGCAAACTTTGCCCCGACCTGGAATAAGTTCGCGTCGAGGGTCTCGGCGGCGACGTTCGGTGGTCCCCAGCAGGCGGATGACCAGTCGGACCTGGGATAAACGTAGACCGGGCGGCCGGCAGGGAGTGCACCTAAACTGAGAGCTGCCATTGCGTCAGTTATATTACTGTTGAAAGACTGAAGCGGCGTGAATGGATGTGCAGGTGTTGAGATGCGAAAGTAGAGTAGTTGAGTGCGGTTGACTCATCATGTGCGGAGGTAGCCCTAGCAACCGCAGCTGTGTTTGAGCGCAAGGAAGGTCACCCCGAGCTCGATATTACCGGCGATATGTTGGACCATCTCCACCATCACCGCTACTCCATGAACATCTGGCGTGAGGGTGGAAGGCTGAAGTATGTTTTGGTTCATCCGCATAACCCCGGCCAAGCCCCTCCGTTCAATCCTGCTGCTGTCAAGTGGCTGGTGCGCCGGCTTGCTGAGGCAAATGGCGTGAACATGGCGGCCGACGTCGAGCTCAGTGGCGTCATGAGAGGAGAGACGTACACCGTTGTGGGTACGCAAGCGGCAAGCATGACTTGTTTGCGACGGCCTCGTACTCGCGGTCCTTGGGGGGAAACTTCGAGGGTCAAATGCTGCGAGGCGTCGCAATTCCCGGACTACACCTGCTGGCTCCGGTCGGTTGTCCCAACCTTCTGCTGGTTCTTCATGGTTTCGCTGCCAAGGAGCTCACTCGTGGTTGGGGGCGCAACCTCCCCCTCGGTCCTTAAAAGCGCCAGGAGCATGATGTACGGCGAGATCCATTGATCGCCAACTCTGTGTAACTATACTGGACTCAAATGTGAAATCTCACTTAATCACATACACATCACGATATGGTCGCGGTGGTACTTCCCTAGCCCCTCCGTGTCCAGCTTTGATTGCACGCTGAGAACGATGCGCTGCTCGTCGCTCATAATGCTGAACTCTCCGTCCGCGAGACCTGGAATTGCCCCCCGACGACGAGTGCAGACGTGCGGGAGGCGGGTCTCGACGTCTCCCTTCCACACCCCGGCTGGAACGGTTGTAGAGTCAGACACGGTGCGCTCGACGCCCTCTGGAGCAGTGTCCCGCTGCGTGTTCCTATCAACCGAAGCCGGGGAAAAGTCGAGCACCTCGTATCCGACGGGTTTGCCCTCTTCCATGACGAGACGTACGTCGCGGTACAGCGACACGCTGTACTTGTCGCTGACTCCGGCGTCGGCGCGCACGAGCCTCGAGTTCTCCGGTCCCCATGCCTCCCACTCATACTGCCTCGCGACGAGGTCCACATCGTTGGCCCAGAACGTGCGTCCCTCCTCGTCCTCGGTCTCGAAGCGCTCTGCTTGCTGCGGGAGCGCCAGCCGCATTCCGCCCACGGCACCGTGGCACTCACAATAGTCGACGGCGCAGCGCTAGTCAGGTGCTCGGCGACGCGCAGATGCCGACGGCTTGAAGGGTGCCCTGAACCCGCCCGCAATTCGGTTCTTGCCCTCCTGCGCTAGGGCGAGGAGCATCTCGCGGAGCACGTAGAAGTCGTACCTCTCCTCGTCAAAGCTGAGGGAGACACGTAAGAGCCCGCGCTCATTGTCTGGCGCCCAGGGCGAGCCGCCCGTTGCGCGCGTCGTGTGAGGGGCGCGCTGGGGGGTGATACATGCCTGGATTACCTGCTTGGAGGTGGCTGGCAGATCGAGCTCGGCGAGGAGTACGCCAGGATGGCCATTCGGCAACATCCCTCGGGCGGGAGTGTCGCATTCGTCCTCTGGGAAGGTCCAGATCGCCAGTGAAGGGTTGATGGGCAGTCCCTTGTATCCCGGATTCACAACGCTGACAGTGCGCTCGTCGAGGAGCTCGAATGCTGTTCCCGCCGTGCTTGTCAGATGCCCGATGAGACAGCCGAAGTTGCCCTGCATCGTCGATGAAAGGTTCAAGTGCAGCACGGGGACGTACGGCCCCGATCCATGGTGCACGAGCGTGGCTACCGTCGAACCGCAGATGCGCACGTCGCTGCAAGTGGCCGCCGACTCGTCTCCATGGGGAAGCTGGCGCAGAGAAGGCTGCAAGGCAAACATGAGGTGGTTGCCGCGGAAGGACTCTGGGCCGCCCATGGCCTCGGGCGCCTTGAGCGTGCCCAGGTCCAGCATCTCCACAGTAAAACCATGGGCCTTCTTCATGTTCGACGACCGTGCAAAGGTGCCGATTCGCTTGCTCGTAATTTCGATCGAGAAGCCCTCGCTCTCCATGCTGTCCTGCCCAAAAATGTCCGTCGCAATTGTTCTGTTGTCAGCTCGGTCAAGTGGTTACGCACAGTGCGGCTGGAGATGCGAGGAGATTCTGGGCCGGGTCGATTGCAGTTCGGCACGAGCGATAGGGAATGTACGGCGGTATAATGCTCCAGCCGGCCAGAGGCGGGGTGCGCAGGTCTGGATTGGTAGCGCTGGGAAGCGGCACGGCGAAAGACGGTACTTGCGTCCGGTCCTTCTTGTTGTACTCGTGCATCGGCGTCTCATCGCCCTCAGGGCCGACGAGGAAGCCGGCGGTCACGTACAGCACACCACCGGTAAGCACATCCCAATCCTTGTGGAATGGACCCTCGACACGCATGCTGCAGATAGCCACAGGGCTCAGCGCTCGCCAGCGCGCCTCGCGATCCTCCAGGCGCTGTCGCTTCTCATCAAGCGTAAGTGCCGGCTTGCTCGGCAGCGGCATTGGGGTCACCTCCACCGTAGGCGGAGCTCCGAGCGCTGAGAGCTCTTTCATAGTCGGAACAGTCGGGTAGTAGATGCGCGAGTGCTTGTCTGCAGCCAGCGTATCGCCGTCGCGCTTGTGACCGACGCGAGGTCGAAAGAGCGTCTCGGGACGTAGTGGTGGTCCTTCCTTCAGGCCGGCAGCGGTGAGGGCGGCTTGGTATGAGTCCATGGTCAGTGTGGGGTGTCAGAAAGGTCGAGATGGGGCGCTGCTGTTTGTGAGTAACTGAGTCGCTGTCCATCGTCGCCATGAGGTCTGGCCGGGCGGTGCGTTCCTGGGACTGCTGCTTGCGGAAACGCCAGGAACAGCGTTTCAGCAAGCGGAGTCGGTGCACTGGTCTGATGGGGAATCGCAGGCACCTAGACTGCGTCAGCAGATGCTGGTGACTAGAAAAGAGAAGAAGATGTGAGTTAGTGTATGCCCAAGTGCGTTGGGAGGTCGTGATCATCGCGGCAGGTCGGGGGTTTCGAGCGCGAAATCGAAGTGAGATGTAGCCCGTTGGACCGAGCTTCGTTCTACCTGCTGTGTGTGCGAAGAAACGCGGGTCAGCTCTGGGGACGAGGGGGTGGGGGTGTTGCTGGGATTGATGTGAGGATGGGAACCTTTGGAGTCTAGTATCGGACTGTACGAAGCCGTAGTGCTGCGCCCAATTTGCCATCCGACTCTCTCGATCCTTGCGAGAGAGCGTATGAGAACTTCAAACGACCGTTTCGCACACGACCTCGTGCTCCCAGAAACTGTGGCGGCGCCCCGGCAAGCCCCACGCGCCACCGTCGTCATCTCATGCGCGCAGAGTTTGAACTCTTATCTTGTAGGGCTGAGTGGAGAAAACAGACATGTCTGACAACAGACGGACTCGAAAAACCCTGACGTCAATCTTGGCGTGCGCAAATCTTCGTCTTCCATCTGCATGCCCCGTCGATCCTTTTCCTCATATCTACATATCTTCTTCTCCCTCGCTTCTGCACCAGTCCCTCGACATGCTCGACAACGCTGCCATGCTCGTCCAACTCAATCTCATTCTCGGCGATCTCGCTCACGCACCGCAGTCCCTGCGCATCTAGAGCGATCGAGTCACACGCCTAGCAGTGCGCCTAGACGTTAAGACAACTAGTTCGATCCGGGGCCGTTCCCCAGCTGCTGCGCCTTGCCTAACGGCGGCGGCTGCAGCGCCATGGGCGCCGGAGACCCTTATGTTGCGGTGTCCGCGATTGGGACTGATGACCTTCGGACCAGACGACGGCGCGATCGGGCGCGTGGTGATGAATGGGGCAGTCCAGGACGCCCAGGGCCGGGCAAGGGCTGCTGGAACACGGCGAGCGGAGACGCGACAGACGCGGTATCGGGGTTGCCGTATGGGGTATGCGCGCTGCGGCGGTGATCGACGCGATTGGACGCGAGACGGTTGTGGTTGTCCTGACGGCGTCATTTACCCCACTATTAGCTAATTGAGCCACGTTCCATCCGAGCTTGTTCAGCCTCTGACAACAGCCTCTGGCGACAGCGGCAGCATGCACCGAAAACAGCCAAGGTAGCCAAGGCCAAGGATAGAATCACCTCGGCCGCAGCCGCCGTCAAGAACGTATATAGCCGCCGCCTCCGATCGACACGTTGCTCCGTTCAAACACTCACCCACCATGGCCATCCAGATTGCAGCTCAGGGAGGCGTCGATGTCCGCGGCGTCAACGTCAACGGCGGCGACCACAACGTCGACAAGAACGGCAACCGCGTCAATGTCAACGCCGTCCCCCAGGACACGATCCGCCTCTCGGTCAACTGGAACGGTCAGGACTCTCAGGTCAACGTGCGCCCCATTGAGGACGGCGACCGCCAGCGCGGATGGCGCCGCCTCGACTCGAACGGCAACGTGATCGCGTTCGGTGTCGACGAGGACAAGATCGTCCTCCTCCCCAAGCCCGGATCGACCGACTGGATGGCCGGCCTCCCCGATGACCGCGCCATTGCCGACATTACCATTCCCGGCACGCACGAGTCCACCTCGGACACTGGTGGTTTCATTTCGCAGTGCCAGAGCGGCAACGTCGCGCAGCAGCTCCAGGACGGTATCCGTTTCCTCGACCTGCGTTTCCGCAACGTCAACGGCGAGCTCAAGTGCTACCACGGTATCCAGCCCATGTCTTCCAACATCAACGAGGTCGTCGGATGGATCAACGACTTCCTTGCGCGCAACCCCCGCGAGACCGTCGTCGCCTCGTTCAAGCAGGAGCAGGACGCCGACCCCAACTTCCCGTCCCTCGTCGAGCAGGCCCTCAACTCTGGCGGCAACTGGTACTTCTCCGAATTCCTCCCGACGCTCGGTGAGGTGCGCGGCAAGGCCTACTTCTTCTCGCGCTTCTCCAAGACGGACGACTCGCAGTTCCCCAACGGCCAGGGCTTCAAGCCCCTCCAGTGGCCCAACAACAAGAGCGATGGCTTCGAGGTCGACATCCGCGACACCCCCTGCCGCATTCACGACTGGTACGAGACTGGCGACATTGGCGCCAAGGCCAACGCCATTACCCAGCACCTCGAGCCCACCCTCCAGCCCCGCGGAAACGGCAACGGCCCCAACCACCCTTACACCCTCGACTACACGAGCGCCGTCAAGATGCCCTCGGCGTCGCCCCAGTACATGGCCTCGGGCGGCAGCGCGGGCGGCGTCTCGTCCCTCCTCGCTGGTGCTTCGGCGCTCTTCTCGGGCGGCGGCAACAACCAGGACGCAGGCGCTCAGGGCGGTGTCAACGCCCGCATCGCCCGCTGGCTCCTTCAGAAGGCCTTTGACGGACAGCGCCCCCGTGCCACTCTCATGATGGACTTCTACCGCGACACGGCCGGCGGCGACGGTGGCATGGCCGAGCTCCTCCGCTCGCTCAACTACATCAACACGAACGAGTAAAAAGGCCAGGTGGTCAGTGACTCCACTGGCGCGAGGGGTTAGTTGTTCGGTTAGCGAATGACTGCAGGACTATGAAGTTAATGACAATGTTCATAAGAGCCGAAAGCTACCTGAACTTGAAGAACTACTTTGACTGATGAAAAAAACTAAACTTCTGACTAAACCAACTTAGGCAGCGCCGTACTCGAGGCCACGGCGGATCTCGTCGAAGCAGACGGCAATGCCGGCCATGATGGCGAGGTCGACGTTGGGGGCAACGGTGACGAAGTAGGTCTGGTCGTCGTACGAGCCGGGCTTGACCTCCATCGAGTTGCGCGAGGCCTTGGCAATGACCTGGCCGGGGCGCTTGTTGTCCTTGTCGTAGAAGGAGAGCTGAGCGTTGTCGCCGAACCAGTCGCCGAGGAGCTCGAGGGTCTGCTTGTCACCGCTCTTGGTGATGTACTCGGAGAGCTCGACCTTCATGCGGGCGTCCGAGTTGGCGGTCGACTCGTCAATGACCTTGAAGAGCTGGATGCCGTCGCGCTTGGCGACCATCTCGGTGTGGATGGACATGAGCTTGTCCTGGATCTGGTACAGCTCCTGGCCAGTGGCGTCGAGGATCTTGCGCTTGTCGCGCAGCGAGTGGTCCTTGGCCTTGAGGGTCACGACGGTCGCACCGCGGGTGTCGGTGATCTTGTAGTCGGTCGGGGCATCGGCGTACAGGTTCTTGTGGAGGACCAGCGTCGTGGGCTCCGGACGGACGATGCCGTCAATCTTGAAGTACTGGAGAGGGGGCTCGACGGCGACAAGCTCAACGGTGGACATGATGACGATGGGGTTGTTGTTGGGGGATCACATGCACGGCACGGCTTCGGACAGCATTATATACTGACTCCCAAGGTCCTCGGTCATCGAGAGCACTGCAAGAGGTATCAGAGCTTCCTCTGACCTCTGACGTATGTTGCATCCTCACATGCTTCCACCATGTTCGACGTCGTGGGAACAGCGACCGCAACGGAGAGGTCGCTTGGCACAAGCACCACGCGGTTTGCTCGGTTGGGAGCGTTGTGACCGAGGTGATAATCAAGAGACCGAGGCTCTGGAACCTGTTCCTGTCGCTTTCCTTGCCTTTCCCGTTGACGACGAGCGCTCGCAGCTCGCAGTGGTCGCTGCTGTAAGGCCCGCAATCCTCCCGCCATTCTGCTTCAATTGGGCCAGCTCGGTGATGTCGACACCCACGTTCACGCGCTCGCTACTCATAATGACGAGCGAGACCGATGCTCCGGACGTGCCTGTACCTTGCGTCCTTTCTCCCCCCTGCGGAGTTGCCGCCGAAGAGCTGAAACTGGCATGTTCGGCATGCAGACGGCCGGGAGCCGCAGCTCTCAAGCTGTGCGTGCCAAAAGTCCGAACGCGGTGAGGACCTTGGGAGGCTGGTCGCGGTTTGTCGGAACTGGCAGTCGATAGACAGGCACAAGTAAGGCGAGGCAGCCGCCAGGTCCCATCGCAGTCATCGCGTTCTTGGCGCCATACTGGCACTCCGATCACGCGGGAGGGTCCGAACAACACCCATGAACCGTTCGTTTAATAGTGATGAGCCTGATGTATCCTTGGCGTCCTGTGATCGTCCTGACCGCTGAGACATCGGCGAGGGCGGACTTCTCGTAAAGTAGAAGCCTGTCGAAGAGAGCCGAAGGGGCCGCCTTACACGTTAGAAGAGACGGCCGGAGTCACAGAAGAGCGCATAAGACTGACGCAAATGCCTAGAAACGCCCGCTCTTCGATCTAGGTCCTACATGTCTCTTTCGATCACGGCGATTGTGTCAGACTCGCGATCAAATCGGTTGACGACGACACTCGGTCGAGGCCCTCAGATGAGGGGGAGGGGGCTAGGGGATTACTGTAGGCACACGTGACCTTGTTGGCCATGTACGAGCGAGCTTTGAACTGCTCGCAGTGATGCGCTAGCACTGTTCCACCCGCAGGAGATCGAACAGCACTGGTCCCAATGTGACGCCCGAGAACGCGGCCGAGCGAGTTGAAAGAGATGGTGAGAGAGATTGTCTCACTGTTATGTTGTGCAGAGGGTTGTGCCAAGGTGGGGAGGTCTTGAGGCTGCCGAGTAGGCGATGCTTCCTTTTGTTTTCCGATAGTTAAGATGGCTTTGCGCAAGCCACTGACAGCGATGTCTGTGGAGAAATTTCATAGAATCGGCCAGCTAGTCGCCCAGCTTCGCAGAATCGGCCAGTCAGGGACAGCCCACCGTACGCAGAGTTGCCAGAGGCCCCGTGGGTGCGCAACACCTTGGCACCACCTTATCTGAGAATCATGGCCATGTCCACAAGCTCGTCAGTTATCAACCAGCACTTCTCTGGGTTTCAACCTTGGATAGGGTGCAGATCTATGTCTGATCTTGCCACCTTTCAAAACTCACTGCAAACGGACTTCTTCATGGCTGTTGCCAGCAAGTTGAAGCTGAACGGTGCAGCTGTAACTTCGCCGTTGAAGTCCCTGACTGGCCGATTCTGGCATGCTGGCCACAGGGCTGGCCGATTCTATGAAATTTCTCGATGTCTGTGCGATGGTCTCGGCGCCTGTGTCAAGATGCGTCTATACCTTGCATGTGACTGCTCAATCGCACGAGGCCGACGAGAGAACAAGAGATGGATCCAACGGAACCCGGGCCCCGGACGCAAGGGTCGGTGAATTTGATTGCCGGTCCCCACCACGTCGGCTTTCGGCACCCAACGACAACGCGACGATCATCAAGTCCCCTCATATATCCTCTGTCCTCGTCCTGACCGGTCTCGTCCTCTCTCACCAATCACTGATCAGCCTGCAGCCATGGCCCTCATCCAGACCCCACTCACCCAGCTCTGTGAGTTCCATGGCTCCGATTCGCGCTAACAGCAGTCGACATCCAGCATCCGGTCCTGCTGGCCGGCATGTTCGTTGCCTCCGGCCCCCGCCTCGCCGCAGCCGTCACGAACGCGGGCGGCCTCGGCGTCATTGGCGGTCTGTCCATGACGCCCAAGCAGCTGCGCATGAACATCACCGAGCTCAAGAGCTACCTGAACGACAAGAATGCCAAGTTTGGCGTCGACCTGGCGCTGCCCAAGATTGGCGGCGGCGCGCGCAAGACGAACCACGACTACACGCACGGGCACCTCGACGAGCTCATCGACATCATCATCGAGGAGAAGACGGCGCTCTTTGTGTGCGCCATCGGCGTGTGTCCTCCTGCAGTGGTCGAGAAGCTGCACAAGGGCGGTGTCGTTGTCGCCAACATGATCGGACACCCCAAGCACGTCGCCAAGGTCTGCGACGCTGGCGTCGACATGGTCATCGCCCAGGGAGGCGAGGGTGGCGGCCACACCGGCGACGTGCCGTTCTCCATCCTCCTCCCCGCTGTTGTTGATGCCGCCAAGGGGCGCAAGTCGCCCAGCGGCAAGGACATCATCGTTCTCGGAGCCGGTGGCGTCACGGATGGTCGCTCGCTGGCGGCCGCGCTCTCATATGGCGCCGCTGGCGTCTGGGTTGGCACGCGCTTCGTTGCGTCCGTCGAGGCTGCCGCCCCAAAGGCTCACAAGAACCAGATTCTCAGCACGCAGTGGGGCGAGACGACCCGCACCGTCATCTACTCTGGCCGTCCGCTGCGATGCAAGAAGACGCCCTACGTCGCCGAGTGGAACGACACGCGCCAGAAGGAGATTGAGGAGCTTACGTCTCGCGGCATCGTCCCGCACATGCACGAGCTGGAGAAGCACCCCGAGCGCTCGATCGAGGGCAAGATTTGGATCATGGGAGAGAACGCCCCGCGCATCACCGAGGTTCTGACGGCAAAGGAGATTGTCGACGAGCTCGTCGAGGGCGCCGTCAAGTCTATCCAAACGTGTGCCGCCGACCTCCGTGGAAAGGCCAAGCTTTGAACGTAGTTTATGTCAGCAGTAGTGTATGCAGCCAATCATTAAGAACACCAGGGAGTCGATCGTTGCATAGGAGACTGAACTCGGCCACACAACACCGGCTGGACGAAGCCTTGGTGCTGGACCTCTGGTGCACATCAAACATGCAATGCAGAGCGAGCTCGGCAAGAGCATCGGTGAGGGCGTCGATTGAGATCGCGAAGTACGGGCGCCGAACGATAGGTGGGGAAGCATCTGTACGAAACACCTTCGGCCTAGTAGTTGTTACAAATATCGTTTGACTAAATGCTGTCTGTAAGCAAGAGGATGTGACAAAGAGTGTTCTTGGCGTCGTGGGGAGAACCCCGGTGGTGCACGGGAAACCAGGAACATCGGTCATCGCCGAAGCCGCCCACTTGAGTGGATCCGCACCTGAGAGCGGAGACGAGCGCTATCCACGACGCGCTCACAACGGCCGACACTACTATGCACCGCAGGAATACTTCGCTGTCCCATGTACAGAAGTAGAGCGGATGCACAAAGGGACAGTGTAGACTAAGAGTATCCCGAGTGCTGGATGGACTGTTAGTGTGGAGGGCGGGGGCCGTTAGTGCCCAGAGTCGGGTATGACCCTTAAGCGGACGGCATTCGGGACACCACACCACACCACTACTTATTAATCTCCATCCATCCTTTCCTGCTTCCTCGCTGTCACCCCTCACCTTTCTCTACCACCATGGTCTACTCTCCCCGCAAGGCATACGTCGTCGGCGTCGGCTCCACCAAGTTCGACAAGCCCCGCGGCCTCCGCGACTACCCCGAGCTCGGCCTCGAGGCTTCTGTCAAGGCTCTCCTCGATGCCGGCCTCACCTACGACCAGGTCGAGACCGCCGCCGTCGGCTACGTCTACGGTGACTCTACCTGTGGCCAGCGCGTCCTCTACCAGCTCGGCATGACCTCGATCCCCATCGTCAACATGAACAACAACTGCTCGACCGGATCGTCTGCCTTTGTCTCGGCCGTCAACTCGGTCGCGTCTGGCCAGGTCGACTGCGCCCTCGCCCTCGGTTTCGAGAAGATGAGCCCCGGCTCGCTCAAGTCGCACTGGGACGACCGCACCCCGCCTCTCCTCGGCACCCACATGCAGCTGACCGAGATTGAGGAGTCGAAGCAGTACCCCGTCAAGCAGAAGGGCCCCGGCGCCGCCATCATCTTCGCCGCCGCCGGTCTCGAGCACCAGGAGCGCTACGGCTCCAAGCCCGAGCACCTGTTCAAGATTTCGTCCAAGAACCACAAGCACTCGGCCAAGAACCCCTACTCCCAGTTCCGCTTCACTCCTTCCCCCGAGGAGGTTGGCGCCGCGCGCAAGATTACGCGCGAGCTGACCCTCCCCATGTGCTCGCCCACCTCTGACGGTGCTGCTTGCGCTATTGTCGTCTCCGAGGACTTTGTCAAGAAGTACGGTCTCGAGGACCGCGCCGTTGAAGTTGCCGGTGTCGGTGTCGCGACCGACTCGCCCAAGCTCTACGAGACCCGCTCCCGCATCGAGCTTGCCGGAACCGACATGGGCCGCAAGGCTGCTGCCCAGGCGTACAAGCAGGCTGGCATCACTGCCAACGACGTGCAGGTGCTCGAGTGCCACGACTGCTTCGCCCCCAACGAGCTCATCACGTACGAGGCCCTCGGCCTCTGCCCCGAGGGCAAGGCGCACGAGCTCGTTGATGCTGGTGACAACACGTATGGCGGCAAGTACGTCGTCAACCCCTCTGGTGGTCTCGAGTCCAAGGGCCACCCGCTCGGCGCTACTGGTCTCGGCATGGTCTTCTACATGACCCTCCAGGCGCGTGGTGAGGCCGGCCCCCTCCAGGTCCCCAACGTCCGCAACGCCCTCACCCACAACGTCGGTCTCGGCGGATCCTGCATTGTCACTGTCCTCCGCAAGGCCGACTTTTACAAGAAGGGCTCCACCTCGAAGGACCGTCTCGGTTACGACTTTGCCGCCGAGGTCCGCGAGATCACCCAGAAGGACCTCGACAAGGTCCGCTCCAAGGAGTACAGCAACTACATTCCCCCTGCCCTCGCCAAGCTCTAAGCTTTCCCGAGTTGTAAAAAGTCTATGAATGTGTATGAGCAGTCACGTCAGTGGTCAGTGCAAACTCTGGATGCCATCGTGCAATATACTCATGGCATACTTCTGTTTACTTCTATCTCGGATCATTAACTTCACATTTAGCGCTGCTGGCCCTGGCCGGCCATGCGAGCGTCGGTCTGGCGAGCCTGCTGGCCCTCGGAGAGGCCGAAGCCGGAGCCGGGGCCGGTAGCACGGGGGTCAACCGAGGGGTCGTCGTAGCGGTCGGCGTTGTTCATGTTGAACTGGCCCTCAACAGGGGGGCGGTCGTACGGGTCACGGCCACCGGCGCCAGTCTGGCCGCGCGAAGAGTCGAACGGCTGGCCCTCGGCGACGAGCTGCTCGTTGTTGGCGTTGTTGCCGCTGCTGGCGCCACCGACGCCACCGACGCCGCCCTGGCGCTGCTGGCCCTGCTGACCCTGCGAGTACTGACCCTGCTGGCCCTGGCCCTGCTGGGTGGACTGGCCAGAGGAGAGGCCAGACGAGGTGTAGCCCTGGCCCGAGCCGGCGGCAGTGCGGCAGTGCCGGCGGTGCCGGTGGCGGAGGCGGCCTGGCTCTGGGCAGAGTCGGACTGGAGGCCGCGGGCAGCGTTCTGCGCAATCTTGGCGTCGGTGCGCGCAGCGCGGTCACCCTCCTGGACACCAAGGCCGGAGCCGGGGCCAGAGGCGCGGGGGTCGACGGCAGGGTCGTCGTAGCGGTCCGCGTTCTCCATGTTGAACTTGCCCTCGACGGGGGGACGGTTGTAGGGGTCGTTGCTCTGGCCGGACACTGCTGTCAGATTATGGATTGCTTGGAAAACTCACTGATTGCTGCTTCTCGGGGATGAGTGTGATGCGAAAGATGAGACCGATCCTTGTTCCACCCTTCTATATGAAGAGAGCATGCATGGGTCTGCCGTATGAGGCAGGCAAGGCAGGAGACCGGGATGAATGGTCTGGAATCTTCCTGCCACTGCCTCACGAGCCAACAGCAACGAGCACAACTACGTCATAGCGCGCTACTCAACTCCACTGACCGAACTCCCCGCCTGCACCCACCATTCCGCTGTCGTCGTCGACCTCGTTCCCACAGGTCACATGACTCAGAATAGAACCATGCGCTGGACACATGGGTAGCGTCGTATGCATCGTGTTTAGTCTTTCCGACCAACGGACTCAGACTTTGGGACCCCTCTTCGGTCTTCGCTGTCCGGGATCGACCATCGCGGGCCATCCGAAGATAATCCGACAATGCGGCGATCCACACGAGCGATCGTCAGGAGCGTGGCGGCTCTCCAAGCTCAGGTCCGAGCAACGGCCATTCAAGGCTCCCTAGTGCACCGCCAGATTGCGAGCTAACCTTCTCTCGTGTGCTGCGGACGCTATCTCCGAATGCTATCTCCTCGCCAACATCGGCGGGGTAGCCTCCTGTGGTAGCCGTCTGAGGCCCCAGTGAATGCTCCATCAGCCGTATCAGAGTCGGGAAGCGCATGCAACGGCGGCGACCCTGCCGACGCGTCCGCGCGACCCGCACACCACAACCGCATGAACAGTGGACTAGCGAATCGCTCGAGTTTGATATTTAGGGAGGGCGGTGGTATTGGTGGGCAACACCCTGCCCGACATCATGTTGTCTCTTCTCCTGCTCGCGAGCAGGGCACTCGGTGGCCTCACTGTCGGCCCCATCGGGCCATGGACGCATCCCGACGACACCCCCGCGTTCCCCTTCACGGACAAGGACGGAACATTTTATGCCCAGTCGGCCCATGCAGGCTACGAAATCGACGCCAGTCGCGTCTGGTCGTTCTTCACGGGCCCAGACATCGACTCGCTCAAACTGAACACCGCCATCACCCACTCGTTTGACCCCAACGAACCCCGCGACAGGAATGACAATACCACATTCCGTTGCACTGTGCGCTCGCCCACGGGACGGGAGTCGACAATGCCCCCGCCCACCTCATCATACAAGCAGAAGAACTTCTGCGACCTCGCAGGCATGTGGGTTGACCCCGACACGGGTGACTGGATTGGACTCGTCCACAACGAGTTTACGCCGAGCCCCTTTGGTGACGGACTGCACTACGACGCCATCGACCGCGCCATCTCCAAGGATCAGGGTCGCACATGGATCATCACGGAGCACCTCATCACGACACCCTTCAGCACCAAGCGCGGGGACAATGTCACTTTCCCCCAGAGCACGTACTACTACGGCAACGGTGACCCACGCGTCACCTTTGACCTAAAGGGCGGGTACGTTTACGTCTTTTACAACTCGCGCGTGGTCGACAAAGGCGGCTCTTGGAAGCTCTTTTATCCGCACGTCGCCCGTGCTCGTCTGCAGGACAAGTTCACCGGCTTCAAGAAATACTACAAGGGCAGCTGGGATCAGCCCGGCGTCGGCGGCAAGGAGAGCGTGCTCGTCCCCACCTCCGTGGATAAGAATGGCTACTCGGCGATCGAGTACAACCCTCGCACTCCCGGCAAGGCCGACGAGCAGGTCGCAGCTGGCAAGGCGCCCGCGACGTCGCGCCTCTTCGTCTTGGACGTGACGTACAACGCCTTCATCGGGAAGTGGATCGGAGAGCCCCAGAGCCCCGAGAAGGACGCTAGTCCCCAGGAGTACTACGTGTGCGACGACATTGCCGTGCCCAAGTGGAGCCTGCTTGGTACCTCGGGCGAGACCTACAAGACCTCGAGCTGGTACCGCTGGTTCGTGGACTCGGTCTCCAAGACGAGCGGTCAGATCACTGGGCGCAAGTGGCGCGGGTACTGCTCGTTCTACTGCCACGACAAGAAGAATGGAGACTATATCGAGATCTCGCACGACCAGGCCGACGGCGTCAAGCCCCTCTCTGGCACGCTCGGCGGATACACCCTCAAGGCGACTGGCGATGGCGCGTACACCCTCGGCAAGAGCGGCAAGGTTCTCGGCGTCACTGAGCGCAAGTGGGGGTCGACCGCGACTCTCGGCTCTGTTACCGACGCCAAGAGCCAGTGGTGGGTCATCCCTGACGTCAACGGCGGCTACCGCGCTGTCAACCGCTGGAGCACGCTCGTGCTCGCTGGTGACAAGACTGTCCCCGCCCGTCACTGGGATAATGGTAGCGACCGCGTCGCAGACCAGATCCTGAAGCTGCAGTAAACCCAGCGCTGTGGTCGATAAGTAAACGTCAACATCATAAGTATGATCGGTATGTAAGAAGCGTATGTCTGCATTACCCCACGCTCAGCGCGGACTTGCCGTCACGGACAGCGAACCAATGAGCGCCGTTATAGTTCCACACTTCTACTTCGTCTCCGCCCTTCAGATCGAGTGCCTTGCGCAGTCCTCTCTCAGTGTTGAGCCGCATGACCAGCTGCAGTGCCACGAGAAGCTCGAGCGGGCCCTGAGGCGGCAAGTGTCGAGGGATACCCCGCCGGTCGCGCAGATATGGTGGCGACACGTGCACTCGCCCGTCAGGTGCGAGGCGCAGTGTCAAGAACACGTCCCAGTTTGTCAGCACGACCTGCGTGCGACGGTGGAGCATCATGCGCCCGAACACTTCGAGGAGAGCTGTGACCACTCCGTCGGGAACACGTGAGGGCGCTTGCAGCTTGACCCTCAAGCCATCGGGAACGATGGGGTCGGCATATCCTGCAGCTTCGAGAGACAGGCCACTTCCGTCTTTGCTGAGCAGGGCCGCATGCAGAGCAAGGATGTCTTCCTGGGTGAAACTGGGCACGACTTCGATTGCCAGGACCGGATCGCTGGTGCCGATGACCGTGCCAAACGTGAGTACGAGCGGGCTGCGCTCGGGCTGTACCTCGAAGCTGAGCACTGTTGGGATCACGCGCGACACTGTTGAACTCCTCTTCCGCTTGCCCGGAGATGACTTAACCGGCTCTAGTAGTGGAACGAGTCCGGCATACTTGTTCGCAAACGATATCGTGGTACGCTCGGACACATCTTCCCAGCGGATATCGCGCACTGTTTCGTCCTCCACGGCGCGCTTCTCAAAGTATAGCCCCTCGATGAGTCGCGCTGGTACAAGGAGCAGGTCGCGTAACAGGCTGGTGATGTACTCTGCGTCTGCAACCGGCGGATAGTGGGTGAAGATGGTCGTGAAGAGTCGTGCAGCATCGGTGAACTGACCGACCTCGGTGGCGATGGGATGTGCACGGAGGTGTCGTTCGAGCACGCTGAATAGCGACACGGGGCCGTCGCGGTCAAGGACAAACTCCACTGTTCCAGGACGCGGCTTGAGGAATGATGAGTGGGCAACAGGAGCTTGAAGGCCGAGTCGCCCCTGCAGGAAAAGTAGGATCCAGGAGACGTCGGAGACACTTCGCTCAGTCGATGGCGGTGGTGGAAGGGCGGGGAGTTCGTAACCACGGAGAAAGGAGCGAATATTGGCGAACACCATGACGGTGTGGGTGACGTTGAGATGCACTGACCATGTCTGCCATACTTTAGTCTGAACGTTAGAAGCCAGGTGCTGTCAGTGGTACATAAGAAGACAAAGTCAAGGATACGTTTGAGCGGAATGGGCCCTGTCATGCTCGGCCGCCACCTGTCACGTGATGTCGGCCCTCCACCGACAGTGCGACAGTCCAGTCAACCGCAGTAGTGATGAACACTCGAACAATCCGGCCCCCCTCGACAATCTCAACGTTACTTTGCTCGTTGCCCGACCGCCCGACAGTACCATGAATGAGGGCGGGGAGGCCAGCGCTCCTTGTCCCCCCCACTGCCCCGTTGTACGGCCCGCCCGCCCTGGTCCCCTGCTCATCTATCCGGGCGACCTCATCGGCCACGGCAAGCTTCGAAATCTGGCTCTTCCGCCCCACGCTCGAGATCCGAACATCAAATTTCACGACCTGTATGATCAACTAGCCAGCATTAACTGTGCGGGCTTGGTTCTCAACGACTGCATCCCAGGAGCAGAACCGGACTTTGAGCGCTGGGGACTTCCAACAGACGGCCTCTGGCGGCCCCTCTTCGGGCTCTGGACTTGCGAGCATGCCTTCAATTCGGAGCAGCAAGACCGGGTTGCCGACGCTGTACAGCACCTGCTGAGTACAGTAAGTCGCTCGTAGATATGGTGTTCCGCCCGCTTGTTAACACCAGACACGCGCCCGTCTTCCCTTCAACACTGGGCTGGAGCCCCTACCTCCTCACCATGTCCGAAAGGCGACGTTTGGGTTGCGCTCCCGTGTGGAGCAGCTTCTTCATCACACGAGCGACTGGATCAGACGGTTTGATCCACTAGCGAGCTGGCGTATGTGGATGCGGGCGCGCATGTTCAACGCTCCGACAGACTTCAAGGTGAATCTTTGTGTGCCGCCTGACTGACATTAGGTTCGAGGTTGCACGACTACCGTGCTGGTGACAGAGGGCAGTACCGATTGGACCCGAGATGCGGACCAGCTTTCCCAGGACTATACTCTGGTGTTCTGCATCAACAGCAAATACAAGCTTCACTATCGGCTCCCAGATGAGTCGGAATATTGCGTCCTGATGGAGCCCGGTACCGTGGTTGGCTTCCTCGGCGGAGTTTTCGAGTACAGGCTAGAGGAGGGTCTCTCTTTGCCCGGCGCGATTGGACCGGGCTGTTTCTTCACTTGCTACACGAGCAAGACCATGTTCGGCGATGGCGGTTCGTTCCCAATGCCGCACCCGGAGATGCACATCCATCCGAAACAAGATGTGCGCCCAGCGGTTCTTGCCGCCGAACCTCGAAGGTCGCCGGAGCCGAATCTAATCACCCCGAGGTCTTCCAAACGGTTGAAAGTGGCCCATCAGCGGCGGGAAGAACGTGAAATCGAGGAACCGCAGCCCTTGCCCGAAGTCCGCGTCATCGACGGGAAGGGCAAGCGGTTCCTACGCTCAGCGACGATGCTGTTTTACCCTACCCCTACCCCGACGACGAACCCGAATACAGCGGTGCACCGCTGCATCTACGACCTGGACCCTCTCACTTGGCCGAAGTTCACAGTAGCGCACATCACGACGGCGTATGGGCAAAAGAAAGCTGATCCCTTGATGCAGGCGGCCAACAAGCTTCGAGCGGTGAGTGCTCCGCACATCTGTGGGCTGACAATAGCTACTACCAGGCTCAGCATTTGTGAGCTACCCTCCAAAGCCGGAGGAGCGTAGACAAGTGGAGCCTCAGATCGAGAAAGCGTTGGGGACGCTACGAGTATCGCCTCAGATCGAGACAGCGTTGGAGACGCTACGAGTATCTCTTAACTCGCTGTTGAAACACACCGTGTTTACTCTCAGCCAGATCGACCTGCCTACTGTGCATCGCATGCGACACCGACATATGCACTACTGCGCTACTGAGCCATGGTACGAGCATCAAGCAACGACCACCACGTTTTCAGTTTCCAGTGGTGCCGCCGACAGTGGTGCCGCCGACTGGACACGAGGCGACGATCACTCGTCGGAGGATTACACGTTGCTCTTCTGTCCAAGTGGGGACTGCCGGCTACACCTGCGCACACCAGACGCCACGGACGTGATCGAGGTTAAGTGGGGCACCGTAGTCGCATTCCTGGGCGAATTGTACGAGTATCGTGTCGAGACAGCCTGAATTCCTCATATTCACGTGTTGGACGAGCAAAAGCGCATCGTCCTCCTCGAGATCTGACTTGCCCGAAGTGAGTGACGTTGTGTCCTTGGGCCGTATTGAGAGTGCGTTCGCGCGGGAGAAGGAGTCGTTATGGAATCGCGCGCGGAACTTGTAGCCTGTATTACTAAGTGTAACCCCTAGTTGTCTCGATTAGTCACTTGTAAGTCTTACTTTATGCATGCTTCTTACTCCTCCTTCTACTTGGTCCTGGCAGCGGCGGCGGCCTCCTTCGAAGAGACAGCCTTGGCCTCCTTGGCCTCGGCGTACTCGCGCGCGTGGCGGAGCGCAGTCAGTTCGCTGTACGCCCACATAGTCATGATGGAGGCGCCGGGGCCAACAGCAAGAGCTCCGGCAACGAGAACGGCGCCGTACAGCCACTTGCGGGCGGTGCTAGCGCGCTGGCGACGAGCAAGCGCGAGGAGCACCTTGCTTCCGACGGCGAGGGTGGTGAGGAAGAAGTCGGTAACGAGGAGGCGGTGGCAGGCGGCAGCGAGCGTGGGCAGCTGCGGGCTGAATGAGAAGACGTCAGCGAGGCTGACACCCTCCTGCACCTGGGCCCAGAGCGTGAGCTGCGCCTTGAGCGAAGGAATAATGCCGAGCGCGGCGATGAGGTAGATGCCCATGCGAGGCGGGACCGCGGTGAAACCCTTGCGGAAAAGGGGCGGGAGAATGATGTTGATCGCGAGCATGTAGAGGGGGAAGATCTGCCAGAGACTCTGGGCGTCATACGTTTGCGAGAGTGGGACGAGCTCCATCAACAGGCTGGGGATAAGGAAGCCGACGATTGTTGACACCACGGTGGTGTAGAGGAAGGACGAGCGCGGGACGTTGGCGTTGTATTGCACCGAGTGCTTGAATGTTGCGCGGACCTTGCGCCTGGCGCTCTCGGGGAGGAAGAAGACCTCATCGCCGAGGTCGACCTTGTGGTGGTGCCTACGCCAGTGCTTGGGCGTGCTCCACGAGACGCACGCGTAGTAAGCCGGGAGCGCGATGCCGGCCGTGATGACCTGGCCGACGAGGAGGGCAATCGTTGAGAGCTGCGCGACGCCGAGGCGCATACCGAAGCCCTCGACGTTTCCGTGCGCGTCCTTGCTTGCGCTACGCCGAGAGCTAGGCCGGAAGCCCTCGTAGACGGTTACGAGGACAGCTGCAACAAAGAGGCCGCCAAAGTATTGCATGAACGGTCCTCCGGCAGGAGCGGCCCACGCGGACGAGAACGTCGTGTTCAGGCTGCACAGCAGGTTGTTCAGGCCGTCCGCGATTGGGTAGCGGTGGGCAAGCGGTTGCGCGAGGCATTGCGGGGCGTCGAGGAGGTTGGGCTGGATGGACTTGATGCCCTTGACTGGGAGTTAGTGGATGGCTGTGTGGGCAGGCTCACTGGAGACGCCGATCGCGGCCACGCCAACGGCGGTGAGGCCAGCAAAGTATCGGCCTGACATTGTGTGTTTGTGATGATGATGTGCAAGAAAGAAGATGCGAAGGATAGGTGATGTCGTGTCCACACCCGCTCACACGGGAACAGCTGACCGTTCCTCATTCTCCGCGTCGTCGTTTCTCGGGTGTGTTGTGTGCAGCGCCCCTCGGCTCGGTGCCCCTCAGATAAGCTCCGCTGACGTCAGGCACGTGACCCCCTCGGGGCCAATCACATCTTATCAATTCCACCGGGCCTCCACTTTCATCGCGCAGAAGGTCACAGAGCAAGTGGATACAGGGTGTACCATGCATGGTCAAGTGCAAGAATGACGCATGAAGTTCTCTTGAGAGGCGTGCTGGCTCATGGACAGCATGGCTATCGCACTTGTGCCTAGCTTCGTTAAGCTTACCCTAGCTGTTTTCTGCTCTGTGTTCTCGCGCGGAGCTCTTGGGGTGACTCGTCAGAAGTTTGTAGACGAAGTTGAACGCTGCCACTGTGGGTTGTTAAAGCATTGTGGCGTGGTTGACTCACTTGGAGCGACTTGGTCACACAGTCTGTGGAAGGACCTAACGTGTGAGTGCTTGTACAGGATCTTTCTGCTTGTCCACGCAGAATAAAGCTTGGCCGGATTGTGAGGGTACATTTCTGACTCGAGCGCAAAACGAAAAGTGCCGGACTTGCCTCATGATCCTGCCAATCCGACGACCGCCACAGGGTCGCACGCCGTTGATCAGAAGCAGCTCCGCGGCAGCACTACCACAATCTGTGCAGCCGGCGAACGGTAATGTACGAGTAATATTGCGCAACGCCATCAGGCTTACGGAGGCGGATCGACAACTGTCAGCTGCTCAGAAGATGAAGTTAAGATCCCTCTGTCCCCTGACACCTCACTCCCTCCACCGGTCGGTCGGTACTTGCTCGCCGACCTGCTGCCCTGACATCTTTGGCCCCGCTCTGTTGTGGCTGATGGCACCAGACTGTCGCCCGCGGAACTGTCCCGTCAAACGGTAGGCATTGGCAGCGTGGACGTGCATTGTGTCAGTACTGTAGCAGTCGCGGCACAATGATAACCGACTGACAAGCGAGATCTGGCATGCAGATCATGTGCGATAGTACGTGCGATGCTGACCAAGAAACGCGGTGTGAGTAAGCATCCCGTTTCTTGAATTTCATACCGCCCCGGCCGACTAGGCCGGTTTCGGCTCTGCCCGACCACTATACGATACTCTCCGATATCGGGCCAAGCATCTTTATTTTGCCGAGATGTTGTGAAAGTTGAGCGTTTCGATCCTTCCTCGACTCCACTCTCCACTACATTGTCACCATGAGCAACCATCCGCCAGAAGACGACCCGGCGTCTGACTTGCGGTACATCTCGTCGCTGCCGCCGCGACTGCGAACGAGCGAGGATTCGGCGCTGCGATCGGAGCTCGAACTCGAGCTGGAGCGGGTTCAGTCCGCGCCCCTCAACGACAAAGATGCGCCGCCGCCCGTACACGCGCCGCACGCGGGGCACATCGACCCTCCTCCAGACGGAGGACTCACAGCTTGGCTCACGGTAGTCGGCAGCGCATTTAGTATCCTCTGCGTTCTCGGCCTTGTCACCGGCGCGGGGCAGCTGCAAGCATACTACCTGAAGCATCAGCTCAGCAACTACTCGACATCAACAGTAGCGTGGATCGCCTCGACGCAGATCACTCTTACGTTCGGCGGCGCGGTGATCTCTGGTGCCCTCTTTGACGCATACTCTGCCCGACCTCTCGTTATGGCAAGCACGATCGGACAGGTCGGCTCACTGGTTGCCTTAGCCTGTTAGTTTCGTTCGCCGTTCCGCGCTGACCCCAGTCTCGAACAAGTATTACCAGATCATGTTATCTCACGCAGCCTTTGGCGTCTCGGGAGCGATTGTCTACTCGCCTGCGACGGGCATCGCGGCGCACTGGTTCCTCCGGCGGCGCGGCACTGCGGTTGCCGTGATCATGAGCGGCGCCGGCGCCGGCGGCGTCATCTACCCGCTCCTCATCAAAGCACTGACGGATCACTACGTCTGGCGGAACGCGATTCTCATTCTTGCCGCGGTACAGGCCGGATTCATGGCGCCGGGGTGTCTCTTCATGCGCAAGCGTCTACCGAACCGCCCCCCCGCGCCGCTCTCAGCCCTGAAGCGACCGTGGAAGGACAAGCGATACTGCTTCCTCATCGTTGGGCAGAGCATGACCAGCATGGCGGTGTTTTCGCCATACTTCAACGCCGCTGCCTACGCAAGGGGTACGAGCATCGAGGGGTACGCTGTTACTATCCTGCAGGCCGGCAACTTTGTCGGACGCCTCGCTTGTGGGCCTTTGGCGGACTGGATCGGAACATGGCGCGTCTTCGTTGGCTTCGCGGCGCTCTCGGCAATCTGGCTCTTCGCCTTCTTTGTCGGACACTTTGGCACGGCAGCGATCATCGTCGGTCTAGCCGGCTATGGGTTTGCGAGCGGCGGCCACATCACGCTCATTCCCGCCGTTACGGCGAGTATCTCGCCGGCGCACGAGATCGGACTCCGAATTGGCCTACTCTGGACCGTGCTCGCTATACCCATGCTGGTCGGTCCGGTTATCTCCGGAGAGCTCATACAGGCGGGAGGCGGCCTGTACAAGTGGGCCGGCGTCTGGAATGGACTCCAGTTCGTCATGTCGTCCACCATCCTCGGACTTCCGGGCACGATAGACTGGTTCCGGACGCGCAATGAGACAGCTGCAAAGATCTGTCCAAAAGCTACACCTGGGTCCGAACGGGTGCGACCAGGTCCAGCGGATCACGCGTAATGGGACTTCAAAGTTGGTTGGGTATGTCCACAAACTTTTTGTGGACATGTGGACATTTCACAAGAAGGGGTGTGGACATGTTGTAAGAAGTTTTGGCTAAGTTACTCACACTGTCATGCATGAGTTGTCCACAGGGTGTGTCCACAATGTGTGGACAAATCAGTGGACACTAGGTGCATAGCTCAGAATTTGACCTGAGTGGCTACAAAGATGTTCTCATAGTGCTCCCCAACCAGGTACAGCCAAAAACACTTCCTGGCAGAGGACATGTTTCCCATAGTTGTCCAAAACCAAGCCCCAGACTCAGTGTGCTTGAGGATGACTATACCCAACTTGTACAGATTGCACATACCTTGAAGGATGATGTTCTCACCATACTCTGAGTCCCTTGCCATGACAGCCAGATATTTGGACAAGGCTTGAAGTTGTGAAGAATGGGTGTGCTCTGAGTTGTCCACAGAGGAAGGGAAAAAGTCCACATAGTCCTGTGGTTGCCGCCTCATGAAGTTGACTGTGGACAGTCTAACTTGGGTGTGGGTGAGATGTCCACCCATCCCCCTGGCTACAGCATGGAACATGCAGTTGCCATCCTTGGGTGTCCACTTGGAGTGGTACACTGATGGGACAGTAGGGAGGACTGTCAGCTGGTGGACGTCCACATTGTCCAGAGTGTTATAGGGCTGGCAGTTGGTAGGACATGTCAAGCCATGGTGACTGTCTCCACTGTGAAGAACCACCTGTCTTGGGGGGGCTTGCTGTTGTCCACTGTTCCTTGTCTGATTGTGGACAATAGGTGTGGACATGTCCTCATCTGAGTCCAAGCCCACCAGCTGCCTTGAAACTTGTCCACTGTCCACCATTTCAGCCACCAGTGCAAGGAACTTTTGACCATAGAGCTTGTGTTGGCAAGCTCTGCAGCTCAGCCTGAAGGTGTTTAGGGGGTTAGGGGGTTAGGG